CCTCCCCGGCCTCCCACCTCCAGCTAACACCAGATGGCACGCTGTGCCAGTACTACGCCTGCCCGGCGACGTCGTGCGTCCCGCTCCCACCCAACCTCTCTTGGCCCGAGGCAGGCTGCATCCAGCCTCTCGCGATTGCCGTCCAAATTGCCCGCCGCGCGGGCCAGCTTGCCCACGCTGCCGTCGGAGTTATGGGCTGCGGGCCTCTCGGCCTCCTATGCATGGCCGTCGCCAAGTCTTACGGCGCCCGCGAGATCATCGGCATCGACCGCGTGCCCGGCCGCGTAGCCTTTGCGCGCAAGTACGCTGCGACGCACTCGGCGGTCAACCCCGAGAAGGACATGATGGCCGAGACGGACGGCCAGCGCGTCGCTGTAAAGGGACGGGGGAGCAAGCTGCGCTTGGTCGGCGACGAGATGGCGTGGCTCGACAACTGGGTCGAAGAGCACCTCCCCAAGTGGGGCGTCCAGCACGGCCTCGACGTCGTCATCGACGTCACCGGCGCCGAGCCGTGCATGCAGCTCGCCGTAGCCCTGCTCCGGCCTGGCGGAACGCGTGAGTTATGCAAGCTAAAAGGTGCTGACGGAAGTTATCCTCGCAGGTATGGGTCGGCCCCTTACCCGCTTCCCCACGCTGGAGGTCGCGTCGAAGGAGCTCAATGTCATCGGCTCGCTGCGCTACACGTCGCGTTGCTATGAGGACGGCATCCATCTTGTCGAGCGTGGTCTCGTTAATCTCGCTCCCATCGTCACCAAGACCGTACCCCTCTGCAAAGCCGAGGACGCCTTCAAGGCCGCTCGTAACGGCACTTCCACGGGCACCGACATGAAGGTGGTCATCATGAATCAGGAGTAGCCACCACCGGTGTGTATGGCTTGTAACGCGCGGAGAATGTCGAATTGGAAGCTCTGCTTTATGTAAGATATGCACACCATGAGAGAAGAACAGGTGATTTCGACCTCAGTAGGTGAGGGGTGTGTGGAATCTGATATATCTATGATCCATCATTGACAAAACGCAGTCTCTGTTCGTATAGTGGCTAGTATGCTCGCTTGTCATTTTCTGTGACCGCGGGAGACCGGAGTTCAATTCTCCGACAGAGAGCTTTCATTTCTCTTTTGCTGATCATATTCTGTCTATTATGCTGCGTAGACTGGAACAGCATCACAGTAAGATCAACAGAGGCATGAGGCAGTGATCACGAGGATAAAAGATGACAAGGGCAACCACGCTGTGAATCCAGGATGCCGTCGCTGACAGCAACGGCCTTCCCACCGGTTGAGTTGGGTTTCAGAAAGTTCCATGCTCAGTCACACGCGGGGTACTGTGCACAGCTAAACTTCCTGTTCACGGCCAGAAGTGTGGCGAACAGCGTCACATTCAGACTCTACTGGATGGGACACGACCCCTCTGGCTCGGTAGCAAAACGAAGCTAGCTGAACATTTGTACAGCACCTCAGGTCGAACTGGGAGTCGAACCCAGGCTACAAGAACTGATCCTGCATCAGAATCTTGTGTACTGACCGTTATACGATTCAACCCGTGCAAGGACAACGACGCAGCCTGACTCCCACTCCCATAACACAGTGGATGGGAGAGGCAGAAGACAGCGGGAGGGTGGCGCATCGGCACATCGGCACATCGACACATGTTCCCCGTTCCTGATATCCAAATCGTAGGCCCCAACGTGACCAACAGCGAAGGACTGATCTCGGTGTCTCACAATTCCGGCTGGCTAAGAAACCGACACGGTCATCTCCGACCCAAGCATGACGATTCCGGTACACGTCACATCAGCACTTCCCTCATCTCTTACTCAACATCACCATGGCTACGCTCTTGAATCTAGACGCCAATGTTGAGCATAAGACGGGCGCGGACCGCCCGCGCGTCGGCAAGTTCCGGAAGCCGAACCCGCCCACATTCTCCAGTGAAGAGCAGCGCGCCCGGTACCAGAAGGGTCGGCTGGCTATCGCGGCGCGCATCTTCGATGATCAAGGATGGGGCATTGGGTGCTCGGGCGGTCTCTCCGCGCGTGACGCGGTTGATCCCGATCTTGTGTGGGTGCTGCCGCGCCGCAAGCCGTTGTGCTCCATCGTGAGCGCCGACCTCATAGGCGTCAACCTCGAGGGTAACATCGTTGTGCCCAGCGAAACGCTGCGCGAGTGTGAGTGACAGGTGGGGAGACACTCTGATCCTAGATGACCCCGAATACGTGCCCCTTCACCTCGCAATCTATCGCGCGCGGCGTGATGTGAATGGTATCGTGTCGGGCCACACACCGCATGGACGCACGTTCTCGGCACGTGGTGAGACCATCCGCATGCTCTGGCAGGACTCGTGCTTCTTTTCAGGCCGGGTACCCGTCCTACCTTTCCTTGCTGGCGTGAATGTCGCCAAGAATCCCGAGGGTGTGACGAGCAGTCTTGGTGACGGCAAAGGCCTGATCATGCAGAATCGGGGCCTTCTGATGACGGCTGCGACAATCGAAGGCGCCATCGCGACGTACATCCGCCTAGAGAATCTGTGCGGGAATCAGTTGCTTGTCGAGGCCGCCGTCAAGGGGCGCGGGGGCAAGATGATTGAGGTCGGCGAAGATGAAGTCAAGGTACGCTATTTGGCTGCACAAGCTGATGTCAGTTCACAGTGCAGAACGTTGGGAGTGAGCACCACGCATGGATGATGGGTATGCCGTACTATGCCCGTTGGGATAAGCGCACAGGGGGCGCGCTCGTGATATAGAAGGATGAAGTGGTCGGCAGTCAGCAATGAGAGCAGGCGGGATCGGACGCCCACATTCGCTGATAGTTCCCAATATGACATCTTCACACTCAACGACTTCTTGATGACTACTGATGGGCCCGAACCCTGTCCTCACAATCGCAACACTGGCTGCAGCACCCGAGTCCCGTCGCGCGGTGGCCGGTCTGCATTGTCCAGACTGCGCGGTCCAGCAAGTCCTTGATGGGGCCATGAACCTTGAGTGCTGGCTCAGCCTTCTTCTTTTTGAACAACCAGAAACGTCGGCTACCCTTCTTCCCCACATTTCCGCCCTCGTTTTGCTTCCCCTGATCCTTTGTGTTTCTGGTGGCGGACAGTCCACCTTCGCTCTCGCTGTCCGTCTCGCTCACGGGCTCGTCCGCGAGGTCCGAGCTCACCCATCTCTCGCCTTTTTCAACAGCGGTGCGCTCGCTGGGCATAGTGCTACCTACACGCGTCGAGCGAGCGTCGTATACTGAACTGTGCCGCCGCGAGCTCGCAAGGCTTGGAGCCAGACCTTTGGTGGATGGTGTTATGCGTTTGCGATACGAGGTGGGGGGAAATGCGAGCGCAGGCCCTGCAATGGCGCTGGCCGGCTGCGACCACGCATTGGAGAGGAGCGGGGAGTCTGAGTAAACGGAAAGGTAAGACATCGGGCGTCCGGCTGATTGCGGGAGATGCGAAAGGACGTCGGCGGTGGTAAACCCGCGGGTGATACGCTCTGTGAGGTGTAAGAATGCCTTAATGGTCCCCGGGTCAAGTCCGCCGTACGCGAAAACCTCCATCGCCGCAGCGGTGAGCGCCACCGAGTCACGCGAGCGTGCGGTTGGGTTCGGCTGCCTTCAGCGTGGTCAGACTCCCAACTCACCACATACACTCGGACCTTGTCCTCGTCGATGGGAACGCGGTCGGGCGTGGCGAATACCTTCACACAGATTTCTCGGAGCTGCGCATTAGCCAGTTCACACTGTCCCCCACCTTGCGCCAATCCGGGCCCCAGTTCACGCCCAGCCGCTTGGGTGCGCGCGCCGAGACACCGCATGGGTCATATACGGCAAGCTGCCCCGATGAGCGGTCGACTACCATCGTGAGCCAAGCATTCTGCCACCAAACTGGGAAAACAACATGCTCGTAGTCCTTCAGCGAGCCAGAGTACTGAGTCAGCCCCACCCAGACTCTGCTCACCATGATACCGTGGAAGCTCTTGGATACACGAGCCTCACGCGACTCGTTGATCTTGAATCTATGTCGCGAGAGATTACCCCAGAACTCGAAGTCCAGCAGGAGAACATGTCGGCGAGCAGCCTCTTTCGCGAATCGACGGACGTGCGTGTTTAGCAAGATAGGGACGTAGTTGTACCATCGCGAATGGCGCGAGTAGTACCATTTGCGCGCGGTAGCCCAGCGTCTGCTTAAAGCGAAAGGCGCTGTGCTCCACTCCTGTTGTGAGGTGAGCCAACGGTCGACCATCTCTGTGTGCTTCGCCTGGTATCAGTGAGAAGAACCCCAGGACACGGGCATAATCTGGCTCTCCGGACAGTTGGACGTACTGAGAGGGGCGTTAACCAGTGGGACAGTATCGCGGCCGCCAGGTCGTCACCGTCGTCGCTCCACACCGCCGGGGTGTGATATGCCGAGTGCCCGTCGTCTTCGTCGGCGAACGAATTGCGCGGCTGCGGCCCCGGAGCCGCACTGCACGGGCTGTACGCGGGCATGGTGATATCAACTTTGCGCTTGGTTAGGGAGTACGTAGTGAGGGCCCTATACAGTTGTGGGATGAGCCGCTTGAATACAGGAAGTGTGATGAGAAGTAGGATGAGACGACCAGCGATACGTGAGCGTGCGGTAGGTTCAGTGCGTCAGCCGCTGCACGAGTAGTCAGAGAGCCAGTGGCGAGGTGCTGTGCGGAAGGCCGTGCGTGAGAGAGACCGAAGTGTTACATCTGTGCATTAGCGATGTGGAGCTCGCTAACTTATGATGTCTGCCAGTCCTAGGACGGAGTCTGGGCTCAATCAGTGCCACACGGGCGCGAGCATGTCTCAACACCACTACGGCAGATTAGGTCTGAATGACCAGCTAGCCGATAGTTCACAGCTACTGCTATTGTACGGTTCTGTAAGGTCAAGCCGATCAATCACCGCTGTGCCTGCCCTCCGCTCCGACTCAGACAAGCCCACTACTCCTTTCGCTTTCGCTTTCAAAAGAACAGCTCCTGTTGATATCGTTCCCCGCCAGGGAGTTGAACCCTGCTCTTTCGCGATAACTCCCGGCCTACATGACCAGGCCCTTCTTGACTCTCTGTTGAGAGGCGAATATACTAACCGATATACTAGCGAGGAGAATGAGGAAGCTCACCAGCCGCTGTCGTTCTTCGCTCTCGGCCAGCGGCGCATTGTTGGATCCAAGTGGGCCTCCGAAGGCTCGACAATCGTGCATCAGATTCACATTTCGAGTTCCAATGGAAGCAAACTTGTAGGAAGCAATTTTCAGATAAAGGGTCCTGTACAGATCATTCCGCCTCACTCTCAAGCGGCAACTTGGCGGAGTGGTTAACGCGATTGACTCGAATGTCCTAGCGAGTATAGGCTTCAATAAATTTCCTTCGGGAGCGCATGTTCGAATCATGCAGTTGTCGACCTTCTTTTTGCATCGAATCTGACGGCAATCTGTTGTAAGATGGCGTTAGATCATTTCTGACGGATGCTGATTATGGCTGTGTGAAGTGCGGAGGAGAAGGGCAGACTCGCGTTTTGAGTCTGAACACACAATCACTCTGAAACTCAATGTCCATGTAGCTAGATGTCGTGCGATCGACCCATAGAATAAGCGTGGTATGTTACCACTCCACGATCATCAACAGTGGACGTTCATAATGGGGCTGCACAATCCGCCGATCCGTGGCTCTAGCGCCACAACGCCAGAGTGTGGCATTCAAGGCCTACCAATAAACACAACCCCTGGTAAAGTGCTCCGGGGTCCAGTTGGACAGCAGTTACTTTGTCCCAGCTCATTCGACTTGTGTGCGTGCGTGGGACCAACTGAGGAGATCAGGTGACACACGATCGTAGCATCTCTGTCTACGACATCTTCGGCAGTCGCAGCGGCGTAGGTCAGGGCTGCGAAGCACATCTCGTTCCCTCACATGTGAGTGCACGCAGGACACCTCTCATGTGCAAAACGCGATGGTGCTTGGTCCAAAGGTAGGGCCTAAGAGTTGTTCCTTCTGCACCGCATCAGGAGGGCCGAGTAGCGTTAAGTGCATTCGAGGTACAGATGCTTCCGAACGATCGGACGGCTTCAGCCGTCAGCCTTTCACGCGATGGGGCCTGAACGAAGACTTATTGACAGGGAGACAGGAACTTTGGTCTGGATGTTGTGACTCACGCAATCCCCTCATGCGGCTTTGAGGAACGCCAGGCACAGCGCGCTTTCCCGTCGTCCCAGGCTACTTCGTATCGCAAAACTCCAGCTGTGGAACTTCCACGAGGGCTATATGAAGGGGCAAGCGAGATCCCGAGAGGGGTCCGATACGATTTTAACGGCATGCATGCCCCTCCATCTACAGAGGCCATCAACAGAGGAGAGGCCCAACGGAGATCCACGAACTACAATTGTAAAACTCATTCGTTCAATAGGTGTTGGGCTGCTTTCTGCTGTACTGACTGCAGAAGATATGTATGGCGTAGTCGATTGCAGCTTGTCTGCCGACTCAAGCAAGCAACACGGCACTGATCCAGGCCCTGGGAATCGTGCCCTTCTGATCTTTGTCAAGGGGCTTGATGGACTCGTGCCGCATAGCGTTCCTGCATATATTGTAGCTGGCACCACTTGACACAGCGCGATATGGGGCTCTGTTCCTCTGTGCGCGGCATGCGAGTGAGAGAAAATCCACTGAATAACTTCGACCCCGCCTGCCTCAGGTCTTCCGGGTGTGTCTGCCGGCTGTAGCAAGAACGAACCACCGCTGGCGATGCATCTACCTGTCTGGCGCTATGATATAACATCAACTGCATTTGGCCCTTTCGTCTGTGCTCTGGTGGCGATCGTCGAGCGAGTGAAATCGCCCCTGCGACAACGACATCACACTCAGCTGGAGTTCGCCTGTCGACCACCGCGTCATCCTCATCTGCGCGTCTCAATCATTGACGCGTTTTGCCCTCCCATTTGGGCATGCGCCACCACATTCCCCCACCCTATCTTCCCTGTTCCATCCCGCTTGGCTGCTCAATAACCTAAAACATACTCAAGATCGGATAACCTCCGCTTCAGCGACTTCATCGTCTCAACATCTGCCAACCCTCCTGCGGAACCCCTCAAAGCCCTCCCCTTGACCACCCACTCCGCGACACAGCCTTCTTCACAGCCTAATGCCTAAGTTTTGATTGTCTCGCCATTTATAAGATCACATTAGGCTGGTCGCGGGATTGGTGAGGCGCTTCTGCGCCATCTTCCATCTTCCAGCGCCCTATCCCTCCTTCCAACCTCTTTGACCGCATGACATCCCCACCCCCAAGCTCGCGCCGTCGTGCTTGGTGGGCGCCTTCTGCAGGCACCGAAAGCTCTCGCGTTCCACCAGATCGGCTCGACGTTACGAAGCACGCGGCCTCCGTACTCACCACCCCAGTATCAGCCTCGACGCCGTCCACCTCGACGTCAGCTGCTTGGGCGTCGGCAGTCCAACAATCGCAGCAGACCTCACAACCAGCGCACGCACAACAGTGCCATCGCCCGCCTTACACGCCTATCTCGCCCCCGGCCAAGGTCAAGGATCCGGAAGGAGCGTCAATTCGAGAGCATCGGCTGGCCTTGCCACAAAATCATGGTGATCGTTCTCCCCGCAAGTATGGTGCGCAGCCTCCACTCGAGTATGGGTCTGGACGTAGCCTATCATATGATAGAGAGAGGCTACCCGGCGTGCGCGAGGGAGAGCGAATCGCTCCTGGTCACGAGGCGGGAAAGCCGATGCGAGATTCTGGGAATTCCCGAGCCCCCCCGGACTATGAAGAATACGAAATCCGCCTCCCGCCGCTTAACTATGCGCCCGGTCGGGGCAAAGAGTTGCCACACAAGCGAGGAGAGCGCGAGGAGAGACTGGGCAAGGGCAAGGGGAGAGCCGAGTCTGTACGGATGGCTGAACGACTTGAACGCGACGATGACGACGATAACGAACGTAGCAGCTCACATCGGTCACAGCCCGGGCGCGTATCCGGGACATCGGCCAGCCCTGCCCCGGGCGCGTTCAATGGCTGGGAAAGCGCGACGTTGTACTACCACGCAATTCATCGTTTACCGTCACTGTCCGTGAGTCCAAGCCACACGTGGAAGGGGGCTGGGGTTGGGATTATGCATGCATGCGGCGTGGCAGCGTCACAGCTGCTTGCTGCCTGGAGAGGTGAGGAAGGGACAACCATCTGTGACATTACGGAAGCGACAAGGAACCAAGGCACCAAGTGCAACACCAAGACCAAATAAGGGTGATCTGGTTTATGCCTCCCGCAATGGCCAGACCGATAATTAATTCCTATGCTCCATGCCGCGGATGTGGCCCTCACCTCAGCAAGCAAGCTAACGACAGTCATGGTGCTCTACAATACTCGAGATGGCACTGAAGTCGGCGGAAACTTGGGGAGTGTCACGACACGCGAACGACCTGCCGTCATACGCACGCATCATGGCGTTTTACAGTGGCGAACGCGTAGAGGCCGCATCGAGCCGCGCGACTAGCGAAAAGGGCTCGGCCAAGGAAGGCGTCGATCTGCGCGTAGGAGCGCCTACCTCCGCCTCGGAGGGTTCCAAGTCGGACTCTGAGGCTCAAATCGCCGTTGAAATTGTGATCGTTGAGACATTCGTCCGCCGCCTCGACGCCATCATCGAGGCACTGCAAGCGCAGATGGCGCCGTACAACTCCACGATGCCGTGCACGTATCTTGTATCCTCCTGGCGAGAGATCGGTGATCGCATCGCTGCAAGAGGCCCTTTGGAGCGTCGGAGGGAGGATACATCCAGGAACAGCGTCAGTTTATCCACAGCCTCAAGGGTCCTACAGACCATATCACCGGCTACTGGGCTTACACACTGATACTAGGCTAGGGAGCCGCCCGAATTCACACAAGCAAGAGCTGCGCCCTCACGCAAGCGAGGGCGAGAGCGCGAGGGTGGCCCAGTCATCGGTTTATTGCCGCTTGTTGTTGGACAGAACTGGGTCGTCGCAGCCGCGAATACTGCGACCGGAGAGGTCTTGATATTTGACGCGGGTCATGCGCTGGATGCTGCTGATGCGGATATTGTGAGTACCGTATTGTGACGCTGCTGATCTCAGGTGGCGGACGAAGTCATGGGCGCCATGCACGAGACCAGTGACTACCGCATGCGGGTCTTGGCGAGACACCTTAGGGTAAGCACAAAACGTGGCAGCCCGAGGCCACCCACAGCCCGAACGAGAGTTGGCGAGACGCATGAGGTTCGGATCGATCTTCCTCGCTAACACCGTAGCCGCCCGACCGCGTTCCACATTGGCATACTGTCCTGCTTGCTTGCGCCGCACTGGAAATGTTCGGCTCATCTGCGGCATCTACCGCGGACTACGCGCTGACGGCCTATCTCGGGCTCTGGAGTAAACTTCTTGCGCAGGGTATCACTCTGGCTATCCCGCCCTCATTTGATCGCCCTGCCGCCGCCCAGTCTGCACTGTACACTAAAAACGTACTCGCGAGCCGGGTCCTGCGCGACCGCATCGTGTGGACGATCCATACGGGTACGCTTGCATGTCCATTCCGAGGATATTGGTAGTTTCCGCATGCCCACCGCAGCGCGTTGCAAGCCAGCAGACTACACTCTGTCCGCATGATGACGATGTTACGGGATTTTCATGCACAGCGTGAGTCACGCTCCGCGCCGTATCAGCGAGACTTGCGCGTCCCAAGCGTTGGACCTTGTCCTCAAAAGGAGTGACACTCAGCATCCCCGGAATGACCTTATTCTTTGTGAACTCAGCGCCAATCTACTTGCGCCCGAAGTGTGCCACAAGGCAATCTGCCACATCCCGAGATATTCGGACTGTAACTTAGCCACCTGGACTGTCGGGCAAGCCACAGCCGTCTCAGGGCTTGAGCCTTCCACTATCGACCGTTTCAGCCTGAGGCATCACCTGCTGTGTTCCTCATACTTAGGCACCTACATCAGATCCGCACCCGAAAATCATGGGAATCGCGTATGCGGAAGGCCTACTGCTGAGGCTGTTCATGAGAAAAATCACACGCGGCGCCGATTAGCCCCGCATGGCCTCATGAATGTCACCGCAATCAGGTCCTGCCCCTCCGCCCCTGCTGGGCCGGCGGTCAAGGCGGACCTGTCTTGACAGGACCGCGTCGGCCCAAAAGCGTGGTCCGGAAATCTCGGAGAAAGCCATGTGATAGGAGAACCTAGCTAATGAAACTTGTTTCAAGCCGACTCGGAGGGTCGGGCACGACGATCGAGTCCTCCGCACTCCGCACTCCCCGCGGTGCCGACGGAAATCATGAGGCAGGAGATCGAGTGCCGTCAGCAGCTGAAACAGCCGCTGAAACGAGATGAAGCAAGGTCCCAGGTTCAGGTCCCGCTCACAGCCTCTATCGATAACTGCCAGCATGCATAGCTTGCGGAACGGTTTGTCACGTTGCGAGGCTTGCTTGTGCCGTTGGAACCGTATCCAAAACGGTGAGAAGCCCCGATAAGTCCACAGCAGGTGGTAGCGCGATGTAACCTTACACGGGCTCTCAGCCATTAGAGGGAACTGGGTGGCGACTGGTAGGAGCTGCAGATAGGAGCTCTCGCCGGAGCCAAATGGCTGCATATAACGAGCCTGCCGTGCTCTGTGATTGCCACAGCACATGTCATTGTCAGTCGTACCGCACCGACACACTTGGTGCGCAGACGGCTGTTCGTTATCAGGCTCCAGCACACTTGCCCGCCGCCCTGCCCGATATATGTCCTCGTTCTCGTCTCGGTGTGACATCTCGGGTTCTATCCACGTTATATCGGCCAACTGCGGGCAGTCAGGAGGTCTGGTCGCTCCTGGAATGGCCCTGACGTCGTTGCTGTGCTCAACTCCGTGGACCCGTCAAGCTCGGTAGGGCGGGCAAGCTGCCCGCTTGCCCGTTATCGGGCAATCCCCGCGTTCCACTGTCACTTGGGTGGTGGTATTGTTCAGGCAGATGAGTGTACTTAAGCGATAGACGTGAGGTCAGAGCCCACTCTCAGCGACGTGGGAACCCATACTCTACTTGCTCACAAAGTTATTTACTGCGATAATGACTGCCGACACACAGCCAAATGTCCCGGAAACTGAGCTGCCACAGCCCACCCGCTCCACCGCCGACTTCTGGAAGGTCGCCAACTCTAAGCTTATCAGGTATGGCGGGCAGTGGAGTGACGTCCGCATCGTGCGCGCCAAGGGTACAGTGATGTGGGTAAGTATCTGCGCTCGGCAAAACTGACAGCAGGATGAGAACGGCAAGCGCGTGATGGACTGGACGTCGGGACAGATGTCGTCTGTGCTCGGCCAGTGAGTTCACATGGCACCACTCCGCCCAGCTAACACTCAGCGGTCACCCAGAGATCGTGGCGGTTGTCGACAGATACATGCGCAACCTCGACCACCTGTTCAGTGGTATGATTTCCGACCCAGTTGTGGACCTCGCGGAGGCTCTCACGAGCATGCTCCCGCCTCAGCTCAACAAGTGCATGTTCCTATCTACGGGCGGCGAAACGAATGAGTGTGCGCTCAAGATGGCTAAAATGTACACGGGCGGACACGAGATTGTGTCCCTCAGCGCCTCGTACCATGGGATGACGCACGGCGCAGGTGCCGCGACGTTCTCGGTCGGCCGCCGCGGCTACGGCCCCCAGCTCCCTGGCAACCTCATCCTTCCTGTGCCGTACGCGTATCGCTCTCCCTTCCGGCACGCGGACGGGAGTTACGACTGGCGCACTGAGCTCGAGTACGGGTGGAACCTCGTCGACCGACAGAGCACGGGCGCGCTCGCGGCCGTCATGATCGAGCCGATCGTGTCCACCGGCGGCATCATCACCCTCCCCGAGGGATACCTCAAGGAGCTCAAGAAGGGATGCGAGAAGCGAGGAATGCTGCTCATCGTCGACGAGGCACAGACGGGCATGGGACGCACCGGAGGTGCGTTGGCTCATCGAGAGCGGAGAGCAGGCGCGGCCGCTGACGCCAGACATGTTTGCGTTCGAGCACGAGGGCGTCGTCCCAGATATGCTCACGTTGTCCAAGACGCTCGGCGCAGGGCTGCCACTCGGCGCGACAATCGTCACCGAGGAAGTGGAGCGCGTGTGCGCCGAACGCGGCTTCTTCTACTACACGACGCACCTGAACGACCCGCTCGTTGCGGCCGTCGGCGCAAAGGTGTGCGAGATCATTAAGCGTGACGAGATGCACAAGCACGCCGCGAAGAAGGGCGAGCTCCTGAGGCAGGGGCTCCTTGGTGTAAGCCTAATCGCCTGCGCCGCTCACACCAGCTCCAAAAGAAATACCCGTGCATCGGCGATGTGCGCGGCCGCGGGCTCATGATGGGTATCGAGATTGTGCAGGCCGACAAGACCCCGGCGGACGAGCTCGGCACACGCGTCAGCACACGATGCATGGAGCTCGGGCTCAGCTGCAATGTCGTGCAGCTGAAGGGCATGGGAGGCACGTTCCGCATTGCCCCGCCGCTCACAATCACGCCCGAGGAGATTGCCGAGGGAATCGCGATCATGGACCGCGCGTTTGCGGATGTGTTGGCTGAGAACGAGAAACAGTAAACGTGAGATTCAATGTGCGAGATGTGAGCATATGTTGCCGGGGTTCGGTTACGAGGGGGTATGACGTGAGCCGTTTCGGCTATCGCCGCTTCTCAGGAACAGGGGCGCCCACGTCCTCGCCACCCGCAACATAGTCCTTGGCACCGAAACGATGGCCGACACCACCAAAGCAGTCTCTGTCCTCATCACAATCGTTCAAAATGTTGATATGCATGCAGAGGCGCTCCACGCGACAGGGCCCTCGGCACCGCCTGCTTTCATCTCCTCGCTAGTATATCGGTTAGTATATTCGCCTCTCAGCCGAGAGAGCCTGATCTCAGATCAGGAATCACCGCGAAAGAGCAGGATTCAACTCCCTGGCGGGGAACAAGCAGTTAAAAGCCAATCTTTTGGTTAGAGCGATAAGCCTAAACATTGTTGCACCTCACAGGCTTGGCCACAGACTACACATACTGTGAGAGACGAGTGGCGACAGACAGACACATAGTTCGATGTCTTCGAAATCTGATGGCTCGATGTCAATCGTCCTGCACATCCTCAAGACAACCCAACAGATATCCATACGCACATGATCGTGACAATTGTCCTATTAACGTGTCCGTCCGCTGGCGATTCGCCGCCAGCCCTACATCAGACCACCGCGCTCGCAGCTTTGCTTCTAATCTAAAGGAGAGCCGCGACAATGCTGGCAAAGGCAGCAAAGGCAAAGGCGGAACCCACGAGCGACTCGGCACGGCTGCGCGCGCTCTGGGCGGCAGTAGGAGCAGCCGACACGTCGGGGATGTTCTGGGTGACGGTAACCGGGACGAGGGAGGTGGCGCCGTCCGACTTGGTCATGATGGAAGAAGTGACCGCGGTGGTCTGCTGGCGGCCGAGGTTGTTGTTACCAGCGACGGGGCCGTCGGCGGGGAGACCGCCTTCAACACCAGGTGTAGTCGAAACCTCTGCGCTGAAAATGTTCACGTAGTTAATCTCATAGTAGGCGGTGCGGTAGTTGGAGCCGTCACCATGGACATAGGTCGTGTAGCTGGAGTCAGGGTGAGGCAGACACAGAAACATACCAGTCCTCGCCGGAAGGGTAGGCAGGGCATCCGTTCGAAGCGAGTGTGCTGGCAAGACCAGCCCAGACACCGCACAGAGTTGTCTGGAGAATCATGGTCTGGGCTGGAAGGATCAGATAGGCCAGCAATCTAACTCACGGCCGAAGTAACGGGTAAAGGTGCAGTCCTTGTTGCCCCAGTAGCCAGTGGGGGTGCCGAGAATGCTCGTGTCGATCGTCTTGGCGTTGGCAGTCAGAGCCGCGGGCACATTGGGGCGCGAGATGAACCAGATCTTGATGGCATCCGCGGCCCACTCGGCAACGTAGACGCCACCACCGGCAGCGGCGAAGGCGGCACCGTACGACGCGGGGTCGGTGTCGCGGGCCGTGCACCCCGAGCCGTACGAGTAGCCAATGGAGCAGTTGTGCGAGCCCCAGTTACCCGTCATAAGGGCCTGGTTAGTCTGTGGGGCGTAGCAGCCGTCCTCTGCCGAGTGGAGAGCCATCTGGTTGACAGCCTGGTGGTGGATACCCTCCATGATGTCGATCTCACCGCCTATACGTCAGGAACGTACGAGCGATGGTACTTACCAACGGGCCAGTCTGGGCCGACAGTCCAGAACGCGGGCCACACACTGCAGCCGTAAGGCATGTGGATCGCGTCTAGGACCCAGACGGTGCCGACCCCATACGCGCGCTTGCTGAGAAGGCGTGGTGCGAAGCGCTTGGTCGTGTGCCACGGGTTGGCGACGACAGTCGAGGTGTCGTCGACTGCGGTCAGCCAGGACTCCGGTGCCACTCCGAGAATCGGTAAGGCTCAGCGTACCCTTCATGATCGTGGTGTTCCGCGCCGTCTTATAAATAAGAGGTTGCGAGTTGTTCCACTCAGCGGTACCATACCAGAACACCTCGCCGCTGCACTCGTCAGCCGCGGGCACTCTGTAGTGCGCGTCGGAGTGCTCACCTGGTGGTGTTGTCGTAGAAGCTGTCGGGCCAGTTCCACCCCTGTCTGGTGAGGTTAGCTTCGGATGCCTACTTCCGTCGGATTGCATGGACGACGCCACGGCGAACGGTGCACCGTCAGGCCTGAAAGCAGTGCGGACTGTGAATTTGTGGGAACCATCCCAACCGTTGCTAGCGCCATCACGCCACCCACGCCGGCTCGATCAATGCCGGCGCCGTCTCATACGATGTCGACGCCATCTCGAGCAACCTCTGCACCGTCTGTCTCGGTGCCCACCACCGTTCATTTCACTTTCACTTCAGCGCTCACTTACAGGAAGTTGTCGCCGGCCATGGACTCGGCGATGGGGTAGACACCGGCGCGGGCGAGGGGCGCCGCTGCGGCGGCAACAGCGAGGGCGAGGGCGAAGGGGGTCATGGTAATTGTTGACTCTGGATACAAGGGGGGAGACAACAGACGAAAGAGTGTTGTGAGAGTGCGCTCTAGAGAGCAGAAGGAGATATGAAGCGCGATAAATGAATGTGATGATGAGGCGCGGCAGGGAGTGGGGTCTGCACGGCGTCCTTTGTGAGCTGTGAGCGAGGTGGGTGCATGGTGGCTGGGTGCGAGGGAAGCTGAGGCGTGTGCGATGTGTCCGTCCGTCCTCCCCTCGCTGGTTTGAGTAGTGGGTCAGAGAGTGAGCAGTTCAGTCTGCGTGCCGGCACGTGAGAGTTGTCCTGGGCTGTGCAGCGCGGAGGAGGAAAACACGAACACTGTAGAGCTAGAGCGGACTAAGAAATTCAAAGTCTGTAGCCCGTGTTTGAGGGGGTCTCGTATTTGGTTGCGAAGAGCGGCTATCGGGATTATGCCGCTACCATCTCATGCGCCTCACATCTCACAACTGCACGTCCCACCGCTGAGCGCCACACTTCTTCTGCCCTTACGCCATCGGCCCAAAACGCCAGAACCCGAACACCAAGCAGCCGGCAAGCCGGCGAAGCGACATGCCGCCTCCATGCCAACGGATCTCACTCAATACACCTGGGCTCACTCCCGTGTCTCTCAGCTCCGTTACCCCTTGTTGCGAGCTAAACAATGCAAAACCACCCACACACCGACACGCTCCTACTCTATCCCATAGATGACTGTCCACTTCCATGAAGGCTGGGAGACAGCATTGTGGTCACTGTTTACACCATCTCCCACGACCTGCTCTGAGGTGATAAGTACAGCAATGCCGCTGGCGTTGAGAGAGGGTATTCCTCAAGGAATGCGCTGACCGCACGCACCTTGGAGCTGTGCTCAACCGAGTAAGCATGCACGGCCCGCTTTTGGGAGCTTGCGACTGAAGCTTCGCATCGCACCAATCCCGGGCACCCCAGAACCAACACTCCGCAGACTCAATAATCGTGGCCGGTGCTCCTTGTTGAAACTCCGGGAATCACGCCTCACGCCTATTGCTCATTGCTCTGATCGAGACTCCAACATCGCGTATGCTTGACAGGGGTACCTTATCAAGTGATAGCCTCGCACTTCGTCACCGTTGTATCTATCAGCGCAGATGCGCCTTTCACGTCCATTTTTTTATTCGGGCTGAGGCGGGACCCGAGAATCGATACACCGCCTTTGCAGACTATGTTTATGAGGCAGAGGCAGCGGCCGACAGAGTTGGTGGCGTCACTCCAGCCATGATGAATTGATGCTTCCGGGTGTATCTCGGTCCATGTGCCAAACCATAGGAGCGGAATGAGGGTCGGTAGACGCGACTGATTTTGAGGTCGATACTCCTTTCGGTGGGTCTATCGAGCCCGCTGATCCAGGCGGTATGCCTAGCCGCATGAAACAGTTCTTGAAGACGGCGATACACGTGTCACCTTCGTACACCCCACCCGACTCGCCGACAGCGTGTCTGCGCCACGAACGGATAGGGGCCACGAGCAAATCGAGGATGGCGCAAATGGAGGTTAATCCGCACGGCCCTCCCGTTTCGAATTCTAGCCTCTGGTCTCTGGCAGACACACATCACACACGCGCACACACAGCCATACGCGGAGACTGATACAGCACTCCGGAGCGCGGCAACACATCCGCACTCTGTCGCGTGTCGCGTCGTCGCGTGGCGTTAAGGAGCGGGCGAGTGACATTACATCACTCGTGTGATCGCGTCCTCGCGCCTCGCCACCCAGCACCCAAGACGCTGTTTGTCACCGCCCAGAACAAAGTCTTCCTTTCCTTTTCACCGACCTCTTCTCATTCTTCTCATCATCATCCTCATCATCCTCATCGTTCTCATCATCCCCCACCACTTCTTCATCTCTTCTGAAGTATCGATCACATCTCTGCTCTTCACGATGCGGACCTCTTCGGCGGGCCCCAGCCTTACCTCCTCCTCTTCTTCCTCTTCCCTTCCATACTCACCCGGTCCTAGCACCCTCTTTTCTACCTCCTCTTCCTCCACTACAATGTCGGATATGTTGGGCGCAGCATCCTCGTCATCAGCACATCCTTCCCCTCCCAAGCCTAAGCTTGCCAAGAACAAGATCAAACCTCCCCATCCAGACAAGACGAGCGCAGCGGTCCAGGCTGAATCGTTGGCTGAGCCCGAAATTCCGGCTGAGATGTGGCGCCAGACCGTCCTCGACGTTCTTCCTCCGCTTGAAGTGAGTGTTCCTTGAAGGCATTGATACATTGTTGCTCATAGTTGAGTAATGCTAACGGCAGTCTACTTCTCAGTCGATTGTTGACAGATGGTACTCAAGCGGCGTTTGGGAGGGCCCGGTTCATGCGTCTCTTGCAGAACGCGAGGAAGGCGACTTGTGCTCGGCGAACCCCAGGTCAGAGCACAAGGATGATGGCAAGACCAAGAATGATGATCACACCAGCCCTTCTGCTCGCGCGATAACGGCTGACAGGGACGGCTCACTCTGGACGGATGTGACTGCGCACAGCCACGGCTTCGACGTCGACTCTGTGCGTGCCGCAGGCTCCCGCATCATCCACACCTTCCTCAGTACAATCTGCGCTCCTAGCTATGTGCTCCTGTGCGGGACGCGGTTCTCCAACGCGCTCTATCCAGCCTGCACTTGTCACTCCAAGGCCAAGGCGGACGACTTCCTGCGGATCGCTCTTGAGGTTATTGGGCTCCCCAACGTGAGTGTGAAAGGATAAGTATTCGTGAGCTCACCCCAACAAACAGTTCAATGTTCACGAGCTCGACCGCGTCATTTTCGTCTTCGAGATGTACAATCGCTGGTTCGTACTGCTTTTCACTCCCCAGTTGTTAGTGGTATACGATCCTGCCGGCTACTCGCGCCTGGAGCCTGAAGTTGTTTCGAAGGTATGCGTCTGTTGTAGGTTGAACTGATTGAGCCAGCTTGCGGACCATGTGGCCAACGCCTTCCTCAGCGATGCCTGTCGTTGGTCAGACCGCAAAAATGTTCCGGATAGTCTTGACACCCTCATCATTGCTGTAAGCCTTGTCAGCTCAACGAGCTAACTCAAGCCCGATATCGCTACTGATCCCTCTGGATCTCTTGTCCTCGTTTGCGGCGCAGTCGAGCTCTTGGTTAATCTGCGTCCATTCAATCATGGTAACTTTGCCGGCGTCGAGGTAGGCCTTTGGTTCTTGTCCGAAAGCATTCACAGGGATCTCACCTACGAGCACTGCAATCACCTCCTTAACATAGCTTTGGATGAGGTAGAGGGAAAACTAGACAAGGGCAATCACCTGGCAGGAAGCACCTCGGCCGGGCTCGTCTCGAAATCGAAAGCTCGCCCGCGGCTCAACGCACCCAAACTTCCTTTCAAGGCCAAGCGTCGCGTTAAACGCAAGACTCCCGAAGTCGCGGTTTCCTCGCCATCCCCGCATTGGGTGTCGCCGGTGCTTGCTTCCGCTCTTCAGTCGGCTAACAAGAAGTCGCTGCCGGGTACTAAACTCAGCAAGGTTTTGTATGATCGCATCGTCTGGACGTGCAACTCCGGCCACCTCCCTAACGGTGCTGTGTGCACTTGTGACTGCCTTGCGGAGTACCTCGAAGGTCAGTCGATATAGCCCGATCTCGAGCTGCAGTGCGCCTTCCTGGGGTAGCTTCGGCTGGGAGTTTGACGTGTGAATAAGTAGTGAGAAAGTAGTGAGGAGGAGCCTGTCCAGCATGGAACACGAGAGATAGTAGCAGTGTGTAAGAAGCTCATTAGACTCCACCCGTTGATGTACAAATGTGCCGCATGTGCAACGGTCTGATTACGTCCCTATAGCTTATAGTCCTCACCGTCGACAGCCTCGAGCCATTCGTACAACTCTTGCGCCTGCTCGTAGGCCACCTCCTCGCCGCCTTGCTCGGCAAACACTGCGTGCACTTCGCTGTCGTTGAGCACACGCGGTCCGCCCGCGGCGTCGGCCTCAAGCTGCGCCTGGCAGAGCTTCTCCAGACGGACAAAGTATGCCACGGCCGCGTCGACGGTCCCCGCGGCTGTGAGGATACCGTGGTTTTGAAGAATGACGCCCTTGCCGGTCGGGCCGAGGGCCTTGCAAATCGCCTGCCCCTCGGCGTCGTCGAGGACGACACCGCCAAAGTCATCGTACAGCCGCACGGTGTCGCCGTACTGCGCGCCCTCTGAGGTCAGCCATCACCACGCCTCTCTTTCGGCACGCACCAACAGAAGCCAAGTCGATATTCCGGCCGAGACAGCTAAACGCTCTCCCGAAATAGCTGTGCGAGTGCGCGGCAGCATGGATATCCGGGCGCGTGCGGTGGATAGACCCGTGGATCGCGAAGCCGGCGGCATTGAACAGCTGTCCGTCGCCCGGGTGGCCGCCGCCGAGCACGTTCCCGTCGTGGTCAATGAGCAGCAGGTCGGACGCGGTCATCTGGCCGAAGGCGACGCCGTAGGGGTTGACCCAGAAGGCTGGGGTCAGCTCGATGTGGATCAGAGACGAAACCCACCGTGCGGGTTGACGACGTCGCGCACCGTGATGTGGCCGGCGACGCCCTCGTCGTAGCCCAGCAGAGCGAAGATGCGGAAGGCGCCCGCGAGGCGCTCTTTGAGGTGTTGGCGCTAGGGTTAGCCCGCCAGAGGGCAGTTCACCATTTTGAGCTTGGTCGCCTCGTCGCCGCCGCGGAGGCGGAGGACGCTCGGGCGAGTCTCGGTGGCGGTCAGTGTCTGTGTCTGTGTTGCCATTGCAGTAAGGTAGTGGGCGGTGCTGAGACCGCGCCAATGCTAGTTGCCGGACGGAGTAGGCCGATCGGAATCTCGGCGTTCATCCCCGGGGATCGACCATCGCGGACTGCCCCACTCCCAAAATTTGGCGATGTAGGCCGCACCCATGACATAGTGGGACATAACACCACTTCGACAATCATACCACACCCCCTCGCTTGGCCCGCCGCATTGCCTCGCTCTTCCGTATTCCAAAGTCGTCTGCGAACACCTCGGACACCTCCTCGAGACTCAACCCGGAGGTCTCGGGATAGCAGCACCACACGAATACCCACCCGGCCACACACACGAGTGCGTACAGCGCAAACGCGCCGGCGGGAGTCGCCGCTTCCATGAGCGAAAGGAACGTCGCGGCCACCAGCAAGTTGGCGGACCAGTTCGTGGCGGTGCACAGGCTCGTGCCAAGCCCGCGGACCTCGAGGGGGAAGAGCTCGCCCTGCTGCCATGGGATGTTACCGCTGCCGGTCGCGTATGCAGCAACGAAGAGCATCATGCTCACCAGCACCAAGAGGGCCTGGGCGCGCGGGTACTCTGTTCCGGGGACGAGGATGCCGCCCGTGTCGTGCGTCAGCTCTGCGGTTAGCGGCGACGGGGGGAGTACGCACGGCCGAAGAAGAAGGACGTGGCGAGCAGCGCGAAGGCCATGAGCGGCACCGTATAAAGCATGATTGGACGGCGGCCGATGGGGTCGATGATCTGCGGTCAGATAGCATGAGCAAGAGACCTACCTTGAGAGCAAGGAGTGTAAAAGCGCAGTTGACACCGGCGATAATCAGCCCTGTCGCTGTCGCGTTCTTAAAACCCATTGCAGCGAAGATGGACGCCGAGCTATGGTTAGTCTGCATGCATATGTCGCCCATGCCTTCAAGTCTCAGACATACTAGTACTGCGTGTCAGATGCCAACGCCTTTATCAGCTCACCATCAAAGTGTTGAAGCCGCATGCTTGCTGCAATGCCTGCAGCCCACACCCGATCGCTGTCGTCAGCTCTTGAACCAAGCCCACGCACTCAATGCCCTCCGGTACGCGCCGACGTGGAACAAGCTTGCCGCCCGCTCGCGCACTGTCGTCGTCCGCTCGACTTGGACGCTCTGCGCAACGGCGCGCGTCATGATCTCGACTTTGCGGACCACGTCGTCCTTCGTCGCGAGGGGATATACACGCGAAAGGATGCGCTCGACGGCGCGCGTATCGCCGCGGAGGAGTAGGATGCGGGCTGCCATCAGCTTGGTTCTCGTTCAGACATACGCGACTCAGGGAGGAAGCCAAGAGCCACAAGCTGCACAGCAGCCGGCAGCGCGCCGAGGCCGACCATCCACCGCCATCCGGCGGGCGAGCGCGCGAATAGAGCACCAATCGCTGCCGTCAGTTCCCCGTCGTCCAGAGACGTACAGTACGCCACGACCTGTCCGAATGTGCACACGACCGCATTGACCGTGACGAGGCGGCCGCGCATGCGTGTCGGCGCCAGCTCGCCAATGTACAGCGGGGCGATGCAGGATGCAAGGCCCACTCCGAGGCCGACGACGAACCTCCCGGCCACCATGATGGAGACGGAGTGCGCGGCGGCCTGCAGGAGCGCGCCGGCGATGAAGACGATGTTGGCGAGGAAGAGGATGTCTTTGCGCCCGCGCGCGTCCGAAAGCGCGCCGGCGCCCAAGCCACCAAGGAGTGCACCCAGCGTCGTCGCGCTCGTGATTGCCTCCTTCTGGATAATTGTTAGCTTGGCGCCGAGGTCGGTCCCGATCACAACGCTGGTGTCAGCTTAGCTCCTGTGCGGTAAGGCTTACAGCGTCCCGCTGATGACCCCGGTATCGTAGCTGCTGTCAGCATGCACGGGAGGGTAATACATACCCAAATAGAAGTCCGGAGATGGCTGCAGCGCTGACGAGCCACCACACGAAGGGCGTGACGCTGTCCTCGCCCGCCACGACCACAGCAGCCTCGTCCACTTCGGGAGCATGTCGGTCATCTGCTAATGCAGATACTGCGCCCGGAGGCGAGGTTGCCAGCGGGACGTAGCCCGCAGTCATGGTGAAAGAGATATTGACAGCGTGGCTTGCTACGCGCGTGTGCAGTGGAATAAAGTGCGGAGTCGAGTTCACGTCCGGATTTGGATGCAGGTTGGGTGGCAATCGATTGTGACAGGGTCTGGACCTGGCAGGTGGAGGCACCGTCATGATCCGTTGTGATGGGGATGATGCATATGCTGTGACGACTTAAAAACAACCTGATGATCTACTCCGTCGACCCAGACTCATCCACAGACGCATCATTGCGATGCCGGCGCTGAAGACGCGCGAGATTCCCCTTCTCGAAGCGCCCGCGAGAGAGGCTGGCAGCGGCACGTCTCTGCACCATCTCAATGTCGGCGGTCGCGCCCTCGATATCGATCTTGGGGAAGGCAGGCACGTCGTGCGTCCGCTCCTTCGGGACAGGGAGACGTGAGGCGGCGACAATCTCAGACACGTTGGTGGGGTGCACGCGATCAGGCTTGACGACAGTTGCCTGGCTGAGCACGCGGCGGAGGTAGTCGGATGATGGGCGGGACGCGGACGACCATGCGCGCAGTTTGGGCAGCGTCGCTTGTACGTTCTTGTAGCCACGTTGTGTGGGCTGCGGTAAGCTTTGGCGCTTTGGCGCGGCTCAGCTCACCTCGATCCATGGCACGTCGAGGAGCTGGAAGAGCTCGCGTTCGTCGTCCACAAGAATCGCCGTCTTGGGGGGACGCTATATCAGCTGTGTTCATACCTCGGACCCACCCCTTGTCCAAGTGGCTGCATGCCGCCGGGCCAAAGCTTGAGGCCGCTGCTATCAGCGCAGAAATGCGAGAGACTCACCGCTTCCGCGCCTCCAAAACCATGTGCCTCACAAGCCATTCCGCACCAGTGTCCCAAAACAGTCGGTACGGGACACTCTCCATGGGCACGATCCGTATTTCCAGATGGCGAAGGGGACGGTCCTCTCCGAGCGAGCTAAATCCTCCCATCTGCACGTGTGTTGGGGGGGAATTCGGCCCGCTCATGAGCATATTGTCTAGCCGGAAGATCCCCTCTTTCTCAAGAGTGCGATAAAGGTCCCGGATGCCCGACTCCTGCTCTGGACGCTCAAATGCGTCGTGCCACACAAGCACGTTGATCGACTGCGAGTACGCAGCACCGCGGCGGTATGCCCCGACCAGTTCAAAGTTGTCTACCGTCAGCTCGCACGCGATGCGGGCGCACACTTTGTGTCGGCGCTGCTGAGGGCCTGGCCTAGCCGTTCTCGGTATTCTTCTACCTCGGCGCGCGAAATGGCACGGTCCTGTACTTTCAGAAGCTTGATGAAGTTCTTGACTTTTGGCTTGACCCGCGGTTCTTCCAACAAGTCCTCCAGCGTCCGATGTCCACTATATGCGCTGAAATGAGCAACTTGCGGTCGAGAATCTCTTACAGTGCGTGCGCCTTATTGATTCCCAGACTTGGTAACCGGTCGAAGAGCTCGCGCGAGATTTCCTCCTCTGTGAGGCTTTCTAATCCCGGGCTCTTGTACTTCTGCAGAAGCGCCCAGATCGTCGTCCACACGAAGTTGTTCTGGTGTCAACACGTTCCTGTACCGGCTCACCTTCGTGCCTATAGCGTTCTCAACTTCACCAAGAGTCAACAGCCGGTCGCCGTCCTTAAGGAGACGCTGCGCGAGCGTCACACGCGCATTCCTATACTCCGGGTTCTCGCGCTCGACTGCGTTGGCCAGATCGTCGGCCATTATCGCCCCGCCGCGGCTGTTTAGTGGGACCAGTAGCGCATCGAGGAGAAGGCGAGAGGGAATGAATATCTCCTGATAGTCTGGCATTAGCGTGAGGAAGGTGACAGAACTAGTCGTACGGGGATGTGTTGCCTGGATGGACTGGAGGGACGAGCAGAGCCACCATCTTGCTGAGGGCGGCCTCGTGTGGCCAGAAGAGGAGGGTTCTAATGCGCCGCCGGGAGATTCAAGAGGAAGTCTAGACACGGACTCCGTAGCTCCGCTCGGCGCCACTGGTCGTTGCTCAGAGCTGCTTTGCGTGCTGATCGAATCGGTCGAGCCGAGGGCCGTGGTGACCGAACGGGAGAGCGCGAAACGAGCAATGGGCAAGGTCCGAATGGAATTTGCTCGTTTCCATACATGCGCACCGAGCATCAGAAAGAAGATCACTCGGGCGCGTCGTGGGATTAGTTGAGGTTAGAGATCCAAACCAAAGTTGTGATCAGAGTCGAGTAACGCGCCTCCACCGGCCCGCATGTTCACTATGGAAAAATGCCTCCGCAGCTCGCTCTCATGGAATGACTACACTAATGACATGATGCACTACTCTACTCTCGACGAACAAGAACGACGACAGCCTATTACCTCTACATATGCGTTTACCGCGTGCGGATGATGCCAGCGTTGATGAGCTTCTGGATCTTCTGAGAGATCATTGGGTTCTTCATGTGGTCCATGAGTGCCGAGGGGTTCTGCTGCGCGTCCGACAGAATCTGGCGCATGATCGGGTCGGCCATGATCTCGGCGACCTCCGGGTCGCGCATCGCACGCGAGTACGTCTCCTCGTCTGTCTCCGTTGAGCGCTGCGCCTGGAGCTCCTGCATGACGCGGTTCATGTTGCTGCTGATCTCCTTGGAGTGCTTGCCCTCGGTGTCGGCGTCCATGGCCCGCTGCAGCGTCTCGAGAGCCTTGGTGTTGTCCCGCATCGCCTGCTGCACGAGCGCCTTGCGGATGTACGCCTTGACAAAGGTGGCGTCACATTTAATTGCCTCCTCGGCGTCCTTAAGCGCCTCCGGGAGCGCCATCAGCTTCTGGTATGCTGCTGCGCGGTTGTTGTACGCGCGAGGGTCATTTGGCAAACGCTTAATAGCCTCGGTGTAGCTCTTAACAGCGTCGGCGAACTTGCCCGCCTTGAACTCGGCGTTCCCCACCTCACGTGCCTCGTCCGACTTTGCGGGGTCAATGTACGCCTGCTTGTCCGCCTCGATCTTGGCCTTCTCAGCCTCGCGCAACTTGCCCAGGATGTCCGGCGTCCGGTGCTCGGTCAGCGACTTCTGGTAGAACTTGATGGCGTTAACCAGGTCGCCCTGCTTGTTGTAGGCGTTACCGATGCGCCCGTATGCCTTGGCGTACGTCTTGTAGTCGGCGCGAAGCTCTCTGCCCTCCTCGATCACCTTCTCAGCGGTCTCAATGCACTTTGCCAAGTCGCCCTGCTCAAAGTACACGGCGCTCAGGTTGAGGAGGTAGGTGACGTCCTTGGGGTATGTCTCCCACGCCTTGCTGTAGAGCGAGACCGCTTCGTCGAACTTCCTGGACTTGTAGGCGGCGTTTCCCTGCAGCTTGATCTCATCGGCCTCCTTCTTAGCCTTGGCGTCATCGTCGTCGACATCCATGGGTTCCTCCTTAGGCTCCTCCTTGGCCTTCTTCTCGGGCGAGGGTGAGCGGGCCGTGGGCGGGGAAGGCGCCTTCTGCTCCTGGAACGAGGGCTGCGCAGGTGTCGCTCCCGGGGGCATCTCGTTCGAGCCCTCTGGGCGCTCCATAGCGGACTGGATATTAGCGCGAGCCCATCACGGTATGTTTGCTCACAATGTCAACGCCCATGAGGACGCCCAGGACGGTAAGCATGCGCGGGTCACCAAACAGCTGGGTCATGTCGGTCTTGCCACCCGAGGCGGCAATCTGGTCGATCTTGGCCGCAAACGAAGGGTCCCGCATCATCTCCGCCGTCTTGGGGTTGGCCGCGAGCTTGGCCTTAAGTTGCGGGTCACCAAAGAGCTGGCCCATGCCCATTCCATCGTTCGGCCCGCCCATCTCCTGGTCCATGACCTTCTGGACCTCAGCGAGGCCCTTCTTAAGAAGTGCACTCTCGGGCTCAACCTGCAGACCTTCCTCGTAGGCCATGACTGCCTCCGGGTACTGGCGGAGACCGTGCAGGGCCGCGCCCTTGCGCAGGAAGCCCTTGGAGAACTGAGGGTTGATCTCGATGCACTGGTGTCAACGGTGTACTCCAGTGACAAGAGCTGCTATGCTGGGAGCACAGATTGCGACTCACCTTTTCCGCATCCTCAAGAGCACCCTGGTAGTCGCGACTGCCAGACTTGGCCGCTGCGCGGTTGGAGTAAAGGACGTGGTTGGAGGGGTCGAGAGCAATTGCGTCGGAATAGAGCTTGATGGCGTCGGGGTAGTTCTTCGCCGCGAAGGCCTTGTTGGCCTGGGCCTTGAGCTGCTCTGCCTCAGACATTTTTGAAAAGAGATGTAGGGTGAAGAGTTGTGAAGAGTAAGATGGAAGGTGAAGTACGGCAGGAGCGAAATCAACGACGGCGGCGAGGACGACTTGGGTGATGACGGCGAGGGACGAGCTGGTGGTCAGGAACGCGGAACCTCCCAGAAGCACCCAGCTGTAAGTGCGGGGACTCCAGTACACGTGGTGTTATCAATCCCAAAGTATTATGTGTACTTAGCTTGGCACCTCGATCCACGCGACGCGTCTCATTCTCGCTGGGTGAGGTGTGCGTGTGGACCCTGAATGTCATTTGACGCGTCGCTCTCACCCAACCACATCATTTCATTGTCTTCTCTCCTCTCTTCTCCACCGATACTCCTCCTCTCGCCCCTCTGACCTCCATCCAGTATGGCTGAGGCGCCCACGCAGGATGCTGCGCTCGTTGCGGCTGACGACCTTATGCGCGACCGCGCGCGCCAGTTTGTCGAGTTCCTCGATGATGAGGTGAGCATGGACCTCATATTTGTGGCTGCCACTAACATGTAGAATCAGGCGAACTACAACTACCGAGGCGATATCAAGCGTATGCTCGACATGGAACAGCAGCGTTTGATTGTAAACCTCGATGACCTGCGCGATTACGACCGCACGTACGCCGATGGGCTGCTGCTCCAGCCTACCGCCTTCTTTCCTGCGCTCGAGGCTGCTGTTCGTCAAATGGTCCAGGCGCTCCACGACCCGGCTCGCCACAACGTCCGCGACAAAGACTGTAAGCTTACCATACTTTGCCCTTGGCTGACTCCAGATTACGTGGGCTTGCGTGGGTCGTTTGGGCAGCAGCACTGCAACCCGCGAACATTGAGGAGTCACCAGATCGGCAAGATGGTTTCGCTTGAGGGTATCGTGACCCGATGTGAGCAGTCCACTTGCCAGTATGAGTCGGATGCTGATAACCAGGCTCGCTTGTTCGCCCCAAGATGCTCAAGTCCATTCACTACTGCCCCCCAACGAAGAAGTTCCACAGCCGATCTTACCACGACGGTACTATGATCGCACCTTCCTCAACACTCACAGGCTCCACCACGGTGATTCCCACGGACGACGGCGAAGGTCACGCCCTATTGATGGAGTATGGTCTCTCCACCTTCCGCGACAGCCAGACAATCAATATCCAGGAGATGCCGGAACGTGCACCACCAGGTCAGCTGCCCCGAGGTATCGAGGTTGTGCTTGCAGACGACCTGGTAGACGTCTGCAAGCCGGGAGACCGCATTCAGCTTGTGGGCGTATACAAGTCGTCTGGTGGGGGTCAGGGGTCCCGCGGATTTCAGTGAGCTGCCGTGCGTTGACCTCCAGCTGACACTAGCACTGCACTCATCGCCAACAACGTCATTCTTCTGTCGTCCAAGCAGGGGGGCGGTATCGCTCACACACCTCTGACCGACGATGACATCCGCAACATCAACCTCGTGTCACGAAAGAAGAATCTCTTCAAGCTACTTTCAGAGAGCTTAGCGCCATCCATTTATGGCTACCAGTACATCAAACAGGCCATTCTCCTGCTCCTGCTCGGCGGTGAGGAGAAGAATCTCAAGAACGGCGGCCATATCCGTGGAGACATCAACATCCTGATGGTCGGTGACCCTTCTACCGCCAAGTCGCAAATGTTGCGCTTCGTTCTGAACACGGCTCCGCTGGCAATTGCCACCACTGGTCGTGGCTCGTCCGGAGTTGGTCTCACGGCCGCTGTGACCACTGACAAGGACACAGGCGAGCGTCGCCTCGAAGCCGGTGCGATGGTCTTGGCCGACCGCGGTGTCGTGTGCATTGACGAGTTCGACAAGATGAGCGATGTGGACCGTGTCGCTATTCACGAAGTCATGGAGCAACAAACCGTCACCATTGCCAAGGCTGGCATTCACACCACCCTCAATGCTCGATGCTCCGTCGTCGCGGCTGCCAATCCCATTTACGGCCAGTACGATGTTCACAAGGACCCCCACCGCAACATTGCTCTGCCCGATTCCCTGCTCTCGCGTTTCGATCTGCTGTTTGTTGTCACAGACGACTCGGACGAACAACGCGACCGCCAAATCTCGGAGCATGTTCTTCGCATGCACCGATACCTCCAGCCTGGCGTTCAGGAGGGCACGCCTGCCGTCGAGAACATTCAGCAGCACCTCGACGTCGGTGGTGACGTTCACGAGACGACCACCACTGAGACGCCGGTTTACGAGCGATACAACCCCCTCCTTCACGGTGGTGTGACAACCACTCGCGGTCGCGGCTCAAACAAGAAGAAGGAGGTGCTCTCGATCGCCTTTGTGAAGAAGTACATCCAGTACGCCAAGAGTCGCATTCACCCTACCCTCACGAAGGGCGCCGCCGACTGGATTGTCGGCGTGTATGCGGGTCTTCGCAACGACGACCTTGCATCTAACCAGCGAAGGGTAAGTCTCGTCATTTGTGGCACAGACTGACCATAGACATCGCCTTTGACTGCTCGTACTCTCGAAACTCTCATTCGTCTGGCCACAGCCCATGCCAAGGCACGACTATCAAGGGAGGTGGACGAGAGGGATGCTATCGCGGCTGAGGAACTTCTCCGCTTCGCACTTTTCAAGGAAGTAGTCCGCCATGAGCGCCGAAAGCGTCGCAAGCTCAACGGCGGCGGCGCGCGAGACGATGACGAATCGGACAGCGACGACGAGGAGGAACTCCTGGAGGAGGAGATTGCGGCGCCGACTGAGATCGACCGCCAGCGTGCACGAGAGAAGGCGGAGCGTCTTGAGAGGAGCCAGCGACGCCGTGGCCAGTCTCATGCGGATGCGGAGGATGAAGCCGAGGCTGCTGCCGCCGAGGCCCTGGCCGACGGTGACATTGAGATGGCCGAGGCTGAGGAGGCAGAGGCTGTGGCGGACAACCTGAGCAACATCACGCCAGAGCGCCTCAACTTGTTCCGGGAGCGCTTGGGCGTGGTATTCGAGCACGAATCCATGGCTGAAGGCTATATTTCGTTCACCGACATGCTCCCACTCGTCAACGAGGGACTGGCGAACGAAGACATGTTCGGCACGAACGAGGGCAAGGCGGCCGTGCGAAAGATGGCCGACCTCAATGAGTTGATGGAGACTGAGGGCACGGTGTACAAGGTGTAATTTTGACTGTACTAGATCATGACATGCAATATGCTTCGTAACGGTTCAAAAAGGTGCGGAATCAGTCAATCAGAGGAATGGTGCAAGGCGGTGGTCAGGACGGTCAATCATCTCACAACCCGCCTGCGCTCCACTTGTACCATGCAATGCCTGCATACTTCTTCTAGTAACCTGTCTTGTCGCTGATCTCCCAGTCGTACGCCATGACCTCTATGTATTAGAGACCTCTTCGCCGGGCACTCACCAGCCATGTGGGGGCGGACGTGGTCGCGAACGCAGTCCATGTGCGCGTCACTGACGGCATACTTGTCGAGCGCGGCGCGGTCCTCGAACACAGAGTACAGGCCCCAGTTCCAGCCCTGCGTCCTCGCCTCGATCTCAGGCGGGCCAATGTGCATGCTCAGCGGGCCGGGCACCTTGAGCAGCTGCTTGATCGACTCCTTGGCCGCGTCGGCCTCTGCGTCCGTGGCACACGGCTTGAGCTTCCAGAGGACGATGCTGGCGTTAGGGGCGGCGTGGGGTAGGCGATGGCGCGGCTCACTGAATGATTTCTGCGGTCAGCGGAATCGCGGGGATAGCGACAGATGCAGAGCACCCGTCAGGTGCGGGAGGCGAGGATTTGGCGCCCGACATTGCCGTGCTTGCCCGGGAGGCCGCCACATTTCTCGCTCACACCAGTACTCACTGCCCATGATGAAGTGTTCGTTGTGAGAATGAGAGGCGACGAGCCGACGTCGAAGCTCGAAGTAACCCTCGGCCCGCTCGGCCCCGGCATCTCCGCTCGCGGAGCTCGGCTTCCAATCCGCGGTGGGCCGGATAAACCGCCGGCGATGTCCTACCCCGCATTCCACCCCGCACCTCGTCAACCTCCACTCGTCCCCTCATTCGATCTCCTCGACAACACCCAAGTGGAACAATGGCCAGCGCCATCGCGCTCCCCCTCTCCGCGCTCCTACCGCCTTCAGACACGACGAAGGGGCGCGAGGTAGCCGCACGCGCCCTCCTCGGCTTCGATGCACCGTCGACACCGCTCCCGAAACATACCGCGATTCTCGGCCCTCTGCCCCCAAGCGCGCCGCTGAGCGCCGCAGACGCCTTCCTCGCCCTTGCGGACATCCCGGCCTTCGAGGCGAGTGAGCATACTTCCACCGCTATTTCTACATACGCAGCGCTGTATGCCCTCCAGCCTCGGCCGCACGCGCTAGTCCTTACTGGTCCGCGGGAACAACTCCATCTCGCACTGGAGGAGCAGGATCCGCCCTTCCTCCGCTCCCACTCTTATGACTTGCTCGATCGCCTGCGCCGCACTGATGTTCGGTACGCGCCCTCCTTCGGGCATCTCAGACTCCTCATCGCTGTCCTAGGGAGTGAGGGGGCTAAGGTTGCTCCGCCATCCCTAGTCGTGTTGTACGACATTTTGGGTCTGCTCACCATGCCCGGGGAGCGCGAGGAGAACAAGCCTCCTGATGTAGAAGAAACGGAGGCCGATCAGCCAGAGCTTGCCAGAGTACTACGTCCTGGGTGAGCGATAACCTAAACATGAGCTGATCACAGAGTCACACTGGCGAGCTACCTCGAGCTGGTCGCTGCTGCGCTAGACCTCGCCCGCGCCGCTGGCAATGTCCCCATCCTGATCCTCGAACCAGGCGGAGATATTGCGCTGCCCCTGCTTGTGACGGCCAACGAGACCGTACCTCCCACCCAGCGGACGCGAACGGCGCAGCTCTCGGACGGACTGCGCCGCCTCGGCTTCACCGTAGGGCGGGTAAGCCCTGTTCAAGCTGAAGAGGGTTAATATACGTGCGTGGGGCAGAGCTCACAGCAGAGCTCACGGGTACCCGATACGAGCTGGTGCTTTCGGGCGAGACGCACCGTTTTGCTTGTCGGCCTGGCGTCAAGTCCGAATTCGCATGTCCGCCGCGTGAGGAGGGCGAGCAACTGGAGACGGGCGGATGGGTGTGGGAGTGGACATGAGGTAATGGTCTAGCTGCGGAACCTTTGGGCGCGACGTCCATGAGCTATATCAGCTGCCCCGAAGAAAAGGCCACTGTCTGGCGGGGGCGGAGCGGTACAAGTCCTTCACCGGACCGATGGACGGCAGCCCTCAAAGAGGTCACTGCCGACGTGGCTATGGATGGCCATTGGGCCATGCTGGTCTCGTGCCGTCTGGAACTTCTGTGAACGCTCCAGACGACGGAGAGGGCATCGCAGTGCAGCGACTGGTCTGAAGAGTAGGTAGTTTGATAGGCAAGCTCAACGCGAGGTTCGGGCTTCAGTGCTTGCGCCGCAAAACAATACTGTACATATCATGAAGAGACAACTAAAAGCCACTACGCTGCCCAGCCAACCCACTTGCGTACAAGTCGGTCGCCACAGCCACCCTCTCCACCCAAGTCCATGTGCTGACCGGGACAGAAGAGGCGATGAAGGCGACCCGCCTTCTTGAGGCGCTTGAGACCGATAAAGTCGCCGCGATACAGCTCCTGCTCCTCGAGCGGAATGATGTGCGTCGTGTTCAGGGGGTCAATTGTGGCCCAGTGCGCTGAGAGACCTGGCACGACAGTGGCTGCAGTCAGCATCTCTTTACCGCCTCTCAACTCACTGTCGTCCCGGAACGCAATCGCGACCATGTTCTCGAGCCGCACGAGCCCCCGACCCCCATCCTCCCGCCCGCTGCCGCCCCCTTCGTCCACGCCCCCCTCGCCATTCAGGTCACGAAGGAACGAGTTCTGTTCCAAGAACTCCTGCATCCGCGCCGGGTCGCGGTAGTACTGCGCCTGGATGAGATGCGACTGCGCCCATCGTGTGTAGATGCCGGCCTTGGCGGCGCGCGCAGCGAGCGAGCACGTCAGCGTAGGCGGTTCGGGGCAGGGGATGAGGGCCGCGATGCCATAGTGCGGTGTGCCAAACTGCTGTTAGAGGCGCGACTCATGGAGGGAAGACGCACTGTGATGAGGTTCTTGATGGGAGGCCCGTCGCAGTACTGCGCGTACCAGCGGAGGAAGAGGCCGCCCTGACTGAACCCGATTGCGTCGAAGCCGCCCTCGAGCTCCGCGATGCCCTTGATCTGGTCGCAGCCGCCTTGTGCGAGTTCCTCGGCTACACCCCACTGCCGTCAGCCATACTGTTTTGGCACCATGAGAACACGTTCGGTCTCCCGCTCGACGTCTTCCCTCCGCATCCAAGCCTGGCCCAACTCACCCATCCAGCCTTCTGCTCGTCGCTCGGACTTCCCTCCGTCGGCGCGACGACGGCGTGTACGAAAATCCCCGGGAATTCGCTGCGTACATAATCTGCAAACTGGTCCATGCCCTTCGAGTGCGCGGTGTCTCCCAGCCCATGCCAGACGACGAGCGGGCGTGGATTTGGGCGGGGACTAGGAGGGGCACTGGAGTCGGGGCTGGGCGCGGCTGAGCCGAGCACGGCCTGCGCCGGCGCTGGCGCCCCAGCAGCCGTCGTGGCGAGCAGAAGCAGCTGCGCGATGAGCATGGTGGCGGCTAAACCGATGCGGTGGACGAGTGGGCAGCATGGGCGGAATGTGAGCACCTCCACCTCGCCACCAGCCGCAGTCCCCACCCTGGAGATACGGCGTTTTGGGGGTGGCACACTTACCGGCGGCAGTCACGGGCGCCGCTCCGCTCGGTGACATTCCCCACCAGAGGAGGCCGAGTCGTTCTCCACCTCTCGACCTTTGGTATCACTCACCTCTCAAATATGTCGCAAGCAGCGAGCGCAGCCGCCAACCAGGGCATGTCCAAGTGGCAGAAGTTCCTCAACCACGAAGTCGGGCCAAAGTACGTTTCGGCGTTGTGTGGCGAGCGCGTGCTGACACCTTCTCCCGTCTCACCTATGTCTGCATTTACCACTTCCATCGCTATCGCTGTGCTCTGTCTGATGATATTTGCAACGCTTTCGCATATCCTCGGCTATCGGCCGCGCGTTCTTCGATTTCATCGCAACCCTCATCACACACTATCGCTCTCTTACCTCCTATTCGCCTCGTTTCCGCCTATGATCTTGACGCGACAGGACCGTCTTCTTCTGGGCCCCCGTCGCCAAGTGGGGCCTTGTTGCCGCCGGCATCAAGGACCTGCAGCGCCCCGCTGACAAGCTCTCCCTGACGCAGAACCTCGCGCTTGCCGCGACCGGATTTATCTGGGTGAGTCGACACAGAGGGGAGTAGCGAGGAAGGTGGGGCGTGAAGAGGGCATCGCCACGACTTGTCCACAACACGACGAACATCATACTTGGCCGCACGGGGCACGTTGCTTGCTTGTGTGTGATGGAGGGGGAATGGAGGCGGAGGCAAGGCCGTCATGACAGGAAGGATATGGCAGTGGGAGGGCGCATGTGTCGGTTGCGTGGCGAGTACGGCCTGCAGCTGTGCGAGGCGCGAGAGGCCTGGCGTAATTACGCCTTCTGGTCCGAGAGCGAGGTTATGAACAGGAAGCAATTGCCTCACCCGGCGTGGAGACGACCGCAGGGCAGGCGTGGAGGCGACGCAAGTGCACGCCGCGGCGACCCCTCGCTCCGCGGCGCAGCGAGATCTCGATTGCGCTGCGGGGCGACGGAGGTGTATGCGTGTTCCCGCATTGTTCTTGAGAAGTCGGACCGCAGTCACTGCATGTCCAGTCGCTCACTGAGGTGGAGGGCTGGCGGTCCGCACTTCTGCTCCACTTTGCCGCCGCGAGTTTGTGATCTCTCCTGACTCCAGGTCCGCTACTGCATGGTCATCACGCCCGTTAACTATGCGCTCGCCGCGGTTAACTTTTTCGTCGGCACCACTGGTCTTGTGCAGCTCGGCCGTATCTACAAGTGGCGCCAGGAGCACCCAGTGCTCGCCGCGATTGAGGACAAGGTCGACTCGAAGAAGTAAAGGCGTGTTTGTATGCATAGAGGTTGGCACTGTTAGCACTCGTGATGGCGTCGGCGCGGCTGCGGACTAGCATGCCAAGTGCGGAGATGTGTCCCTTGATGATGACCAAAGATTGCCGCGGTGTGATCCAAGCCTGACCGCCGTTCGCCGCCGTCAGGTCGGAGATCAGCGGTAATCAACTATGTGCCTGATGAGATCAGTGAAGATAGAGCAATCCTCTCGCCTTGTTGTACGTCCTCTGTATCCTCTTGTAGATTGTAGAGTTGCAGAGCCAGCACGACGCGGGAACTAGTCAGCGATCACTGAACGACGGCGTAGTCAGCACTGCGGCCGTGGCCGGGGATGGCCGGCGGCCGCCGAGGGGCGCGACGGGGGCGTCCGAGGCCGAGGGTGATTGTCGCTTCTCGCGCAGGCCGCAGGCAGACGTCATCCATTCCTTTGATAATTCTTGAACCTAGATAATATCAGCAACTATCGCCGCCGACGACGCCCATCTCAACATCTCAAGAGTGCATACGTTTCTCGCCACGCTCTCCTCTCCACCCACCTTGTCGGACTTCCAACGTGTGAAACTCCAAAACGCCAACATCTTGGACGGCTTGGCACAGCGCTCGGTCCCCCTCGCTTCCTTCTCAGCACTAGCGCCGAAGCGGTGTTGACACCGCAGTCCGCATCCGAGAACTCAATATCACACACCTCGTTCACGTCGGCGAGCTAGCTCCTAGGAACGAAACCATCTCCCTCCTCCCCTCTTCATCTTGGCCCACTCCACATTCTTTTCCTCTGCTCACCTCCCCCATGACTACCTTGCAACCACCACCTCGCCACTCCGCCTCCGGCTCGGGCTCTCACACAGCTCCCGCCTCTCCAGAACCAACATGGAAGAGCCGGATGAAAGCGACGGGCATGCGTTGGGGCAAGGCGGCGAGCGACCGCGCCATCAAGGTGAACGACTACGTGGGGCCAAAGGTTAACTCGTTCGCCGAGAACAAGTTCGGGACGCACGCATTCTGGCCGACCTCTGGCGACTTCCCCGCCGAGATGGACAAGGCCGCCGCTATCCTGCGCGAGTTCACCGTGTCTGGCGTCGTGACGACCGACAAGAAGACTAAGCGCAAGGTGCTGCGCAAGGTGCCCCCAGCCGTGCTGAAGGACGCGCAGGGCCTGGCTATTTTCACCTCCATGCGGTCGGGCATCGCGCCGCTCGGCGGCGCGGGCGGCGCGGGTGTGGTCGTCGCGCGGCTCGAGGACGGGTCGTGGTCCGCGCCAGCGTCCATCTCGCCGCAGAATCTCTCGACGGGCTTCCTCATCGGCATCGACGTGTATGATTGCATCCTCGTCATCCGGACGCGCAAAGCGCTCGAGTCCTTCTTTGGGCACAAGGTCACGCTGGGCACTGAGATCGGCGTGGCTGCTGGGCCATACGGTGTCGGTGCGGCCATGGAAGCGGGCCGCGAGGCTGCCCCCGTCTTCTCCTACGTGAAGAGTAAGGGGATATACGCAGGCATTGAGGTGGTCGGACAAGTGTTCGCGAGCCGCTTCGACGAGAATGCCGAAATGTACCACTGGCCAGGAATCAAGGCGGGCGACATCCTCACGGGCAGGGTCAAGGTGCCGCCCGAGGCCGCGAACCTGCAAGCCGCACTTGTGGACGCGGCGACTGGGCGAGCCCAGCAGCGCAAAGGCTCGCAGCTGGATATGCCAGTCGATGAGCTCGCGCAGACTGTCGTCCTCGAGGATGGCGAGGTGCTCAAGCTCCCACCGACGCCTGACCAGACCGATGGGCACGAGTACGAGTCGGACCCGGAGACGGAGGAGGTCATTCGCCGTTCGCGTCCCCCCGTCTTGCCTCCGCGCCGAGACGGCGCGCCTCCCGCACTGCCGCCACGCCACCCGCGGCGCTCAGGCGAAATGGAGCCGAACCTCCTCGGCTCAGCGAGCGTCGGAGCCAGTCCCCACGGTAGCCCTCGTCTCGCCCCCCCTCTCCCGCCCCGCGCTGCCACCAGACCCCAGAGCATGGTCATCTCGCCGACTGCGATCGCGTTCTCCGCCTCACCCACTTCTACGTCCCCTGTCGCACACTTCGAGAAGGCTGCGGACCATTCGGACGCGCCGCCGAGCTACGAGGTTGCCGAGGCCCTCCCGCTCGACGCCAACGTCCACCTCACCCCCGCCCCGACCGGGGCGCTCCTCGCGCCGCCTGCCGTCGCCTCACCTGCGTCATCGTATAGTGCATACGACGACGACGTGGACCAATTCAACTTGGCTGTTGGTACTAGCCCCGCTTCCGCACCTGCCCCACTGGCGCCCAGCCCTGCGGTTGGTCCTGCGGACGCGCTGCAGCCCGCACTTGTTCCAGAGAAGGCCCACCCCATCGCGGAGCAGAGCACCATGCCGCAGGGAGAGATGAGCGAGAGCGAGCGCCGCGAGTGGGAGCAGCACTGGGAGGAGGAGCGGCGCAAGGCCCAGGCTGCTGGCAAGGGCAAGCAGAAGGAGGAGAGCCTGTTGTAATAGATCCTAGATGTATAGATGAGATGTGCATTACGAGCTGCCGTTCCACCCCGCATTCTACCCCACCTCCACTTTCGACAATCTCGCGATCAGTTAACATCTGGTCTCTTCAACACCAACTCATCAAGCTGCCACGACTACAGAACGACGCAGCCCCGCCGCAGAACTGGCCAGCGGACGTGGCGTACCTCACGCGCCCGCGCCTCTCGCCCTCCTTCCCACCGGAGCTCGTGCCGCTCCTTTCCGCTGGATCGAAGTTCGCCCCGCGCCCCTCCACCCACCCCTCCACGCTATCCATCAAAACCGTCACGACGACCGGCCATCCTGCGCTGGGGCAGCGATCACTCGTCGCCCGTAAGCGCCTGGAGCCTAAATCCCTATTGCTACCGTACCTTGGCATCGTCCATGCCGACTTCAGCGATGCGGCAGGGCAACGCGTGGACAGGCACGGTGCGCAGACGGCGTGCGCGCACGAGGGGAGCGACTATGACCTGAGCCTCATGCGGCTGAGCGCGAGCGATGTGCGGAACCCGTTTGGCGCGCATGCTCTACAAGGCGAGGAGGAGAAGGCGCTGCACGTCTCCATCGGCGTCGATGCTGCTCAGGCTGGGAACGCTGCGCGCTTCGTCAATGACTTTCGCGGAGTGGCTGCCGCGCCTAATGCCGAGTTCCGTCTGGGGAGGGGAGAGGAGGGCGAGGCCCGCATGGAAGTGTGGAGTACGCGGCGGATCGAGAAGGGCGACGAGGTGCTCGTTTCGTACGGGAAGGGCTGGTGGGGTGCGCGGAAGTAGTCGATGGGCTCGTGCGCGCTCTTTGGTGCAGCTTCATCCACCCCACCTCTCGCTCCAGCGCAAGCGCTTTCCCTGCCCGCACCCATGCATTCCTAGATACAGTCCTACTTCTTCTCCGCCGCCAGCTCCTCCTTGAAGTCCTGCACGGCGGCCGAGAACCCGGTCTCGACGTCGTCGACGACAAAGCCCTGCTTGATCTCTGCGCTCGAGTCGTAGTCCCCGGCCCACGTCTCGCAGATGGCAATGACCGCGGGGTCCTTCCTATACTCGACGAGCTGCATGCCCGCCTCGCCCGCATGTTCCTTGAGCGCGGCGAGGATCTGCCTCGGCGTGACCCGGATGCCGGGGATATTGATGCTGCGGTCGCCCTTCCCAAAGTTGAAGTTCTCCGCCGGCATGCAGAGTCCCCAGACGATATTGCGGAAAACAGTCTTGGCGCGCGTGAGATACACGGGCATACCGTCGAGCATCGGGTCGTCCTCGGACTCGGCGATGGGGCAGACGCTGCGAATGCCCTGCAGCGGCTCGCGGATGAGCCCCGAGATGAAGGACGACGCGGCGGTGCTCGGCGCGCCGGTGCGGATCGCGACCGTTGGGAGGCGGCACGAGCGCGTGTCGAGGTATCCCCGCCGGCCGTAGTCGTACGCGTACAGCTCGACGATGGTCTTCTCCACGCCGTAGCTCGTGCCGGGGATGATGGGGGTGTCTGGCGGAATCACGCGGTCTGTCGGCTTGCACTTGTCCCCACCATACACCGCCAGACTTGAGACGAAGACGTATGTCATCGGACGGCCCAGGATGCCATCCGCGTGCCGCCGTGCGGCTTTGAGCAGCGCGACGTGGCTGTCGACGTTGACGGCGTACCCCAGCTCGAAGTTTGCCTCGGAACCGCCGGACATGATGCCGCTGGTGTGAGCGATTGTTGCCTCCGAGAGAGACCTGACTCGAACTCACTGCAACGCGATCAGGCCGCCCACTTTCTCGCCCTTGAACAGGCTCTCGATCTGCGCGTCATCCCCCAGGTCAGCCTTGACGACGCGCAGCCGCGCATCGTCTGTGAAGCGCGGCGGCTCGACAATGTCGGTGGTGATTATCCGGAGGGCAGGGTAAAGGTTGAGCATGAGCTTTGTGACCTCGCGTCCGACGAAGCCTGGTGTGAGCGAGGTTGGGCGTGAATGGTCGTGAGGAGAGAGGGTTTCAATGGGGTCGGATATGACGCCGCAGGCACCCGTATTCAGCACCACTCACCACCGGCGCCTGTGAGCAGCACCGTCTCGATGTGCGCAGGCAGCTTAAGCGCGTCGTAGTTGAGGTAGGCGTCGGACATTGGAAGAGGCGAAGAGCAACGACATCAACATGGGCAGCTGGGCACATATACGGAATGATGATGCGCCGATGCCGCGTAATGCCGGTCCGGCGGGCCGGTGCCGTCGGATGCCGCCGCTGACGGGCGAGCGCGGTGGTTCGGTGTGGCATAGCCAACGCGGGTGTTGGCGAGAATGCGCGATCCTTGGCTATTAGGTGGTGTGCTTGGTTATAAGTACGGCGCGTTGGCGATGTAAGTTGTTCATCCGGGAGACTTCCACACACCACTCAAGAGCGATGAGTTTCCCCAATGGGTCGTACTTCGGCTTAGCGTGACCCACGCACCGCAAGCTGCGTCGTTCACCCGGTTCACGCGCCAACGAGGCTGACATGTAGAGCTCGTGGAACTCAGCCTGATGCCGCTCAGTAACAGGTCTTATGGACGCCATTAGCACCCACATGTCATCGATTCAGTGCATCACTCCACCCCTCGATGACGTTGCGACTCTCAAATGCTCAATATTGACGCAGAAGTCAAACTAGATGAAATACATGTAGTCATGGCAATGCGGGCTCTCTAACGCGACCGGACACTCTTAGAGTACAGCGACAGCCAGCACAGCGGCTGCAAGTGCCCCTGCGCTCCACGACATGGCGGTCGCGCCGCTGTTGTTCGTCGTCGACTGGGCGGCCTGGCTAGAACTTGGGCTGGGTGTAGCGACGGATGGAGTGGCAACGCCGCTGGTGTTCGACGCAAAGTTGGCGCCGCACTGCTGCGTCACAGCCTGGCCGATAGACGAGGTGGCAATGCTGCCGTTGACCTGGAGCGCGGCGTTGTAGATGCTGATGTTAGTTGCACAGATCGCAGGCGCTACTCACCCAGCAACGCAGCCCGTGCAGAGCTCGCCTGTCCCCAAGGCATCCTGGAGCCGCTGAGTGGCTGAACCGTCGCCGCCAAGCAAGGCGGTGATGGTGTTGAACGTCACCTCGCCCGAGACGTTCTGGATGGTGTTGAGGGCGTCGGCGGCGCAAAATTCATTATTGCTGGTGTCAGCGGATCAGTTGGAGTTGAACAACGCGACGACAGAAGCACCACAGGCTTGCGACGCGCCCGAGCACCGTTGACAGCAAGAAGCAACGTCATCCCGGCATGGAAGCACGTGAAAACAAGACCATCTCGCCTCCCCTCAACCGCTGCACTCACGTGGCGTTCTTCGAGCATGCCGCCGTCTTGATTGGGGTGTAGTTCTCCACGACAGTGAGGAACAAGTTGGCGATGCTCGATTGGTCGGCCAACTCCTGCTGGCAACCTGACCGAACAGAGGACGCCGCACTCGTGAGAGACGAGTTGGAGCAGGTCGGAGTGCTGCTCGCGCACAGCGACGTGAGGTAGCCGTTGAGGGGGTCGACGACGGAGCTGTTTCCGCCGCTGTTGATGACGGGCAAGAGCTCGGTAATCTGAAGACACGAGCTGAGGTCACCGAGAATGAAGCCAGCAAAGGTGGATGTGCAGCCTGCCGAGAGGCCGGCGATGGAGAACTGGCTGTGGGTCAGCGGACACGGGTGAAGGAGGGCAGAGGGTGCGGATCGTGGGAAGCGAATTACTTACGCATTGGCCCCTGCGGCGAGGGCGAGGGCGGCGGCAGCGGTGGTGAGCTTCATGGCGACGTGATCAGAGAGGTGGGCGAGTTGGAAGAGATAAAAGAGTTAGAGGGGAGCCGGACAGAGTTATGAGGGGTCAAGGGGCGGCCTGCGCAACCGATCAACCGGCTGCGTGCCAAGGCAATGGTATTCATCCCCGCAGCCGTCGCTGCGCTATGGGACTGCAGGTCGCAGGGCGTCACTGCGTACGCTCACGCCGCGACCGCTCGCCATCGCCGACCCGACGGCATGATGATTCATCGTCATCTTCGTCAAGCGAGCATACGCAATGTGCAGACGCAGACACTGGCGCGGAGAGCGCGGCCGTTTGGTTGTGATCGGGCCGAATCCTCCCAACCACACAGCTTACAAATTAGACTGTCAAGGCGAACAATCCAAGCGCACACACCTTGCACGTCGGCTGCGTCGCATGTCACGGTTACGGATGCATAGGTCTGTGTGCATCCGCGGTTGCAGCCCAGTCATGTGCGCGGTGCGGTGCACGATGAGACGGCAAGGCTGTGCAGCGAGGGCGACCTGAACGATGATGGGCGTAAGTGGCGTCGGCTGTTTCCGCAGTTGTGATTGCACGCGTCGACTTTCACAAACGGAGGGCCCACATAGGCTCCATACACGTGGTCAGCGCAAATGTCCCCGCGATGCGCTGCGAGGATGGCTCGAACCCCCGCTCTTGACACTTCGCGACTTGTTTTGTTGACACAATTTCCACCATGGTCATGGAGAGCCGCAAGCTGCCGCGCATCCTCAGCTCGCGCTCCCTCGCCGGCGTGGCCGCGGCTTACTCGCGCCGCAACATGGCGTGGAACAATGACGGCCAGCTCCTCCTCGTCACACGGCAGGCCATCACTGTCGCTGTGCGTTGTCCCGACCCCGCCGAAGTCGTGCTAACGACAGACACCATACCTCACTACAACTCTAGCCCCGCCGTCGGTTCAGCTCGACCTCGCTCTTCACCGCTCGCTAAATCCTGCCGCACGCATCGTAAAGGAAGAAGAAGACGAGGACGACGACGCGATCCACGTCGACTTGCCGGAGGAGGCGACGCACGTCATTGCGCGCTCCGACTTCGTCGTAGGGTGGTGGCTAACGGCTGCGGTGTCCAAGGAGCGGGGAAACGACGATGAATACGGATGGACAGGGCTCGGAGGTGGGTTTGCGGAAGGCTGAGGCAGCGGAGGCGGAGGGAAGGTGCTGATCGCAGATGAAGTCACGGGCTTTATCGCGGACCGCGACAGATTAATGCGCGCTGCGGTGTGGTCACCCTCGGGCCTCAACGCGCTAGGTGGCGCGCTCCTTGTCGCGCTGAGCAACCACGGCGTTGTGAGCGTCCATGCACCCGAGGACGCATACAACCAGGCGTGGACCGAGGTGAGGCACTCTGAGACGGCGCTGACTAGATTGCCGATCTCTCCCGTGAGACCATCGAGATCCTAGGCGATGGCGAGATCGAGGACGACAGTCCCACAATTGCGGGCATGCTTCGAATGCGCAAGACGGCGCTCGAGTGGTCGGGACCGACCTCGCTGCCATCAATGCTCGGAATTGATGGGAGCGTCCTCGCCCTTGGCAACCGTGCTGGTGGTGTCGAGTTATGGGCATATGACACGAGGTTCTCGCATCTTGCGACGGTATATCTGCCACGTCCATTCGCGACGGAATTGACGTGGTCAGCGTGGGACATGGTCGACGACGAGACTTGTGAGTGGCGTAACTCGACGCGGCTGACAGCAGGCGTCGCACAGCTCGCAGCCGCGACTTCGGATGGCGGCGTGTGTGTATTGCCAGTGACGCGCACGGCCGACGCCGAGAGTGGGACATGGGACCTCACGGTTGGCTCCTTTGAGACCATCATATTGCCCGACAAGCGTACAGTCAACGCTCTCAAATGGATCATGGTGAGTGGTGGGACCAGTTGAGCTGACAGCAGGACAGCGCACTTGTGTGGACAAAGCCAGGGAGCGTGTCGATTTGGACCTCGTCCCAAGGTGTGAAGACAATACACCTTGAGCGCGTCGGCAACTGGGCAGGCTGCAATGCCCTTGGCCAGGCAATGGGTGAGCGAGCAGAGGGGGACTAACGCTCAAACAGATATTCACTTCGTTGCTCCGCATAGCCTTCACATTGTGCTATCAAGCCTGACACACCACGTTCTTACGGACATCTTTACAACTCCCCGCCTGCTTCCAGACGAGTCGCTGCGATTGACGCTGTCGGCGCGCGACGTCTTCCTCGATGGACGGAAGAAGCGGCGCCGCACTTTCCTCGCGCCGACCGATCGTGAGCTCACGGCCAACACGGGGGGCTACGCCGCCATAGATGCGCCTGGAGAGATTGCTGCTTGGATGGCTGAGTGAGTGGTGATCTGAGAGATGATATGCTTACCCATCCAGACCCGTCAACTTCCACAACCTTGATAATGCGACTGAGGTGAACCGCGCTTTCGACTTTGTAGTAGCGGATCTGGCGGCGAACGGTGCGGAGGCGCGCATGGAGCGGCTGCAGCGTGCGCTGGAGGACCCCCCCAGTTGTAAGTCCGGCGGAAGCAGCGAGGCCCGTGGTGGTGGTGGCTGTGGTGGGCAGCACAGTGGAGAGACCGGTGCGGGCAGCAATAGGCATGGGCTGGGTGGCCGCCTGGGCGGCCGTCCGCCCGAAAGCAATGGTGACACGCTTCGTGAGAGAATACATTGAAGAAACTGACAGCAGTGCTTCATCGCTCGCCTTTAGCTGTTCTCGTACCCCACCTCTTGGGGCTGATTGCTCTACGCGAGTTTGCAGGGATGGGACGTGCCGTGCTGGCACTCGTGTCTCCCCACGAGGTCCCGAAGATTGCCGCCAGCGGGACCGGGCGGCGCGCGCTAATGCATATCTTCTGGGGAGGCGCGCTTGACGCGCACCGCCTGGCGATGGTGCTGGCGCAGTGGGGAGAGGTGAGTCGATCGATCGCTATCAAATTCTGGGGCCGGCGGTAGCTTGTGGGGTTATGGGGAGGTGGAGGGTGGAGGTTTCCCGGTGACAGGTGGAAAGCCTCGGCTATCGTGCCGTATTTCGGCGGCTGCCCGTGCCGCCCTGTGGGCGCGGAATGTTTTCGCTTGGGTTTCCTCACGCCTCGTTTGGTAGTCGGTTGGCTGACTTCAGCGCGCGTGGCCTGGCCTCGCTGCCGACTTCCGTGCCGCAGCGCAGGCGTGTCATGACGCGATCCAGCGCGCACTGGCGCACGCGACTGCTGCATGGGCTAGTACAGATGACGCAGAGTTGAGCGAGGCGGACGCAACGTTCGTCGCCCAACTTGCCGACGACGCAGTAGCCGCCGGCGAGTGTCCCGCCTGCGGCGACAAGATTGAGTTTACCTCTGGCACAGCGGTGTGCGCGAAAGGCCACGACTGGGGTGAGTATCAAGCGAACTAGCAAGGCGCGCGAAGAACACGTTGTTGCGGGATATTCCGCAGCAAACACGTGCGGGTGTCCACTGCCGCCGGCATGCGGCATAGGCACCGGTCCAGAATTTTCGCTGACGGCCAGAAAGATGCAGCGTCACACAGCTGCTCATCACTACGCCCGAGTACCGTGTCTGTACAGTGTGTCCGGCAGTGTCGCGCGTGCCGGCTTCCTGGGGAGAAGGAGATAGCGAGGGGCTCACACAAATGGCGCTCGATGCGGCCGTGGCCTGCGTGATGTGTGGCGGGCGATGGGCGCGGCCGGTGTAGTGCATTGACTTCAAGAGGGAGGCAGGCGGGAGGTGGAAGAATGGCAAGGACATGCATTCTGTACACCACACCAGCGAGCGTGATAGAGAGACTGTGCCCGATTCTCGAGCTACGGAAGGAGACGGATGCGCACCATTGACCCGGCCCCGACCCCGACCCCGACCCCGACCCCGAGCAGACACCGCCGCTCATACCCCGAGGCTGACACAGAGAGTATCTCCGCATCTGTGATGCAATGCCTATCTGTTATCCGTGACGGAACAGGCGATTACTTTGGCCGTCAGTAATCAGCGGAGCAGCTTCCGAATAGAGGGGAATGCTGTTCAGAACTGGGCTCACTTCGCCGTTCAGCACGATGCGGACGGCGGGTACACTCAGCAACGCTGAGGTTTGCTAGGACGTCTGTGGGGACTGTGGCGAAGAGTGGCGGTCTCGGATGCCATACTCCTCCCAACAACCACTCTAGATAATTCCCCCACCGCCCGTACGCCTGTGCTACTCGTTCATCCTTCACCTCTGCGACAATCAAACCAAATCGTGTCTGCATGCATCGCCACATGTGTCTCCGAAGCGCAACCTGAGTCATGCATGCCGCATACCAGATAGGCATTACAGATTACCGCCTGTGCCAGATGAGCGTGGACTCCCGAGCACGACGATCCGTTTCCTCCCGACCCCCGTGACCGATTCGGTTCGGTTCCGCGTGCGCCTCCGCCTGCGCTTGCTTCTTGCAGCGGTCAGCGGTCAGCGTCCAGCGGGGCGGGAAACCGCGGAACAGCGGCAACCTGCGCGACGAGTTGATGCATGCAATGCAATTGATGGGGATGGAGGTGGATGAGTCGATGAATGAGACGATAGCATAGCAGTGGGGACGCAAGCGGAGAGGGCTGAATGGAGGACCTGAGGATGCCGGCGGCAAGGACTTGCCAGGGGCCGAGTCGCAAGGCCGGCCAACTCGAATACCACGACAGACGTCATCGCCATTCCGTTACGGTGAGTCACGGAGCACGCCGGCGAGTGCGACCCGGTGACTTGCTTCGCGCGGGCGCGTCAGCCTCCATCTCATCTGTCATGTTTTGATGCTCTGACATCTTTGGCTGACGCCGGCTCCTCCCGGGTTCTTCGAGCTATAAGACGCGGCGACCTCGCCACGGATCACCAACCACAGACAATCAACATGTCGCTCCTCTCAGCATCCCGCCTAGCACCGTCTAGCGTGCGCGCGACGTCGTCGCTGCGCGCGCGCCTCCCATCCCTCCCCCACCCCATCCCCACTCCCTCCCTCGCCATCCGCTCGCTGCAGTCCACGTCCGCCTCCGCCATCGAAGTGCGCCCGCGCCCCGCACCCCTCGCCCCAGCGAGCACGAGTGCGACCCTCGCGGCCGTCGCTGCCGGCCGCGCACACTCAACTCTCATGAACACCCTCGCTATTCCTCCCGCAGACCAGACGCACACGGGACTCAAGCACGGCGCGCGCCCCGCCGACCTCCGCACCGCCCACTCTGCCTCCTTCCCGACGACCAATGCGCTGCGCCCCGATGTCGCCCAGCGCGAAGAGGGGACCATAGTTGTCGGCGGCGCCGGGCCTGGCACCGAAGGCGGATTCCACGTCAGTGAGTATCATAATCAGCGGATGCACTAGAATGCTCCGGTGTCATCATCATCAGCATCATGCCTACCCTTTTCGTAGTCTCCACCCTCGTTCCCACCGTCTCCACTCCGTTCCCATTCACACCGCACCACGCCGCTGACATCAGACCCGGCGCGCGACGCACAAGCCGACCCACTCGCCTCGTCCCAAGGCTCGTGGACGCTCACTCAGCCCATGTACAGCGCCAAAGAGCTTGACAGCGTCAAGGTCGTGGACCGGCCTCCCGAGACGGTGGGCGACAAGCTCGCACATGGCGTCGTCAAGCTCCTCCGCCGTTCCTTCGACTTCTTCACCGGCTATGTAGCCAAGGAGATCCCGAAGGAGGTGCTGGAGCAGAAGCCCATCCCCGTCGCTGAGCTGCGCGCGAAGCGGGATATCCTCACGGACAAGCAGTGGCTCCTGCGCATCATCCTGCTCGAGAGCATCGCCGGCGTGCCAGGCATGGTGGCGGGCACGCTGCGGCACCTGCGCTCGCTGCGGCTGATGCGGCGCGACGGGGGCTGGATCCACACGCTGCTGGAGGAGGCCGAGAACGAGCGCATGCACCTCCTCACCTTCCTCACCGTGTCGCAGCCGACATGGCTCACGCGCGCGCTCGTCCTCGCGGCGCAAGGCGTGTTCTGGAACGTCTTCTTCCTCACCTACCTCGTAGCCCCGAAGACGGCGCACCGCTTCGTCGGCGCCCTCGAAGAAGAGGCCGTGCGCACATACACACACTGCATCCAGGACGTGGAGAGCGGGCTCGTGCCCGAGTGGAAGAACAAGCCCGCGCCCCAGATCGCCATCGACTACTGGCGCATGCCAGCGGACGCGACGCTGCTCGACGTCATCCGCGCCGTGCGCGCCGACGAGGCGACGCACCGCTTCGTGAACCACTCACTGGCAAACCTCGACCAGAAGTACGACTTCAACCCGTTTGCGCTCGCCGAGGCGTCGCCCGAGATCCGCGGCTCCGTGCCCGGCTTCACGCGTGAAGAGAGCGCAGAGTTTGCGCGCCAGACACAGGCCAAGCTCCTCGGCAAGAACGAGGAGCCGGGCGTCGAGGGTCTCAAGATGGACCAGCTGGTCAGTGATAACAGCCGCGACACCGTCGGCCCAGGCCACACCACACCGCCGAAGAAGTAGCGCCTTGACCCTGTAGACTGGTAGAAGTCAGTGTATGTATCATGAACTTGCCTGAGCGGTTTGCGATGACCGCTAAAAGAGACCACGATGGTCCGGTGAGCGCTGGTCATGAGGTGAGCGCTGAAAGAAGAGAAGAGAGCGCTGAGAGAAGAAGACCGTCAATCGCTCAAGTAGTTCAGCACTGCATCTTGCATCAGCCGCTCCACGATGCCCCACGATGGCGTGGAGAGCGCTGCGACCGCAGTCGAATCAGCCTAGAACAGCCGCGATCCGCATCCGCCATCCGCCACCCGCAGGCCAGGGCATGAAACACTCGTCAGCGTGTCAAGTTCCAGCTCCGGCATAACACGCATCCGCAGCCCACCGCGCTCCGTTTGCCGCTCCAAACAATTCATCGCGGCCTCTCCTGAGTGTCCCACGTTGACGTCCGCAACTCACGACGTGTCTCATCCGTGACAATTGTACATGCTTGCATGTTGCATGCCGATGCCTGATACCTGAGCACGTTCCTTCCGGCGCTTGGTACCATGTGGTGAAGTGGGCGTGAGAAAGCCCGTTCAGCCAGCCCGAGCCACCCCCGACAGGCCCGATGTCTAGCGGGCCAGCGAGGAGAGTTTTGGGCGCCGATCTCACCACTCACCTCCTCCATCCCTCGTTTGTGTCAGCCTCGCCACGCACCGCCCGCTTGATCTTCCGATCACACGGCGTCGGTGGCTCATCTCCGAGCCGATCGGCGACGCCGATGACGGCGTTCAACCGATCTCCAGCGCCAAAGCCACTGTCGGCGGGAATGCCATGCCGCCGCCAGCATCCGCCATCAGCAGCTTTGCGTCGTGTGGGGCCGTAGAGAATGGTTAGTCACCAGTTTTGCGCACCCCAATTCCTCGCCCAATGAAGGAAGGCGGGGAAGGCGCCGATGGAGGCGTCGCGGCGAATGTCGAGGTTTGACCGGCGACGGCGCGTCCAGCGCGCCGGCGCAGACCGCGTCGTCGGAGAAGGTTTGGCCAGGGAGCGTTACGCCGCCCGTCCTGCAGGCATGCATGCGTGAGGAATGCGTTGGTGTCAGTCGAACAGATATGCGCGATTTTTTTTTTTACTTTCCAACCACTGCACGCCGCGCCATTCCGCGACCTCGTGGCTCAAAGATGGCGAGATCCACAAGACCCGATCATGCGTCATCGCCACATCGCCACACCTGGGCCATCTGAAGCCACGGCACGAGGGCCGCGGTGGGCCCTCACGCCTCTCGGCCCTCGGACGGGAGGTAATGAGCTACCGATATGACGGGGCTGATCCCGACGCGTCCATGTCGAATGTGGACACAATTGGGCCGGGTCAGGTGGCGTCGGGTGGCGCCGTAACACTTCTCACCCTGAGAATATGCTGCTGTCCTCGGAGCTTTCGAAAGAGACTGTAATGGTGAGCATGCTGGCGCGGGCGGGGGGTGGGGTGGGGGGGAATGGGAAGCATGCCCGCGATAGCCCGTCCCTAGTGTGTCGCCATCTCAGTGTGGTAGGCCGCTGACTCTTGCGGATGCAGTGGGCTACATAGATATCCCCTTTCCGGGGCTGGTGGCGCACACCTGTAACGCTTGGCAGATAGTGCACAAAGGTAGGCCCGGCGGCAAGCATTGTCCCGCATCCCAACTCCGTCAGGCGTAGATGCGGCTGGGTGGCGGCTTGAGGCGAGGAAGGTTAGCCGCGCTCCGCTACTGTGCCGTCCACTGGGCCACTTTTCCTTGCCGCTCCGCTCGATCGTGCTAGATCCGTCATTTTGGTGTTGCGGACTGTCGATACCAGTGCGCTCGACGCCCCGAGACGTTGGAACAGGTCATGGCGTGACGCCACCGCCACTGAGGTACGAGTATGGGAGAGGTGCAGGGTGAGCGGTTGAAGGAAGCTTTGATGCGGGGGGGGGAGGGAAGTGGGGGGGGGTTGGAGGGATGAGGTGGTCCATGGGGTCAGTTGGGATGCGAGAGTAGTAGTTGTCAAGGTTAGAGATGAGACTGAGAGAGAAAGAGATGATACGAAGACGTCTTGAGTCGACGATGAGCGTCGAGCGGAGGGCATGGAGGGCATAGAGCGACATCTCAGATGGGAAAGAGTGAATTGGAGCAAGTGAAGAAGGACGCACAGACCAGCAACGAGTTGAGTAGTCGACAGATGACCATCCGGTTGGCCAGTTGAAAGCATCAAAAGGAAAGGTTTGTGCTTGTTAGGGTCGAGGCTATAGCGGGATCAAATTGGAGTCAAAGACCAACCACTTTGGGTGGAGGCCAGGCCTTGGCTTTTGTGCCTGTCAAGCCGTTGCCAGAAACCTAACAAGACTCGTCCACCCTGGATACCCTGCACGGTGAACCGGGCCCTAACAACGAAAACGCCATAGTCAGGAAGGAGGTGCTGGGCGGAAGTGAGTTGTTCCCGCGTGTCTCTCACTCTCTCACTCTCTCACTCTCTCTCCTTCCTTCTCTTTCAACATCGTCAACCTCCTCTCACTCCTTCCCTCTCCTCCCCCTCCTGCCATCACTCTCATTGGCATCATCTCTTACTTACTCTATTACAAACAAAGAGCTCCATCAACTCGTCTTCGACCTTCAGACTCCCCCTCCCCCCCACTCACTCGCTCGTCATCGCGCCATCGCATTCCACTAGCACTCTCCTTGCTCAACCTCGACGGCCATTCCCCAACTACATCGCTCGTCGCCCGATCGCACATCGCTTCTGTGCACCTCTAATCCATCCCACAGCGCGCTACAGCACGGTCCTCGATTTCCTCGTCCGACCACCCCCACCTACACCCATTCCCAATCACCCAACCCACAAACCCACACTCGCTCCTCTGATCATCCTCCTCATCGTCTCTCATTCTCCATCCCATCTTTTCTCCAATGTCCAAGGTATGTCTTTCTGTCGTCGCTGGCACCCTCTCCAACCACCACATGCGCCTTCCCTTTGAAATGCCCCGCGCTCACACAAACAGGCTCAGTTTATTCGCGAGTACAGGCTCGTCGTCGTCGGCGGTGGTGGTGAGTGTCGCGATCTCTTCCGAACATGCCAGCCGACAAAGTCATCAAGGCAAAACGAGTGGGCGGCGCTGTCTGCTGGGGAAACCGTTGGCGCTGCAGGGCGCAGGGTGAGGTGGGGAAGAAGGTTGGGAGGCGCGATTGTTCCACCTTCGCATCGAGGAGTCCGTGCGCACCTTACTCGAGCCGCGTTGTCTCGGCGTGCATGTTTGCGGCCGCTGCAGAGCGGGCTTTCGGTGCGCGCGACGGGCAGTTCTCGGCGTGCTACCAAGCGCGCCGGTGGCTGCAACCCGGGGAAGGTGACGCGATTCTGGCCATGTTGGAGGGGAGCATCGCATACACAATCCCCGTGCGTCCCCAGAGGCTCTCCAGTCGGAGCATCCGATAGGTCACGATGGCCGTGAGATCTCTCTGGCAAGCGTAGGCGCCATCTTTACCTCCCCCCCCCCACCCACTTCACCCTTTGCGATCCGTGTCGATGGCACGAACCCGCTCCCTCGTACATTCCTTTCCTTCCCCGACACACGTCCCCGAGACATCCTTCACCCGCACATTGACATGACTAACGCCACCCAGGTGTCGGCAAGTCGGCTCTTACCATCCAGTTCATTCAGTCACATTTCGTCGACGAGTACGTTTCCATGCCGCTCTGAGCCATGTCGCGCGCGCCCACCCGCTTACTCTAGGTACGACCCTACCATTGAGGACTCCTACCGCAAGCAGTGCATCATTGACGAGGAGGTCGCACTCCTCGATGTTCTCGACACTGCAGGCCAGGAGGAGTACGGCGCTATGAGGGAGCAGTACATGCGGACGGGTAAGTTGGAGCTTTGATCGCTGAGTGTACGAGGAATGAGAGCTGACGCTTCCAGGCGAGGGCTTCCTTCTGGTGTACTCGATCACGTCGCGTTCGTCGTTTGAGGAAGTGTCGACGTTCCACCAGCAGATCCTGCGCGTGAGTGTTTATCGACTTGGCGACATAGGGTTCGCAAGCTGACATTTCCCAGGTCAAGGACAGAGACTACTTCCCCGTCGTGGTTGTCGCAAACAAGTGCGACCTCGAGTATGAGCGCCAAGTTCAGCCGCATGAGGGTCGTGAGCTCGCCACGCGTTTCGGTGCGCAGTGCATTGAGACCTCTGCAAAGCAGCGTGTCAATGTTGACGACGCGTTCGTGGCCGTTGTTCGCGCCATCCGGCGGTACCAGCGTGTGAGTGAAAGCGGTGATGACTTGCGGTCGTCGAGCGCGCGTGCAGAACTTGTTTGCTGACGTGCAGGAGACGGGTCCCCAACAGGGTGCTATTCCCGCTGCCCCAGGCAAGACCCAGACTGGCATTGCTGGCGGCCGCCCCGCAGAGAGGCCTCAGGAGGATGATGCTCCGGGCTGCTGCGGCAGCTGCGTGATTCTTTAAAAGGTCGGTTGTACATTGAATAATGCGTAGTGTCTCGCGAGGCTTACCGGTTTGTTTTCTTTTATCGCGTATATACACTATACTGGGCCGTCTCGTGTATGTGATGCATCCATCGAGAGGCGGGGGATTGGTGAGGACGGTGGATGTCGCACAGAAAAAGGCTCGAGCCAGCAGGCTCATAGTGAACGCAACCAAGGCACCGCGCACCAGAGTAATGTCGCGGAATGCTCGGTTGAGAGGTGGCAGGGGGGTTGGGCACGTCATGGGCGATCCACGTAGCGTCATGAACAATGCAGGCAGGCAAACCCATGAAGGCGATGGACCGTACAAGTGCTAGGCATGAACGTTGGGTACATGTCACGCCACTCGCCGCGGGCCTGCCACATTTGCTTTCCGCTCCGTGGTCTTTAACGGCCTTGAGAAAGCCGTGTTCAGTCCAAAAATGACCTGACCGACGTCAGCTCCCGCAATCCAACTGGCCTGGCCGCCTGTGCGTCATTTCTCCGCCAGCACCACCCTCCACCGCCATCTCGCCACCATCACTTCGACCACTTCAACGGACTTCAACCCAAACATCAAGTCAGTCTCTCCAGCCGCGGGCTTTACCTAACGCCAGTCTCTGCCCTCTCCCTCCCACCCTACCGCCAACCTGCTCGACCGCTTCGTCCTTCTTTCCGTCTTCTCCTCCCTCCGCGCAATGTACGCCACCCGCCGCCTCCTCCGCGCGCCCAAGGGCGTCCCAACCTGGGCGCAGCACATGGCCAAGCAGCCCACCAAGGCCGGCCGCCTCCCGCCGCAACAGTGGGCGAATGCGCCGGAGACGGGGCACGACGACGCGCCTGAGGCCTCCGCGGCCCCCGAGGCCCCGTCAAGCCCTGCGGGCAAGGTACCCCCTACGGACTGGCAGGCGGTGCCGGGCGCGGGATCCGAGGCGCGCGCATGGGAGGACATCCGGCGGCGCGAGCCCGACGCCCGCCCCGCCGCCCAGCCGGGGCCGAACGGGCCCAAGACAGACCGGAGTAAGGGCTTCATGGACAGCTTCCGGTGTGAGTGCGATGGCTGACGGGACTCACACCAGCGCTCTCGCCGAACCAGCGCATCCTGATCGGCGCGACGCTCTTCGTCTTCGGCCTCGGGATCTACGCGTACGACAGCCTCCTGATGAAGGAGGAGGAGCTCGAGGTCTCGGACGACCTGCGCGAGCGGCTGGCGAAGGCGTCGGCGATCGCGCGCACCGCCAGCTCGGAGGGGCTGCGCGTCGACGACGTCGCGCCCCTCAAGCAGGGGCTTGAGGCAGCTACCGCTAAGGAAGCCGAGACGCTGCGCGCCGCCGAAGTCGCGGTCGCGGCCGCCGCCGAGCGTGGCGTCAACCGCGTCCTCACGGATGCCGTGCAAGACAAGGAGCGGGTGGTGGAGGCCGTCGTCGATGCCGTCGAGCATGCGCGTGCGGATGCGCAGAGCGTCAAGAACGAGGTGAGGAGCAAGCTCGGCACCGCCGCGCAGCAGGTGCATGATGCGGGAGACGCGGTCGTGCACCACGCCCAGAAGGCCGGAGGCGACGTCAAGGGCCACCTGCAGGCTGCGGGACACGCCGTGGCCGACACAGTCGACGGCGCCGTGTCGGACGCCGGTGTGGTGGCTGGCGCCGTGCCCGAGCGCACGCGCTTCTTCGGCATCCGTCTGCGGTAGCGACAAAACACCACTCATTATGCATGTTTCGTGACTCGGCTTCAGCGCGAGGATGGCCGAGACTGTCTGACAAGCTGAGAGCATGCCTGACCTACACTCTTACTCCTCCCGAACACCCCAGGTAGGTCATGCCACACAACATCGGAACTAACAGTCTCGCTTTCAGTTCACCTCAGATAGTACAACTCTCTAACCCGTCTTAACCTACTCCCGGTCCATCCAACTCATGCTCTCACTCCATCCCCAGTCCGGCCCCCAGAATCCCGCACCAATCAAGCCCCCGGCCGCCATCCACCTCATGCGGGGCGACACAACCGCCCAGTCTGGCACCGGCACGCCCGTGCGGAGGGGGAGGAGGCGTGCTGCAAGTTCGAGACCGAGCTCATCAGTACCCGCAACCAGGCAGGCCAGCGCAGCGGCATATGTCGGGTGCGGACACAGTGTGATGATGCCTGGCGTCAGCCATGCTTGTCTGTACAAAAGCCCACCCGTGCCGCTCTCCCAGACGATGCGGTCTTCGATCATCAGCAACCCCCTTGTAGGGAACGACACGGGGATGTGATCCTGGACAAGCATCCATGCCGCGAAGCGGTTCTCCGTCGGCTCGCCGAGAATGACGATGCTGCCCGCGCCGATCGAGCGATCCGCAACGGCGCGCAGCGCCTCATCGTCGTCCATCAGCGCCGCGTCCAGACGGTGATACATGCGCAGATCGTGCGCGTACGCTCGCGCGATGCCGCGCGTGCGCTCACTGCACTCTCTTCCGAGGACGAGAGTCAGGGGGCCGTGAGAGTCGAGGAGCCGCATCAAGGGACCGTAAGCGCGGGTCGTGCTCGCCGGTCGTAGCGCAGTCGCTTGTTGGAGTTGGACGAAGGTCTTGGTTCTCTTGGACCACTTGAATCTTTGGGTCACTGCACTGCCGTGATACGCAATATCGATGCTGCGCACGTTCGTCCCGTGCAGCTGGAAGTGTGTCGGATCATATTGGTGCCGTTCCCTCACGTTCACTTCAAGTCGCGCGAGGCGGCCCGGAACGGCGAGCTCGGCGATGCGGATGCCGGCCTTGGCACCTGTTTCGTCGGGGTTGGCTGTGGCTAGGATGAAGCCAGCCGCACGCACCTCTTCGGTGGTCTTTCTGCGCGGGAGGCACTTCAGGAAGTCAAGGATTGCCGGATGGCGGAGTACGCCGTCCCACATGTGCCCGACGTGCGGTACCTCCACGAATCGCACGTCGGTCGGGGACGCCGCCCCAAGGAACCCCGACAGGATAGCCATCTGTGCCCGGCCGTGGCGCGGGGGAACGTTGTCGTCGTCCGCGCCATGTACCGCGAGCACAGGAATACTCGCGAGGTTGGAGAGATATAGGTCGTTGCTGTATGGCGCGAGGGCGGCGGATAGAATACCTTGCAGCGCTGGGTCCGCGTAGTGCGCGCCCGTGGACTCCGTGTAGGGCACATAGTCTTGGATCTTGGTATAGCCCGCCACCGCGATGACACCACGAACGCGGTCGGGATATCGCGCCGCCAGGTGCCACACACCTTGCCCGCCGTTGCTATGTCCGATCAGCACTGTTTCGTCGGACACAGTGTGGCCGACAAGGCTGAGCAACGAGCTCAGCGCGTTGCGCGCTACCCAGGCATCGCTCATGCTGCCGCCATGCCAGTCCTCCCCCCATTCCGTGCGGCCGGAGGGCAGAACGGCCCACATCCCCGGCAGGCGGGGCATGGCATCAATCCATTCGTCAGATGGCGTGGGAACGCCAGCACCATGCAGTGCGAGAAGAACGGGCGGGAGGTTGGCCTCGGAGGATGAGTTGTGACATGCGGGTGGGAGCACGACAGCGGCCGAGACGAGAGATGGGGAATCAGTGGAGACAGGGAACGTCATCGTCACTGGCACGCTGTCGCGCAACAAGACGTGCTTGAGTGGCACACGGGTCTCCATCTGCCACTCCTTCTCGCCTTGGGTGAAGGTAAGTATGACTTCAATGTCCCGTGCGTCCGAAGGCTCCAACTGCGCAATCAGCAGCGGGATGGAGCGCGTCTGTCCGGGCACAATGCGCACACTCCTCCTGGTGCCAATGGTCAGGCCGTTGCCAAACGCCGCTCCTTGCACCTCAACGGTACCGTTTTGGGCACCTGTCGATGCGGACGAGTTGAGTGGAGCCACACGCACAGTGACGCTCATCCAGCGGCCCATCGCCCAACCATTCAGTATATCCGGAACGACGGTGAGGCCAGGTAGGAGGGTGGCCGTGGCATGGGGCCGGAGAGGGGTGCGATCGAGATATACATGCAGCCCGAGCTTGATGGCGGGTGGATGCTTGCCTGTATCACCGAACATGCGGCACTCGTACAGGACGCGCGCAAGAAAGACGTACTCTCCGGGAGGCAAGGCGATTGACCGGGCATAGTTGGATGGCCCCCCCTCCTCGGTACACGCCGTACCAGAGGGAGTACCGCCAAAGCCGTACACGTCGCCATTATACCACCTCGGCGTCTCATGTTGAGAAGCCGCCACAAACGCGTACTCGACGACCTGTGTCGCGTCCACGAGGAGACGCGTCAGCGCACCATGGCCCGAGGGGACTGTGATCCGCGTCCGCAGCTGAGCGGAATACTGCAGTGCAGCCCAGCCGTGGTCGGCGCGGAGCTGGCCCCAGCTGCCATCAGCTCCATCGGAGCCTCAGAGCAGAACCCACCGCACGTCGGGATACATGATCTCGACCACGCCTTCCTTCTCCTCGAAATTCGCCCAACCGGCGCGTCCGCCCGTGGGAAGCTCGCTCGGCCAGTCGCCCTCGCCATAGGGTGCTCGGGCGAAGGCAATATCGGGGTCTGCGAGTGGGCCCGACGGAGAGAAGCGGCCGCAAAATGCGGCTAGAGGCGAGGTCATGAGCGGATGCTCGCGCATGCCGGCGGGGAAGGGGCCGACTGCTTCCCACCGTGAGGTTGGGAGGGGCTTGCGCGCCGCATGAAATGGGGCGTCAAGCGAGGGCGCTGAGAACGAGGATGTGAGACTCGGTGAGCCCTCACAGTGCTTAAGTCGGCCCATGGTGGATCCATAAACGACCGAAGAGTGAGGGATGGATGCTGCGACAGTTGAGGAGCATGGATGCGAGGAGAGCAGCAAGTGCAGGGCGGATGTTTGCCTCCGTTGATACTTTCGGATGCATGCTTCCATGCCCACAGTTTCAAGGTCAGTGGATGGCGCCGCTTTCGAAAAGACGATCATGTCGGAGGAGGAGCTGCAAAACATGCATGTACTCAATATCTATAACAACATGTAAAAACGTCCTCTTTCTCATACCTATCATCGGCTCTAATTACCCCATCCGAAACCCAAAAGCCGTTGAAGAAGGGAGTGCTTCTTACCGCTGTCGTCGGAGAAGCTGTCGCCATCGCCAACCTGGCTGCTGCCTGAAGCGGGAGCCTCGTCCATGCCCATGAGGGCGAGTTCCAACACAAGCCCTTCAGCCGCGGCGATTATCTCGGCCACCTTATTGAGTTGGGTGTAGGAAATGAATGGGTGCGAGGTCGAGGGGCGGTGCTGCGCGATGCGGAGCGCGAGCTCCAGTGGCGCCCGCTCGACCTTTGCGACGTTCCTCTTGTAAGCCTGGAGGTCCATGAAGTCCCCAATAATAGGCGGATGGCCGCTCGTCTCGGCCTGCGCAATGGTGGCCATGGCGAGCTCGAGGCTGAACTTGTGTGCCACCCACTTGTCGATCTCCTTCCCGAGCTGGGCGGTGAGGAGGCGTGCGTCGTCGTGTTCTTCGAAAGGAGAAAGCGCGTCGTATAGGCGCGACGAGCGCTCGGCGAGGTCTTGGATCATGCGATACGAGTTTTCAATGTCGTCACGGAAGATCGTGCCGTGGGGAAGCCTGAAGGAGGTGACATAGGCCCTGCGCTTCGAGAGGACGTAGGTTACAGTTGTATCGAACACCTCTGTACGGTGGGTGGCAGCAGGTTTGGGCGTCTTGAGGAAGTCTTCGTGTGTCTTGGCCTTGACGGAGACACCAGGGCTGTTGATCCTGCTCCAGGAGTTGGGAGTTGGGGTGTGGATGGAGTCTTCGTGTTGTTTGGCCATGGGGCTGAACAGCATGCGCCGGGCGGGTGATGGCGTGGTGGTACCGCGCGGGAGCTCCGCTCTCCAGCGAAAGATGCGTCGCACGCGCTCGTCTCCACCAGGGCGCCTGTCTACGTACTCTGGCTCGGTGTACGGGTCGTCAAGGATCATCACGAAAGGAAGAAGGCGATGCGGATTCTGGAGGGAGAATTGAGGCGGGGGTATGGAGTTAGGTTCCGAGAGGAGAGAATGTTGTGTTGGGGATGAAGAATGAATGGTAGAATGGGTGGGACCTGTCGGGTTCAATGTGCTCAAGGGGGTGTTGTTGACGAGATTGATGTCTGCGAGTGGCGTAGAGCATGGGTCAAAGATGAGATGGATGTGCTCAGTAATTCATGTTCGGCCGGCGAGGGGTGGGATGGGTGGGACATGTCAGTGCGGTTTGTTTGGGTGGCTGGTACTGAAGCTGTGGGCAAAAGCACAAAACCCCCGAAAATAGATGCACCTCATATGCTACAAACACACAGAGCGGATTCTTCTCAGTCCCAGGACACACACAGATTCTTCACGAAGGCAGTTCCATTCGCACCACTCGGTGTGGGGGCTGGGACCACCGCTACCCTCTCCACTCGGCGCCGGCTATTGCCACTGCGTGTCGGGTCCACACCAATCTAACCCAACCTTCGTCCCGCTGTCAACGTTGATGGCCCAAAATCAGCCCCGCTTTGCGGGATAAGTGCTCCACGTGCGATGGAGTTCATGGTCGGTGAAAAACCCTTTCGATCCGCTCGTAAATGGTCCTCTTGGGAGCGGTGTATGAACCCCAGATTATCCCGTAGTTCTCCAAGATCTCCTGCGGGGTGTGAGCGGGTGGGACATTCATTAGCTGCTGGTGTTCCGGGAGCGTGCGGTGGCCCTTGAGCATGTTGGCGAGGTTTGTCCCTTCGTTGACGGTTTCCATGTATGAGCTTGTGGGGAGAAGATCTCTCCGGGCGGAGGTCACCTCGATAAAGGAACTGTAGTCGAGGTCTCCACGGGGGTCGTCGGGGCTGGCCCACGGATAAATGAACGCTGTCGGCGTGAGAGCGACAGCCTCCCAGCTTGCGAGGCAGGTGAGGAGACCGTGGAGTTGCTCCCGGCGGGGCTCGAGGTCTTCGATGACACAGTGAAGCCGACGGCGCAGCAAACGCGCCTGGCACGAGGGTCGGGGGCATTCTTTGATTGCTTCAGAGATGCACTCGTATGCTGCATTGGCGCTATCGGACACGTCTACCAGACGGAGGTATGTCTGGATGAGGTCCTCTCGCTTGAGAGTCTTGCCACTGGCGAACTTAAAGGTGGTTATAAACGAACCTTCGACACTGCGCAGGGAGGTGGCGATCCGAGTCTCGATGAGCTTGAAGCGCTTTGTCGGCTTGGTGGCGTAGATGAATTCATTGTGGGTCGGCGGTGGGTCTGGCCAGGGGAAAGGGACCACGAAGACGGGAAGGGGGTCGAGGGCGTACACCATGCTGAGGGTGGTGGAATATGGTGTGGGAGGAGATGCTTTTGCGGTAGGTATTAATATAGACAATACGAAATGTGGGTTCAGTTGAGCAACGTGAAGGGAGCGAGGCGACGTGTGGTGAATGCCATAAGCACTAAGCGCAAGTGGCATTCATAAAGGGATTCAGGGACGTTTGTTGTGATTGGTCTGAATTGATGTTTGAGCTTTGCACTCCAATTACCATTGTTGGTCCCCGTGGGAGGCTGAGAATGAGAGACACACTGCACACAGCACGCGCCAACCGTCCGTCAATCAGCACCGCACTACCTCTCAGCGCCTCGGCATCACCCCACATTTCACATTGGCCCATCAAAACGCTATTCAAGAACACTACATGCATGCAACCAATTCAGTAAAAGACCACCTCTACGGTGACGGTGCCACCACCCCCCAAAAGAGCGATCAGGAGCATACATGCGGACGATGGGCAGGCGTCCCAGCCCCTCTTACGAGAATGAGACGTAACGTATTGGAAGCTAAGATACCGTCTCCACCTGGTTAGTATCGCAAGCAGGGTGAACATGGCGGGGGTGGGCAAGCCAGTGTGTGAAGCGAGCAGACGTACCAATGCCAGGGATGCTGGTGGGACAAGGGTATACTAGGTATGGGAGTTGGTGTGCGAGCTCGCTCCAGACGTCAGCGAGGCCCGACTCATCGCCGCTCCACAACTTTCGAGTGATCTAGCCTCTGATCTCTGGTGGTGCATTGTCCGTCCTCGCTGCCCAGGCACACTGTGCCACAGATAGCTGGTATGCGGGGCCCCAGGAGTCATCGCACAAGGCATCTTGGTCATCGCTTTCGCATTGAGAACTAGCACCTTTCAGGTTTGGGTAGCTTTCGCCACCTGAAAACATAGAGACAATTGCAAGGCACAGTTTAGGAGGACCCATAAGATTCATGCTATTGTAATTGAACTATTTCTGAGAGTGCTACATCGAGGAATATGCAAGTTGCCACTGGCCCGTCACGAGGGGGAGGGCATGCGGGGTGGTCTTTGTGTGTTGAGAGTATGCAGGTAGGTGACCTTCGCTTCTTGCCTTGGGCCGTCTAGAAGTTCGGCTGGGGAGCCCATGAGTGGGGAGGGTAGTGTGAGGCGAGCTGGTCGCGGTGCCACGCGTGCGACGGGTCATCCGGGTTCTCGGCCGCGACGAGCTCCACCGCCACGCGGAAGGTGTACGACGGCATACCAGCATGAGCCCTACCGTTCGGCAGGGGCGGGACCGTGATATACGTCACTCCGTTCCGCAGCGGATACGCATGCTGGAGGGGCTCGCCATCGGTGCTCTGGACGGGGTGGCCAGATGTGTAGTGGGGGAGATTCTCGTCCTCGGCCGGGGGAGAGAGCCAGATGGCGGCTGAGGGGGACAGGTCGGCGTGTGGGTCGAAGCGGGGGCAGTACCACTCCCGCGCAGGGGGGACGTAGTAGGGGCCGGCACCCGGGGCGGGCTGGGTGTACTGCTTCTCCTCACGGGCGGAAGGTGCAGGCCTTGCATCCGCATTGGCGGCGGGAGGGGTGCGCGCATTGGCGGCGGGAGGGGTGCGCGCATTGGCGGCGGGACGGGGCGGAGCCTCGGCTTGAGTGGAGGGCTTGGGCTGTGAGTGAATGTACGAGGTGGGGCGGGCGCGCTCCGTCTTCTCCTGCGGAGCGTGGCTCGACGCAACGGACTGGCGGACGGGAGCGGAGTTGCTCTGGACATCAGTTTGAGCCCGGTGGTGGAAGAGGCTGGGAAACTTACGGGAGGGACCTGCTGGACCTGACTGGAAACTGGCGCGTTCTCGCCGCGGCGATCGCGGTCAGGCATGTGCAGTGTGGAGGGTGTCGAGTTGGGGAGATGGCTCGGGGTGGGGGGCGTGACTGCCACCCGGAGCTTAGGGGGCTGCGGGGGAGGTGGGAGCTTGTAGACGGGAGTCTTCGAAGGAGCACTGGAGGCGAAGTGCGAATCTCCGGCGGTGCGAGAGATGTTGACGGGCTTGGAAGTAGCGGGCTTGGATGCCGCGGGGTTGGCGGGGGGCGGTACCTTCCTCGGTCCGCGGGGAGGGTTGGGGGTTTTCGCAGTGGAAATCCCAGGCGGAACGGAAACGGGCACATGGGCCTCTGCGCGCCGGGCAGGCAGCTGGCAGCTCGGCTTCGGAGGGAAGAGATTGCCAAGAACAGCCTTCATGTTGCTCTTGGCAGACAGTACGCGCGGCTGAGTGCTCGCGGGCAATGTTTCCTCGGGGAGGCTGCAGTAGGAGGCGCGCTTCGACTCGGCGGGGGCGGGCGCGAGGTACTTGTCATCCTTGGGCGGCAGGGGTGGCGGGAGGTCCGGCGTTGTAGGTGTGCGCGGCGAGCTGTCGGTCGACGGAGTAGAGCGGGTTGACAGGGGTGGGGTGTTCGCTGGCGGAGAAGGCTTGCGCGTCGCCTGAGGCGTGGTCGGCTGAGGGGGCGGAGGAGTGGTAGGCTTTACAGGCGGGGGAAGCTTGGGATTGCCACCGGCGTTCGCTGCAGGTGGAGGAACTACGCGAGTTCGACGTACGATCCTCTCGAGGCCCTCGTCTATGTACTTCAGGATGAGTTGAAGACTCTTGATCTCGAGGTTGCAACGCAACTCCGATGCCAAGTCATAGACCATCGATTTGGGGAAATCTCCCTCCATGCGAAATGAACCTGTCGCCCACCGCGATGGCATTACGCCGTCTGCTTCGAGCTGTGCCAGGGCAGTCAACGCGGCCTCAAATTTGTTGAGAGCCTCGTGGCCCCGACCAATGTGCCTGGGCGCGACGGACTCCCAGAATGATGAATACCACGGAGAGCCTTTGTAAGAGACGTACTCTACAAACTTGTCCTCGAGCTCAGCCAGAAGACTGGACGCCGCAGTGTACCTCTCAATGAACTCTTGGCGACTGTGCGTTCCCCCGCAATGAACCTCTGTAATGAAAGTGCGCGGGGCGAGGAGGGTACCTGGCGCAGTGATAATGTAAGTGACAGCTTCGGTGACCACTGTCCTGGCCCCGCTGCCTCTGAACCCCCCAAGATGGGGCTGCTTGGCCTTGATAAAGGTGGAAGCCGTGATCATGGCGGTTGCTGTTGTGAGAGGTAGGATGAAAGTGAGTTAGAATGTAAGAGTGAGTTTTGCATCAGCGCTGGTTCATATATATGTTGTGGTTGCATGGAACAAACACGCGGCACCAAACATTCAACTGAGTCAATTCACAGTGGTCCCATTGAAAACAGCCGCGGCTAACCATACACGTGACCGGGAAAGGGGAAGCTCTTCTAGAGTCTTGAGCTGTACTGGGAGATATTTGAGAGAGCTCCGATACTTGCCGCACCGTTTGATGCATTGGACGTCACTACCATGAAAGATGCATACAAGACTACAAAATATGATCGCTCGTCGTGGATCAAGTTGCTACCGACGCACGTCATCACACATTCCAACGACTGCCGTCATCGAACTGACAGACTCGAAGGAGCAAGCGAGCTGAGAGTCAAAACTGCTTGAGGCTGCGTCGAGCCCGGTGTGCCCAGTACAAACCGAAACGCTGGTGCGAGGCACATGCTTGGTGGATGGGCTGCAGTTGGTCTTGACCGGTGCTGCAATAGGAGTCTTGGGGCTGCGACTCGAGATCGGGGGGTAATGGCTGGAGATCACGGCGCGGACAGTGTCGCTGCGCTGGAGGTGGTTGTCGACAGTCACGTGGACACCAGCAAGCTGCTGCTTAGAGTCCATGTCGACAGTCTCGACACTGAGGGAGAAGCGAGTACGAGAGGTTGCGCCTTCGTTCAAGTTCTTGTCCGGTTTGCGGGCGGCGTCTCTGCTGGTGAAAACGTGTGTACGGGAGCTGCCCAAAGGAAGGTCGTCCTTGAGACCGCGACGGATGTTGCGGCGAGGAGCAGGGCGGAGAGGCTCGGTGTCCATGTTGGAGACCTCGACTTCGACTGTGTGGCGAACTCCGTCCAGTGTAGTGCGCACTGCCACAGCAGAGCGAGGTAGCATCCGGTCGTGTGCTGCGCGGCTGGTGCTGGCAGCCGTGGTGCCCCGAAGAACGGTCGTAGGCTGAGGGAAAACCGTGTAGTGGGTGTGTCTGGATCCCTCAGAACGTTGAGTGCGGGTGGAAACGCTCGATGGGACTGCGTGTTTTCCTGAGGCAGGGCCGGTCTCTGAGCAGCTGCTTCCAGGAGCTGAGGCCGTGTAATACTCCTCAGAGTCTCGGGAACCATCACTGGCCCCACAGGTGCTGGAGTTGCGCGAATTAGTGTGGGGAGTCCCCGTGACCACCGTGGGGTTGCGCTCATCTTGGGTAAAGTTTGAGTTGGAGCTCGCCTCTGAAACCACGGAGGCCCTGGAAGCTAGCGGAGCGCGTTCAGCGCGGTTCCGCTCGAAAGCGCTAGCTTTGATGGTGCTCGTTGATGCATGCGACTCAGTGGAGTCAGAGAAATGCGCCGAGGAAGCAGCGCTGGGGTGACGTCGGTGTCTGTGCGAAGAGCTCGCAGGAGAACTGTGCCCCACCTCCGAAGGAGGGAGGGAGTTGCTGGCCGACGGAATATGGACGGAGTTGGAGGCGTGGGGAAGCTTGTGAGGCTCGGTCGGCTGGGTAGAGGAGTGCCGGCGCTTGTTGCGCCCATCGTGGGCGGCCTTAGTGGCATATGTAGGGAGGACCTGTGCGACAGGAGCCAGGGTCGCCTGCGCATCCACAGGTGTGGCACACGAAGCGTCCGTGATGATGCCATTGTTTGCGATGCCGAGATGCTGAGCCTCGAAGTTGCTGGCGGCAGAAGCCGAGTGGCCCACCACTGAGGAGCTCTGCTGCTCGACAAATCGACTGGCTTTGGTGGCGGCAGTCCCGAAGTCGACCGTCCTCTGGTGCTCTTCACCCCAGTTGAGATCGGGCCGCTTCTGCTCGCTACAGGAGCTGTCGCTCCTCTCTTTACCTCTCGTCGCAGGTGGGTTGCGCGCAGGACGCCTAATCGCTTTGCTACGCGCGATGGGAGACGAGAACATTGCGCATAACCCGTGCGTCTGGGCCACCAATGCAGTCGCGCTCTTGGCGAGCCCGCGATCGGCGACAGGGCGGGTCATGGCATGCACGATGTCGAAAGCGCGGCGCCAAAGGGCGATGCGCGTGGTGTCGCGCGGCGGGCATTCGCGAGACAATACTGTCTGCTGTGAAGGGCGATCGACAAACTGTGTAGGAACGATACCCATCATTTCGCAATCGTCTAGGAACGAGAGACCGTGACGCAGAACCTTGAGGCGTTCGGAGGCGACATCAATAGTGCTCGCGAGTAGGAGATGGTGGTCGAGGAGTACCGCGGGGGTGCTGCTGTCGGTCGTGGCAGCCGTGATAGCCTTCCCGATGGTGTCGATAGACGGCTGGAGCATGTCCCTGATGATTTGGAGGGAGTCATGCGCCTCGAGCATGTCGGCGCGGGTGACTGTGAACGTGGGCTCGTTTGTCATGTGGAAGAGGATCATGTGTGTACGGCGATGGCCATCGGGCTGTCCATGGGCGCGGGGCTTGTGGAGATATGAGACGGCGCCATTGCCCATCACTTCAGAGTACTCGTCGGGGGGTCCCGACGTGTTGATAAAGTGAACGAAGCACATCGTGGGCCGTTGGGTGGCGGGGGCGGAGGGAAGGTGTGGAAAAAGGGGGGAAGTGGGATGGAAGGGGGGGGGCGGGGGGAGGGGGAGGGAGAGAGAGAGAGGAGGCAGAGTACGAAGATGAGACAAGTTGGTGGGGAGAGTAGAAGAGTGGTGGAATGGTGCAAACAATCTAGCAAGACGTGCAAAAGTCGATTGGAATGAGCATGCGATGAGGATGAGGATGTTGGAAGGAGATGAGAGTGAAGATGAAAAGTTACTGACACTGTGTTGCGGGTGTTAGAGGCGGTGAGCGTTGAGTCATGCACGTGACGCAGACTTTTGGTCCGTGAATGGGTGGCGAGGAAGTGGTAAGGTGTACACATGGGCGGCTAGCTGACGTATACTAGAGACCTGTAACATTCAGTGTGACAACAGTTACTGTATTGTCAACGTAAAGTCACGGCGATGCCTTTCGTGTTTGTCCGAAATCACCAACAATGGAGGCATGCTGTTAGGCAACACCTCCTTAGCGTGTAAAGCGCAATTCAATAGAACTCGAATCGTACCTTTCCTCTGCTGGGGTGTATTCATTGATTTAATTGATTGCAGCTTCATTCTTCAAGCGACACCGCCGCATCCGTCCCTGACGCCATGCGCAGGCTGCAGTGGGCGATTGGCCCCCCACTGTGTCGCCTTACAGTACCCAAGGCTGTTGGCTGCACAGCTAGTGAGTGTATTGTTCTTTGCGACATCACGGATCATGACGATTGTCAACAATCGGGTCAAGGGTGGGAGTGGGTCAGGCAAAAAGAAGTCAGCCGCGAGTGCATTGGCCTGTCCACGTGGTATCGCTAGGATGCAGCAGAGGGGTGGGGCCAGGCGAGAGGTCAGCCTCTTCAATGGAGAAGAAAAACCCACAAGCATGCACTCAGCCCTGGCGGCGAAGGCCTCGACAGAGAGCGCTACAGCCTGGCTACATGTTACCGCGACGGACGTGAGTGGGGAGGTGTCAGAGAGGCGGCATAACTCGGAAGGGGTAGTGGCTCCTCCGCGGGTAACACCGCGAGAGTCGTCGGGAAAAACGGCTAGGATATGCATTGATAGTGTACACTGATGTCAGCACATCCTGATTCGTGGGAGGATCATACTGATGTCTGTTCTACGCTTACTGGAAGGCGGATGTGGGCGAACGTGGACGCCGAGGGAGGACGAAGCTCTGCCGCCAGCTCGTCTCGCGTCTAGACCGAAGTTGACACTGCCGGCGCCGTCGCGCTCTCGCAGGTGCGCACTACCACACACCCTTCTTTCCCGGCTCGATGTCGATCTTGACGCCGCCGTCGCCGAGAAGAGGGCCAGGGAACTCTTTGCGCGAGACTCGAGGATCCCGGTGCCGGCGTTCGGACATGATGAGGAAGGTTACGGAGGAAAGGCCAAAGAGGCCGAGCATGAGGAGGATGTTGGGGCCTTTGCGGGGCTGGGGCGGCATGGTCGAGGCTGGGACGCGGAGATGGATGTCAAAGAGAAACGGTCGGCGCGGCAGAGGGAAGTGGCCGAAGTGGAGGTGAGGCCGTGATAATGAAGGTTGGCACCCTGACCCTCCGCCGCCAAGGACCGCTGCGCTCTTCGCTCTGGACTCTACTCTAGGAACTCGGATGTATCGTCTGTCATGCATGCCACAGCCATCATCACCCCTTAGCTAGTCCGAGGTTCGGTCCGCAGGCGGGGAAACAGAGGGATGCGCCTCGTCGTTACATTGTGCTTTTAAATGCTACTGCTACAACACGATCCTCCCTCTCCCCTTCTTCTCCGCTTCCCCTGCCTCTGCCGGAGCGTCGGGGTTCGCAGCGGCGGCCTCCTCGGCAGCAACCTTCTCCTTCCCTATTCTAGTCAGCTACGAAGCGTGGCGCAAAGTGATCAGCGGCGATGCTCGGCCTGCTCGGCAGGGCCCCGCGCACCGAGGTCTCGAGAAGGGCACCAGTGCCACTGGTCACACGGTGTACATCTCAAAGCCGTCTGCCGGCGGCTTCCTCCCTTGACCACAGAGAAGGAGTTAGTAAAACGTACAATCTGTTGGATTGGCACGAAGTCCGCGCGCGCGTTGGTCGTTCCACCGCCGCTCATTCACGCCCTTGGCTACTGTTAGTGACTGCAGCTAGTGGAAGAGGGAGGAGGGGGAAGGTTCGCCTTACCATACCAATACCCGATGCCTGTCGCGACGATGAGAGCCTATCCATCAGCACAGTCAAGATTCGCAACGCACGCCCCAGCCGTAAGCCACTGATCGGGGGGTGTTCATGATTGAAGCTTGAGATGGCTAATGGCTGAGACAAGTGAGCTCGGAGCTGGGCGCGATTGAGCGGCCAAGAGATCACCAACATGGAGAACCTCCACTCCGAGAGAGTGCCACCATCTTAAATTCCCGAGAATGCCGGACAGATGGTCTGGAATTGAGGAATTCAGGGTCGGCACGTGGCCCAGGCGCGCGAGCAGCCGAGCAAGGGCTCCGAGAAGAGAGGTGTCACCCTGATTGGCGCCGGGGGCACGGGAGCCGAGCTATTTCCTCCGCGCCCTCCGAGGCCTCTGGAGCTGAGCCTCGGAGACGATTAATCGGTATAGTCGGGGCATGCATGCCGCAACCCTCCAGAGTAACTGTAGGTTGATCGCTGGGTAGGAACGGAGTAGCTCGAAAAGAGAATGGACAAGGGTGAGGGTAACAAGTAAGCTTGAGACCGAAATAGGAGATGGGCGGCATGCAATTGCATAGTGCGCTGAGACACGGATCAGGCCATCGCCACATGCCTCAACTCAACGGGAGGGACTGTGGCAGTCAATCGGTCAGCGGGCAACGTTGTGGTTTAATGCTCGAGTTGCCCATGGTCGGTTGGGACGCTGGTAGAGCATGAGATTGAGCATGAGAAAGATGGCGAATGAGAGATGAAGAGAGGAAGAGTGGAGGTCAGGCATCCGCCACCCAGCTCCCTCTGGACTTGTAGGCATTAGGGGAGGCATGCATGCACCGAGTTGCCGTCACCCGTCACCAACCTTCCCTCCCACCGCGCCCACGGCCCACCCAGCAGCACCGCACGTCCCTCCCTCCAGCTCCCTCCAGGCGTCCAGTCCGTCAGATCACCTGCCGCCGTTCCCCCCCCCCAGGCCCCTTCTCCCCTCCATCCCCTCCATCCATCCATCCACTTTACTCATTACTCTTTACCCATTACACCATCTATCCAGGCCATCCACACGTCCACTCCCTCCTCCACCACGCCTCTACACCTCCCGACGCCATCTTTCATCTCCTCCTCAACACCACTCTCACACACCCCCACTCTCCCTCAGCCCTCAGCCCTCAGCCCTCAGACTCACCCCTCGGCCCTTCGGTCACTCTCGGCATTCACCCTTGCCTCGACTCCGCGTCCGAGACACGCACCTTGCCGACTCTCCCCCTTCTTCTCTCAACCTCCCAAGACGCCCATTGCTTGTCGCGCGTCTTCAAGCCTTCAGGCGTCACGAGTAGTAGTGCTCGTTTCTTCCTCATCTCCATTACCCATTACATATCATCCAGTCCGCCCACTATCCACTCTCCTTGGCCTTTGTTTCCCCCTCCCTCTCCCCCTCACCCTCCCCCGACATCCTATCCCTCCTCTTGCCGCGCTATCATCACCTCCGGTGCTTGATTCTCTCCAGACGTCTCGACACGTCCACACAACCCTCGTGAGTAGACTAAACCCCCTCCCATTCCCCTCCTCTCTCTCCCCCCCCCCCCCCCCCCCCCCCCCCCCCCCCCCCCCCCCCCCCCCCCTCTCCCTACCCCTTCCACTCGGACTGCCGACAATGTCCTCCTCCGCACGCGCGTGTATGCACCTCCGCATCCCCCTGACTCATCATGCTCGCTTAGTTCTCACCATGCTCCTCGTCATTCTCCGTTGCTGACCTGAATCAGCAAGCAGTCCTTGCTTGCCGTCCATCAAAGTCTCCCAAAGCTAGCAGAGTAACCCAGCACGCTTGACTCGCGTAGCGCACATGGACTATGACAACACCGCCTTCCTTTGACCAGTTCTACACCTCTCAAGGGGACGTAAACATGCCCTCTCAACAAAACTCGTTCGACCAGTACACGGCCAACGCCTTCGCGTCCGCGTCTGGAGCCGAGCATCAATTTGGTGCAATATACGCCCAGCAGCTCGGAGACGAACCAGCATCCCTCGGCGTTGACGAGTCGGCGCATACGCTCAATCACCGCTCGAGCCACGAAGGCCTCCGGCCTCACTACGGTCTGGGAGATCCACGAGCTGACGTCGAGCGCAAGGACAGCGTACCGTTTGACCCCACGTCGAGCAGCACACTCATTGCGTCTGCTTCCAACACGCCCTCCAAGTCGTTCGTTCATCAGCAACACCATCACCAGCAGCAGCATTACAGCCAGTTTGACAATGGTGGATCGTTAAGCTTCACCCCGCACAGTCACGCGATGTCGCCCCAGCCGTCAGAGATGGTGTCGCCACCGCAGCAGCCAGATTTCTCGTTTCAGAACCAGGGCTTTTACCAAGACCCACAGGGCATGGCTGGTACGACACAGACAAACGAGTGGGCGGGCACAAGCGACTTTCTCCAGCAGAATGGCGGCGACCCCGATTCGGACAGCCGCCGGGCCTCGTGGGGAGGGAGCCAGCACCTGGGCTATGACGAGCAGCAGCAGCTTGACGAGATCCAGCGCATGTGAGTGAGAACGCGCACACAGTGGAGTGTGTAAGCTGTGCTGACTCGTTCAGCATATCGAACGCCTCATCCCACGCGGGCACACCCGCTCCTGGATCTCGTGTTGCGTCGCCGTTCCTTCCCCCCGACCATCAAAACCTCGGACACGTCAGGCATGACTCGACATCCAGCGCCGCTCGTTCTCCTTCTCCATTTGCCACCCCCGGCAGCATGGCTGCGCCCTCGCCACCCGTGCTCCAAACCACGAGCGCCTCTGGATCGCCTTCCTTCTCGAAGCCGCAGTCGCCACCTGCGCTCATCATTCCCAATTCCGCTCCTTCACCTTCCTTCCCGTCAATCTCGGCGGCGACAAACCCGACTCAGCACTCTGGGGGCGGTTCCAAGTTTGGCACCTCCCTCCTTCCTCCTGTCAACCCGCAGCTCGAACACCTCACCGGAATGGCTGGTATAAGCCCCATTGCTCCTAACGTCGACGGCCCAATGATTACGATTCAGCCCAGCACTCCGATCTCTCCACTCAAGCAGCATGCCAGCATCTTTGACAATGCTCTCCGTCGCGCCAGTGCCAACTGGCAGCAGCAAAACCAACAGAACCAGCAGCATCAGAGCGTGGCCACTCACCAGCAGCAGCACCAACAGCAACAGCAGCAGCAGCAGCAGCAGCAGCAGCAGCATCAGCATCAGCAGCAGCACCAACTCCAGAATCAGCAGCAGCAGCAGCACCATCAGCAGTCTGCCGTCTCGAACGGTATGCCCTCTCCCAGCATGAGCCAGCACGCGTTGGAGCAGGACAACGCAGTGTTCGCCAATGACCCTCAGTGGAACGGCGTAGACTTTGGTGGTCTCGCTGTCCAGGGGCAGATGCGCTCGCGCTCCAAGTCTGAGTCATACATGACTGATGGGGGAGCATTTGATCGCCAGGCCACAACTCAACTCATGGGCGGTCCCATGGCCCAGTTCTTCCAGCACCACCTACAGCAGCCGCAGCAACAGGAGGGTATGGGCACCAGCGACCAGTGGGGCGACATTAACGCGTGGCGAGCCGGCACCGGCATCACCACGTTGAATCCGCGCGATCTGTCGGGAAACGAAGCGGCCAATCTCCAAAACCAGTTGCGCAGTTTAGAGGCTGAGCAGAGAGCCCGCCTTCAGCAAATCAACACCATCGACATGAGCGGCGGTGGAGTTTTCCGGTACGACCCCAACGAGATCTCACCCACGTCGGCGGCGTTCTACGCGTCCTTGCCGGTTCACACGCAAAGCTCGACGCTTCAGGCTCCTAGTGGCGGCATCCGCAGACGGTCTTTCGGCGACGGCACTCACCCCGCGGCTGGCGCAGGCACCCCTGGTTACGGTGTTGAGTTTTCAATGCCTGGAGTCAACACGCCTCCTGGCCGCATTCGTGGCGGATCTTTCAACATGGGTCACCATCGTCAAGTGCGAAGCGAGGACTTCTCTCGGGGCGGCTGGGGCATTGGACAGCCTGGGGCGTCGACGTGAGTTGATGTTTAAAGACTGAAGCTTACAGAAGCGCTGCCTTCATGCAGGCGATGACTAATCCCAACGATGGAACACTTCTTCCTCCAATGAACCGCGGCCGGTCGATGTCTCATTCACGTCATTCGTCGGCCTCAAGTGTGCGGTCGCCGTCGCCTGCTCTCTCGATCTCGTCACAGGGCTCGTCTTATTCCCACCACTCACACATGGAAATGCCCGATGGCGTGCCGTCCGAGCTTTTCGCTGCCGCAGGCAGCGTTCCCAGGATGAGGGTGACGAGTCTGGCCACGGAGGTGGCGAGTCAGAACCGTCGCACTCAGGACGGTATCTTCAAGTGTCCAAGTGAGCGAATCTGCCGCGCGATTGACTGACACCAGTTCCGGGATGCGGGTCGACTTTTACACGCCACTTCAACCTCAAGGGCCACTTGCGTAGCCACAACGACGAGCGACCCTACAAGTGCTTGTACGATGGCTGTCCAAAAGCGACGGTCGGCTTCGCCCGCCAGCATGACTGCAAGCGTCACATGCTGCTACACGAAGGCCTCAGACCTTTCGAGTGCGAGGGGTGTGGGAAAAAGTTTGCGCGTCTCGACGCTCTCACCCGCCACCGTGAGTCCAAGTCGAAAGCGAGACATCTTGCGCTGACAGTAGATAAATCTGAGCAAGGCCAGGAGTGTGCAATATCACACCCGCTCCCGACAAACCCGGACGGTTCTGCCATGTCGGAATCGCAATACAAAGCGTACCGACTGCAGCAGATGAAGGATAAGGGTGGCGCGTCCGCGGGCGGATCTTCACGTGGAGGCCGACGCAGTGGCGGCGTCAGTGGCGACGTTAGTGCAGATGAGCGCGAGCCCATGGACGTGCTCAAAGCAGAGGGATAGCGATGACGCGGCGGGTGCGCCTCTCCAACACGCGTCACTTGCACCCGCCGCCTCTCTGTCCCTGCCACACGAATAGCGACGACAATTCGATTGCAGTGTTCTAGCAGCTCAATGGACATTTTCGGCTCGTATCATAGAGATTGTATTGCCCCTGTAGTAGAGAACCCCTACCATGTTTCCTGTCATCGGGCGTGGCATTAGAGTTTATGAATTATGTGCGGTTCAACTTCCGCGGTAGGTGCTGTACGAGAAGGGCGCAAGGAGGAGGGGGATGTGGTAGTGCTGCCCGGGGTTTGCAAGGTTGAATGTGATCTCAACATAGGGGTAGAAGGCCTGCACGTTCTGAGACTGAAAGTAGTCGCCGACCTCAAAGCGCATCTTGTACACGCCGGCCTGGAGCTGCGTTGTGGGGTTGAGGAGGGTGGTGACGCGGCCGTCGCTGTCCGTGGATCTGTGAGTCAGCGAAGAGGTCACGGACGACAAGGAAACGCGGGGGTGGAGGCGGGGAAGGAAGGTGGAGGTTGAGACACCAGAACCCCGATGCGGTCGGAGTTGAGCCATCGACTTTAAGCACTAGCGCCGACCACGGCGGACGCTCCGTCCACACCGGACCCATCACACTCACCCAGTAGCAAGTACCTGCGCCTGTGTGCCGTTGATCTGGCTCAGCTCGACCTTGACGCCCTGCGCGGGCTTGCCGACGGACGAGTCGAGGACTGGTGTAAGTATGGTTTCGAGTGGAGGCCGGGGAGGCTCAAGCGGAGGGGATTGAAGGGGGAGATAGGAGTGAAGACATCGTGCGGTAGGACGAAGAAGGAGTAAGAAGTGAGTGCGAAAGGGAGGAGCGAAGAGAGCGAGGTGAGGCCGAGCGGAGAGGAGAGGAGAGCGGAGAAGCAGATCGCATTGAGCACCCCAAGTGTGATGGCGACAGAGACTTCACGCTCGAGCAGGAGTGCGCCAAACCACGACTCACTGTGGCAGGTGATGGGTGACTTGGACATGCTGAGCTGGGCAGCGTGGTGTGCGATGCGCTGCGACATGGTTGGGGTGGACCTGGGAGATGCGGCCGCGGCCTTATCTAGTGCGGGACGACGGCTCACGAGACTTCCGGTGAAGAGCCGACTCTTGCCCACTTCCTGCCCGCCTCCACCTCCACTTCCCCGTCGAGCCGCTGCCCCACTTTCGCTTGAAAGATTCGTGACTCAGGCTGGGTTTATACACGTATTTTATACAGTGCAACACCGTCCTCCTTAGCTCAGTTGGTAGAGCGCGACACTAGTATTACGAAATGATCACGTAGGAAACATGTCGAGGTCAGTCGTTCGAGTCGGCTAGGAGGAAGTTTCTTCTTTTGTTGTCTCGCCCTCTGGGCGCGCTCAGTATTCACCGCAGCAGGGGGCGGAGGTCAGGATGATGTCGTTGAACGCTCTGACATGGAGATGGGTTCTGTATGACTCTGGCGACGTGGCGATGAAGTATTCGGTCATCCGAACGTTGTTGCCATTTGTCACTGGGCTTCCCGTACCAAGTAGGACACCCTCTCTGATCACAAACGCGTCTGCCACATCCCCAACCTACATGTCATCTCTCAGTATGCTTCGATATCATCGCGTACGCACTGTCGCCCTGTCAAAATATTCACGTGTGAAGGCACCAAGGCCAGCGCGACTGAGTCAGAGTCAAAGTCAAAGCGAAAGCCAAAGTGGCACGCGACGGCAGATTTGCCACGCAACTCGCTTCTGATCTTTCCACAGGAGGCCACTCACACTCGACAGATGAGCTCAATCCCTTCACACAGTCCCGCGGCCGCACAATCTGACACGGCCGACCGCCAAGCCCAGCTGCCGCTTGCATGCCCTTGCAGCAGCCAGCAGTGAGATGGCTAGCACAGCATCCATGACGTCGGCGTTACCCCTGTCGTTTCCTGTCTTTGCCATATTGTCTCTCGTAACATGCCTTCTCCTCGCCCTGCATCAGAACGTCCAGCCTCAGCTACTCCCGGAAACCGACGGGCAGAATGACCTCTGACAAGCCGTAACGCCAGGACACCAGGACAGGAACGGAGCACCGTCCAGGTCGTGGTCTGCGAGGCCGCGAGCAACCCCCAAACCTTGGCGGATCTGGCAGATAGCACGATACCTCATCTGGCAGTCTGCCAGGCACTTCGCGGCCAGACTAGCCTTAACGAGGCTGGTCGATATTTACTAGCGATTGAGGATCTGAGAGGTCCCCTTTTAATCTCAGACTGACATCTGATCTCTGTCCTACTCATTCTACCATGGCCCACGTCCCACCCCCCCCGCGGCTGCGCGCCGCCATCCCCTCCTTCGTCCCAGCTCCGCACAAGCCCAAGAAGCCCGCCGTCCGCATCGACATCGTCGAGACGCAGGCCAGCGCCGCCCGTGAGGCTTATCTCGCCGAACGCCTTGCGCAGATCGACGGCTGGGCATACGACCAGAAACCATGGGGTCCCACCGAGATGCCCGTTCCCTCGAGCCTGCCGTTCGGGCGCGACCCGCGGGCGAGGGTGCGTGCGCGCGTCGAGGAGGTAATGCGCGATGTCGCGCCGGCGGCGGCTGTGCCCGTGGCGGTAAAAGACGAGCCTGGGACTCAGAAAGCCGAGAAGGACGAGAAATGTGAACGGAGCGAGGACGAGCCGGTGAAACCCGGCAAGACGCTCAAGGATAGGCGGCGGTGGAGCATGCTCAGCCTCAAGTCCGCTGCGGAAGAGGCACCCAAGCCCGAGAAGGAGAAGCAGGCGGAGCGCGGTCCTCCCAGCGCCTTCAAACGCTGGAGCGTGATCAAGAGCGACGCGGTACCTGGCATCGTGCCGGATGAGCCTCCCTCCGTTCCAACCCACACGCGCAGCACCTCCGAGATGACGCCTGCCCGGGCGAACGCAACCGCGCCGCCAGCTCCGCTCAAACGCAATCGCCGCTGGAGCCTGCAAAATCTCAAAGAGGTCCTTACACGGGACAAGGAGGGCGCTGAGGTCAAGCCCGTCCCAACGAAGCTTGAGGCCGAGACTGCCCCTTCCCTTCCCGTCCCCAAAGCAAAGCCCGAGGCGACAATAATCACCCACCTCCCGGAGCGGAGCAGCTCGATCTCTCCCAGCAAGCCGAAGAAATCGCACTCGCTCCCGTCACCAACCATGAGCCTCGTCTCGCTGGACCTCGACTTCGACCTCTTCGGCCTCTCGTCCGACAGCCAAAGCGTCAAGACTCCGCCCGAGTCCTCCGCCCCCGAGCCAGCTCCCACCGTCACCATCAAGGACGTGCCAAACGCCAGCCCCGTCCAGCTCCTGGCTGAACGCGATGCGTGGCGGCACGAAGCGCTGCTTCTGTACGACCAGCTGTGCTACTGGCGCCTGGAGGCGCTCGAGCGGGGCCGCGAGCGCGACGGGTGGCGCGGCGTCGCGCTCGCCGTCGGCGTCCAAGTGCCCCCGTGCGTCGTCAAGACTCTGCCGGCCGCAGCGGCGCCGCTATCCGACGCGCAGCGGCGGACGCGCGAGGTGGAGCGCGAGCGCGAGAAAGGGCGGGAGCGGGTGCGCGAGTGGCACCTCGCGAGCATTGAGCGTGAGCGGCGCGAGCACGCGGCGCGCGAAGCGGAGCGTCGGGCCGAGGCACGCGAAACCGCCGAGCGGAGAGAGCTGGACCGGCGCGTGCGCGAACGCCGCGCGCGCGAGCGGCACATCGAGATGCGCGAGGCCGCGCGCCTGTCCGACTGGGCGGGGCTGACGCGGCGCGAGGGCGAGCCGCGCCACCCGTCGGCGCATAGGGCGCCGTCTTCGCGCCACAGCAGGCAGCATAGTCGCGAGTGGGCGCCGAGCGGGGCTGCCGAGGCGGCCGCGGACGCCATGGCCGTCGTGGGCGCGGCGCCCGCCGGCGTTCTCCCCCCGCCGGGGCTGCCTGGCCCCGTGTCTCCCATGAGTAGCTGGGGACGCCAGAGCCGAACCTCAAGCTATGCCGGCGCACACCGCTTCCCCGCGCCACACGACCACTCGAACGGCGTGCCGGAACACGAGCACGATGCACGCCCGAGAGCCGTTGGCTGGCCTGCAAGCGAAAGTGGACGGGAGCGGGCGCGCGAGATGCTCACCCCGCCCCGGGGGGCCAGTCGCGAGGCTATGCGGAGCGGGACAGCGTAGAATATGTACGTAGTAGTGATGCAATGTTGACTGTACTGTGTCCGGTGAGCCTGTGCTTGAGTAAACTTCTGACGTGACATTCATTAGCGTCCAGCGCTCTAGCTTACTATTTACAGGAAATACAATAAAGATTGCGGAGTCCAGCTCGAGAGATGGACTCCGAGAGATCTATCTTTCACTTTGCCGCTCAGCAGGCATGCTCCTTCCGCGTGTCAGCTACCTCCTCTGTTGCCTCCGTCGCTCCTCTTGCCTCTCTTCCTCGACGGCCTCGCAGCGCTCGCGCCACGCATTGCGCTCGTACATGCGCTCGAGGGCGAGAATGCGCGCCGCACACAACTGGTGATACACGAGATTCGCTTCGTGGCGCCATGCATCGGCTTCTGCGCGCGCTCGCACGAGGCGGCGCTCGTCCCGCGCCATGGCCGAGAGTTTGCGCTCGCCCAGCGTGGCAGCGACGCGGACGGGTGCGCGCGTCTTCGGGTCCTGGATGTCGAGCAGCGAGAGTGGCTGCTCAGCGGGCGCGGGCGGCTCAATGGGTCGGCTCGACGTGTAGTGCTGCAGGCTCTGGAGACGCGAACTGAGGTACGCTACGCGGGCGGGGCTCTCGGGGTCGTCGAACGGGTCCGCGTCCAGCGACATATACTCGCCTGTCGACGCGGTGCGGAGCGAGGTGTTGGAGACGGAGGAGGCGTGCGAGCGCCCCGTGTGTCCCGCCTGGAGGGGGAGGGGGGCAAGGGACGCGTATGCGTCGGGGCGGGGTGGGTGGGGCGGAGGAAGGTCAGAGTAGCTTGGTGGAGACGGCGTGGCGGTGGCCACTTTCTCGTCGCTGTCTGAGAGCCGCGCCCAGCCAGTCTGCTCGAGACGCCTGCGACGCCGGAATGGCCAGAGCGAGCAGGTGGGGACGTCGTCCTCGAGTGCGACCATGGTGGATTGGCGGGCGGTGCTGGCGAAGCGTTGGGTGGCGGCGGTGCCAGGACTTAGTCTTGCGGGACCGGCGAGGAGCCTGTGAGTGGACAAGCAGTGCAGAAGCAGCCGGGGCTGGGGAGGCGAGAAAGAGGATGCAAGACGTGGCGCGCAGCTAAGTAGTGATGGCAGTGACGAGCTGGAACTGCGGTTTGCGTGGAAGGTGGTGCGGGTGCCACGACTGCGGAGTGAGATGAGGTGGAGGGGATCGGCGGCCGCATTCCTCCGCCGCCCACCCGGATGTAGCATGCCTAGCACCGCCCTCAGGTGATCTAACCTCTCCGAGCGTGTCGTACCCGTTGAAATTGTTCCAGGCTCTCCGGCCGCTCAGGCAGACGCAAAGATAACTGGACAAAGATGCGCAGTGAGTGTAGGGCAGCTGACTTTAACGTTATCGGATCCGTTGAGCGATGGCGTCGTGGCGCCGACGTGACCTCTACGCCGGACCTCTCAGACGGGGTATCTTGTTAGTAGTCTGCGACGCCGTTGCAAACAATTGCCCCACAGTTCCTTTTGGAACACATATAACTCGCCTCAGCTGCGCCCAGTGTTCGTAATGATACATGCCGTACAAGCCATGCTACGACTCCTCACCCTTCTCCGGCCCCGCGCAGCTACTTCTTCTTAACGGCCATGACGACAACATCCCCCTCACCCAAATTGACGCTCGCCAGCGATGCCGAATTATTCATGACCCGACCGCCATATGTCAGCTGCAGGCGTGATACCGGCAAGTCGGCATCGAGTGTGCGCTTAATGTGCTCGCGCAGCGTTCCAAAGGTGGTGTTCACTGGCACTCCGGGCACACCGAGAACGCTCCCGTCCAGCCGCCACTCAGGTTTATCACCCATCGCGGGGAGCTGGACCGCGACCGTAATCGGGGCGGGGTGCAAGCTCATCCAGTCGATCTCGCTGTACAGCTGACCACCTGGGAGCTTCTCAACTCGAGCGCGCTTGAATGGGCGAGGAGGCAGGCCTGCATCCGGCGCGGGGCGGGTGGCGCCAACGCCTGAGATCATCGCAGCGCGCGCTGGGTTCATGGCTGGCCCAGTGGCGTACGTCTGCGCAGCGCCCGTCACACTCGTGCCCGTAGCTGGCGCCTTGGGCAACAATGGTGCAGAGGCCTTGCCACCCTTGATCCCGGGACCCACTTGCGGTCCAACAGTGTTGACGGGCCCGTCAGCGACTCCTGCTGCCTCCTGTGCCTTCTGCCGCCGGTCCTCGGCACTGAAGCGCTCCTTGAACGTGTCCTGCACGCGTGATGCCGATGCGGTGTGGCCGTCCCAGACAATCTTCTCGCGCTCCTTGCGCTTGCGCGCCGCCTCTTCCTCACGCAGCTTGCGTGTCTCCTCATCCTCCTCATCACCGAACAAGTCGGTTCGCGCTGCCGCAAGGTTGCGCAGCGACGTTGAAATGTCCGCGCCCACCTGCAGTTGCTGTTGCTGCTGCCGCCGCGCCTCGAGCTCGCGTTTCTGGTCCTTCCATCGGGGGTCGAGAAGCTCAATGCGGATATGTTCCGACAACTCGTTCTCAGGAATCGACTGCCCACAGTACGGGCATGTGGAGCGGGCCACTGGGCCACCGCGTTGGATGCCTGAAGTAAGCCTGTTGTCACTCGGGGTGCTTACCCTTTGGCACATAGTCCTTCTTGATTTTGACACCCTTCTTCTCCAGCGCCGCGCGTTGGACGTCACGCGTCCGCTGCTGCTCGCGCTCGGCCTTGACACGCTCGATGCGCGCCTCCTCGTCCTCCTCATCCTCCTCCAGCTCCATCTCCTCACCCTCGGCCGCACCCTGCGCCGCGGGCTCCTCCATGATCATCGCAGCCATGCGGCGCTCCGCCATGCTCATCTCCTTGAGCTTGTCGTTGCTTGCTGGCGGAGGGAGGTCAAGCTCCATGTCGGCCTGCGTGAACTCGATGGTCTCAACGGTCACAAAGTCCTGCCAATCGATGACTGCCATGGCCTCCTCCTCCTCCTGCTTCTCGGCGGCCTTGACGTCGTCGCGTGCGCGCTTGCCCTCCTCCCACAGTGCGCGCTTACCCGCCTCCTCAAGCGTCTTCCACTTGGCTTCTGGGTCGGCGTCTACGCGGATAATCTCCTCAATCTGACCCGGCGCGGGTTGCATGATCTTCTGGTACGACTCAACCATGCGGTTGTAGTAACCGTACAGCGAGTGGGTAGGACGAAGGAAGTCAAATTGGTAGTTGCGACCCTCCCGCACTGAAAGAGCCGACAGGAAGGAGCGCCCGCGGCGCGCGTGAAAGAGCGCCGTCAACCGAAGAATGTCGAGGTCCTGTGCCGTCACGCCAGGCATATCAACCATGAACTCCCACTGCTTCGGCTCATATCCGATCAGGTCCGGATGGACGGGCTTCGCCGCAGCAGGCGCCGGTGTCGAGCCCGAGGGCGTCCCGTTGGCTGTAGAGAGCCCCTTGGCCTGGTCTTCAAGCTCTTCACGCGAATACTCGAGCTTCCAGCGGTAGTACTGGTGATACGGGTCCTCGTCGTTCAAGAACGCGAAACGCGGGTCGGTAGTCTGCGTCTCACGAATCTTATCCTCGAGCACCTGCGGCTTCGACGTCTTGGCGACGGCCATAGCCGTCTTGTCGATGATTTCTGCTGTCAGCGGCGCCTAGGAGGTAACTCACTCCTCATTTCGGGTGGTGGATAGATGATGCCCTTGAGGTACTTGTCGGACATGCGGGGCGGGCGGTATTCGCCCTCATCTTCGACGTCCTCGACGGCGGCCTTGCCGTTGAGGTTTTTGAGGTCATCCTCTCCTGCGTACGAGTGTACGGGCTTTGGGAGGTTGAGCGCCATGATGAGGATGGAGGAGTCGACTATGCACGGGATTGCCACCCAACAACGTCAAACTCGTTGTTGAGCCGCGGTGGAGACGCAGGGCGGATTTTTCGGCGCTTTGATTCCGTGGCAGTCGCCACGTGTTGGAGTGTTCCTAATCCCTCCCTAATTCAGACGAAAGGTTTATTAGGCCCGGCCGCCATGATAGAATTCTCAGGGCGGAGCTTCAAAGACGCGAATGACTTTTGACTCCGCCCCTGAGCCTGGACATGGCAACAACACCAAAACATTGGATGCTCACTCCTCTCCGCTTCCATCTTCCACCTCTCAAGAGGACTCGACAAACCCCATTCCCATCCATCTGACATTTGTTCCTCACCGTCACGCTTCAATATCGCTACTCTTTCATTTCCACTCGACATGCCGCTGGTGACTCCGAGACCAGGAGCTCCGATGGGCCCACCCCCAATCCTTCCTGCCGGGCTGCCCGTCACTGCGGGTGCCACGGCCGTCAAGCAGGCGTTCCTACACCCCACCACCCCGCAGCGCGGTGCTTCGAGCATGCCGCCCCCCTCTATGCCTGTGGCGTCGGCGCGCCCAAGCCACTCCAGCGACGGCTCGCGCAACTCCGGCCGCTCGCCGGCAGGGAGCTACGAAGAGAGATCCAAGCCGCCGCTGCAGGAGAGCATGGGTGCCGACAACGTCGACGTAGACACTCAGTTTGAGGACCTCCTTGTGAATAGCCACTACTCGATGCGTGCTTACGCCAGGACCAACTGGAGGTGCCGAGTTCGGTGCGCATCAAGTTCGCGACGGTCAACAAGAGTGTCAAGGCATCGATCCTGTCCTCGAGCATGACGTCCAACCCTGCTCTGCTCGCCACCTTGGGTCTCCCTCCCCCCACCAACGGAAAGAAGCAGCCCAAAAACAAGGCCTCGACGGCCAAGCTACGCAAGGCAAAGTCCTCAACCGCCCTCAAGCAGCCGCCACCTCCCAGTCCTCGCAGAGGAGTGGGCAGCACCTGCAAGGTGCAGGGCGAGGAGTTCGTCATTGTTGCTGGGGGCTTTAACTCTCAGCCTGGCAAACATGGGCGCGGGTACAGTGTTGATCTTCCATCTCCCAACCCGCCATATGGCAGTAGACCCTCGACCCCGCGGTCGAGGCCCAGTTCGATCTTCATGCCGCAGTCCCCCTCGAGACGGGGTGAGAGCATCGGGCCCTCTGAGCAGCCTGGGGACTATGTTCAGTGGCTCTCTGCCTTCAAGGGCACCGACATCAACATGGATGTCAACAAGGCAAAGAAGCTGCGCATGCTTCTCCGCCACGAGACCACCGGCTGGGTTGCCGCATTCCTCGATGCAGGAGGCTACGCTCGTGTCCTGGACCGTCTCCAAGATCTTCTTGATGTGGAGTGGCGGTGAGTTCGAACGTCACAGGAGTCTGCTGACCTCAGCGAGGAGCAACACGATGATCAAATGCTTTACGAGCTACTGCGCTGTGTTAAGGCTCTCGGCACCTCCGAGGTCGGCAAGCAAGCCTTGCGGGCCGCCCATCCTCGTCCACTTCCTGCGCTCTCCGCACTCCTCTTCTCGGAGAAGAAGCCTGGTGACCTCGCATGCCGTCAGATCATTGTCGAGCTCTTCCTTTTCCAGTTTGAGCTTTATAACAGGCAGCCGCCGTCTCCTGTTGTGCCAACCTGCCGCCCAGCAACCCCAGTTCCAACTTCGTTCAACGTGACATACTTTGTGCGCCAGCTCCTTCTTCCTGAGGCGGAGAATAAGGCTAAAGATTACCACGACTTTGTGCAAGTCGCTCATCGTCCACGCATCTTCAAAGCCTGGGTTCAGGAGCTGAGCGACATATCCCGCGACTACTTCTGGTAAGTCACCCTTCGCTCTTTCACGCCTTACGCACAGGATTATGTGTCACGCAAACAACTCGCTGTGGGAGCTGAGCGAGGTGGACGAGAAGCTCGTCGAGCGGCCAGTGGCCCCCGGCGGCGCGACTGGTGGCGTCGAGTTCGAGGCGATGGGTTACGTCACGAACCAGTTCAAGCTGATCAATTCACTGGCGGCAAGCCTCGCTGAAGAGAATCCTGCAGACGCACACCAACTGCATCAGGACCTGATGATGAGCGGCATGGACCGCATCCTGATCGTGCGTACCTGAGTCTGATTAGAGCTAATGCCGCAGACCATGCGCAGGGCATCAACCACTTATTATCCCACGCTGCACCTCGAGCTTGCACGCTACGTCGAGATCATGCGCGTCTCGTATGCGGGCAAGCTCCCGTACATCATCTCCAAGCTCGTCGGCCCGCCGCCGGAGGAAGTGCGCCGGCACCGCAGTGCCAGCGAGTGGCTTCCGCGCCTCACCCTCGACTCGCCTGGTAGAAGCCCTCGGCGAGCACACCACAGCTAAGGCTCTCGCCCCAGCAAGTACGAGATGAGATATGACCCTCATTCACGGATTTGGCGGCAGGAGATGCCTCGCCGTGCCTATCCCAGTTGTGCAGTATGGATCCCATGTACCAGAAACGAAGATGAGGGGTGGACTACAGTAGGTCCGCCGAGCGATAGGCAGCCCGTGTGAACCAAAGCACACCATGGGCGCCACTAAGAAACTAGTCACGCGTCTTCACAGGTGAAGTCGCTATATGATGCATGCTATGCAGAGTGGTTGGCCGTCTGGCTGGTATGTCGTCTATTGTCGGTCGTAAGTCGCGATGTGCGCTCCTCAGAGCACCTTGTCACCGCGATGGGACGCCTGGAGCCGACATGTCGTGTAAGGTCTTCCCCCAATATCCCGTCTTTCTCCTTCTGTGCTCTCTTCACTTCCATCAACCTAATGCGAGAGGAAGCGGCGCCCCTTGGCCCTCCGCCGAGCGAGCATCTTGCGACCGAGACGAGTGCGCGCACGGGCAAGGAAACCGTGCTTGCGCTTGCGCTTGCGCTGCGAGGGCTGGTAGGACATGCCGATGGCGCCGCCGCGCGCCTGAATCTGGCCGAACACAGGAGAAAGGCGCGCCGCAAGGGGCGAGGGTGCAGCCGTGAGTGCCGAGGGGGACAGGCGGGCGAGGAGGGAGGTGGGGCGCGGCGAAGCACGGAGCGACGCGGTCGCGGGGCGGAGAAGAAGTGTGGGGGCGCGCGGCGCGGCGGGCGTGGCGGCGCGGAGCGCGAGAGCGGCGCGGGGGAGGCGGGGCATGGTCGCTGTTGCTGTGAGTTCGAAGTAGAGGCGGAGGTCGGAGATGGACTTTGCATCTCGGAGAGTCCGGGAGGAAAGGAAGAAAAAGCCGAAAATAATCGACCTCCACCTCGAAGTTCGATTGTCACCTCTCAGTGATCGATGAGGTCAACACCACACTCACAGCCATGACAGCACCCTCCGCACAGCCCGGCACAATCATCACCCAGCCCCCGCCCCCCGCGGCTAATCGCGAGAGCCGCATTGCGGCACACTCCCACATTAAGGGATTGGGTCTCGCGGATGACGGAACGGCGATGGAGAGCTCGCAGGGGTTCGTGGGTCAGCGGAACGCACGCGAGGCACTCGGTCTGCATCTTGCGCTTCTGCGGCAAGGACGGCACTCGGGACGGCCACTGCTGCTTGTCGGGCCACCGGGGACTGGCAAGGTGAGTGCGCGGATGAGGCATCCACGGGATACCTCGGAGGGGAGGTGGCATACTCCCGCAGAAGACTACGTCGTCGCGCGCCGACAAGCGAGGGTACGACTAGGATTGCTGACTCCAGACCGCCCTTGCCGTGGCATTGTCACAAGAACTCGGGTCGAAGGTCCCCTTCTGTGCGGTTGTTGGCTCCGAGGTGTTTTCGGGCGAGGTGAAGAAGACTGAGGTGCTGGGCAGCTGCTTCAGGCGAGCAATCGGTAAGTCATCAATGTTGTGGGAGGAAAGCATGCGTGGTGCCTGCGGCCTCCTCAAGCAAAGCGTACTGCAGCGTTGCTGTACAATGAGCGTAGTGAAACGCTGCTCTTCGTCCGCGCGCGGTTGAGCTCTTGCCTTACTAATTTGGTGTGGGTTTGAGACCTGCGCTGACCCCAGGCCTCCGTATCAAGGAGACCAAGGAGGTCTACGAGGGCGAGGTCACAGAGCTGACCCCGTCCGAGGCCGAAAACCCTCTGAGCGGCTACGGCAAAACTATCTCGCACGTGATTGTCGGCCTCAAGACCGTGAAGGGTACTAAGCAGTTGCGCCTCGACCCGAGCGTATACGAGGCGATTCAGAAGGAGCGCGTGGTGGTCGGCGACGTCATCTACATCGAGGCAAACACAGGAGCTGTCAAGCGCGTCGGCCGCTCGGATGCGTACGCCACCGAGTACGACCTCGAGGCGGAAGAGTATGTGCCTCTGCCAAAGGGCGACGTGCACAAGCGCAAGGAGCTCGTGCAGGATGTGACACTTCACGACCTCGATATGGCGAACGCGCGTCCTCAAGGCGGGCAGGACATCATGAGTGTAATGGGCCAGCTCGTTAAGGGTGGTCGCACGGAGGTGACGGACAAGTTGCGTCGGGAGATCAACAAGGTTGTCGACAAGTACATCGAACAGGGCGTCGCCGAGCTTGTCCCCGGCGTGCTTTTCATCGATGAGGTACACATGCTCGACATGGAGTGCTTCACGTACCTCAACCGTGCGCTTGAGTCGCCTCTCTCTCCATACGTCGTCTTTGCGAGCAACCGCGGCATCTGCACGATTCGCGGCACTGAGTTCGATGGTAGCTTTAGCGCTGGCATCCGCTCGCCTCACGGTATCCCCGTTGACCTCCTCGATCGCTGCATGATTGTCAAGACCGAGCCTTACAGCCGTGATGAGGTGCGCAGTGTCGTAGACACGCGCACGCGCGTTGAGGGTATTGCTGTGACGCCTGAGGCGCTCGACCGCTTGGCCGACGAGGGCGAGAAGAGCTCACTCCGCTACGCTCTCCAGCTCCTCACACCCGCCAGCATCCTCGCCAAGACTGCAGGTCGCACCGATGTTGGCGTTTCTGACATCGATGAGCTCGGCTCGTTGTTCCTCGACACGAAGCGGAGTACAAACGTGCTGAAGGACCTGGACGCGAACACCAAGGTGTACTAGAGTGAAGGCGAGAGTCATTTGGCGGGAAAGAGCGGTGTGCGAGGCAGATGGCCTGCCGCCTTGACAGACGGCATATCGTTTACCGCACATGTATAGGATCCATGTGCGCCTGTTGGCGAGAACGCTTGCCACGGCTCAACTGACTTGGCAGGAATTACTAACACCCTCTGTCCGCCGCGCCCAAGCAATGTCCATGTCGTCTCGTTCCAACTCCTCAGCCGAAATGCAAGAACAGCGACATTGCTTGGGCGCGTGGCGCGCTCACATGATAAACGGGTTGGGGGAGCACAGCGTACGCCAAGGGTATTCGGAAAATTAGTATCCCGAGGTCATTAAGATCAACAGACTTGGAAGTATGGCGCTTAACCCCTGCGAAGCGAGAGGCCGTTCTCGAACATCAGAGGCACGACCCGTCAGAAGAAGGTTAATGCGTGTCGTAATCGCACCCCAATGAGTTCGGTCCCGCACACCGAGACAAGTGCCTCTAAGTCAGTGCTGTGCAATGTTAAAGGCGTCACGAACATCTGGTGATCGTATTGCCTGTATCCGACTTCGCCAGCCGTAGTCTCCACATCACCATGCTCGCCCGTCTACTCCTCGCCACTCTCGCTGCCATGGCCTTTGCGGCCCCCTCAGCCCCGCTGCCGCCCAACGACTACGTGGCCAAATACTATCCCGCCCCACTCCTCCCCAAGGGTGTGAGCTGCCACACGAAGCGCGTACCGTGCGCCAAGGACGCATGCTACCGCTGCTGCGGTGAGTTGTGGGAGCAAGCGCTGCAAGGTGGCGGCACTGACCCCAGATGATGGGCTGCATGGCTGCCCGGCACCAGGCTTCGCCTGCTACAAGGGTATACAGGGATACATGTGTCACAGCATCAAAGGTGGGTGGCGCAAAATCGGGGCTGACCCAAGGGCCAATCTACACGATCCCGAAGCCCCCTATCGACTGATGGAGCGTGCAGTTTATAGGGGCGAGAGTCGCTAGGGCGGACAACAAACAGGCGATGTAGCAACGTCGATGGATGGTCAGAAGCGGACGCCGCAGCATTAGAGAGATGCCGAGAGCGGCATATTTGGCCGATTTCTGTTGCACTGCGTAGGCATACTGTACATTCGACAAATACCGTACTGCACTATCCTTAGTCGGCAGTCTCACGGTCCCCCCAAATCCACTTGGGACAGTGGTTCTTCTTGCAGCACCGGAATTGATCACTGTTGCGGTAGCAAATCCACCCCTGTGGGCACTTCCTGCCGCCCCAAGCTAGACTTAGCTGGAACTATAGCACGTCGTACTCACGACAGCATGCAATGCCACAGGTGAACGGGCTGGAGCAGCGGAAGATGGGGCAACGGGCTGGCGTCGGCGTAGGGGGAAGTGAGCGCTCCGCGGTGACATTGGGCTCGGGGTTGGCGGTGGCCAGGGCGGCCAAAATGAGGGCGGTGAGTGGTAGCGAACGCATAGTCGCGAGGTTATGATGGCCAAGTATAGAGCCGGGCGAGTTGGTCTTTTACCCACAACTTGGGGGCATCTCGAGGCTGGCAGCTACGGTTAGAGATAGGTGAATCACCCACACCATCAGCAGCTGTCACCTCCAAGTGTCGTCGCTCGAGCATGTACAATATTACTTGTGCCGCGGAAGTATGTGAAGCTGAGCGACCGGAGCCGGATGGTTCGGTCAGCTGTTCATGGTTGTTGTGAAGCGGGAGTTTAACAAGCTTGTTGGTGTACATACCTTGTGTTTGGTCGGGGTTGGCTCGGGGAGAGGGCATACACATTCGTACTGGGCGCCTAACAAATAACTAAGCTTCAGATAAGCTGACATATCGAAACTTCATAGGCTCCTCGTCGTATGATGGGCGCAAGCAACGCCAATGGTGAGGCAGGAAACGATCGTGGAGCCCGTGAATGAAGAGCACGCTGCCACAGTGGCGATAAGGAGGAGCGTGCCTGTATGATGGTTTTAGTGGGAATCATATCATGAAGGCACCCTGCCATTATTGCGGCAGATAAAAGGCACTGTTCCAGCGGAAGTGACAACGAGAGTGCAAATGCGAAACTCTAATGTGCGCAGCAACGGTTCTCTCGTCAGATTGACAGATGCATGGCCCTCTTCTCCTTTACATGTACACGCCGCCGCACTCCTCGCGGTCGCATGGACGCGGCGGCCCGTCAGGAGGGCAGTACATGTTGGGCGGACAGCAGCGCTCGCTGCCGCCTCCAGACTTGGTGCAGTACCAACCCATTGGGCAGGAGCGCTTACCGGACGCTGGCTTCAGTTTCTTTAGACGGGGTACTCACGGCAGCAGCTGTCCAGGCATGGCGCCCGGACACAGACAACGGGCCGACAGTAGGCCTTCGTGGGCTTGGGAAGCTGCGGGCTGTCAAAGGGCGTCGTGGGGCGGGGGTTGCCTGTGAGAGGGCTGGGCGCTGCGTCGGCGTCGGCGTTGGGGAGCGGTGAAGCCGCTGCAAGGGAGAGAAGAGCGAGGACGGACGCGAGGAGCTTCATGATGTGAATGAGGAGCCTGTTGGCCAGCGGCTCGCGCTTACCATTAAGTATCTTCACAAACAGCAACGATTCTCGTGAGTTTTGGGAGCATCTGACCCCACAGTTTCATGGGGTAAAGCTTCGGGACGAGTTTAAGAAGTTTACGAGAAGCCTAGAACGTTACAAGGAACAAACGGGAGCGGTTGACTGATCTGATGTCCATCTCAGTGTGCGTTTCAGTCACTGATGTCCAATGGACGATGAGCGTGAGCCACACGCCTTAGACCCATACTTCGCATTGTTGTATACGTCGCGGTACCCGCAATTCTCCTTTCTGTAGTCCCTCGGTCCTCCGGGGGCTGCATGAGCGCCTGCTCCGCTGTGAGAGCTGACCATCGCACCACCATCCCGGCGGGCAACAGATTTCGCCCGCGGCGCAGCGCCACCCCTTCGGACAGCTGCGCTTTCCGCTCGCTGCTGTCAGCTTCAACGTCGGATTAACTTACGGCAACAGCGCTGCAGACATGGGCCCCAGCTATGGAGGCAGTACGTGCGCTCACACCGGCGTATGACATATTCGTAGTTGGGGAAGGGCAAGTAGGTAGAGCCTGGCCTCGAGGGCCTTGCGGCGTCGGGTGGGTTGACTGTAGTGGGCTTAAAGGGCGGGGCTTTGGGCTGCGGACACTGCCGACACGATGCAGGGCATCGCGATCATAAGCGCCTTGAGAATGATTAAGTCAGTGTATTGGCTGAGACGGACAGTGGATAAGTAGAACAAGCTGGCCGTGGCGACATCTTATATGTACACGAGCACATGAGAGGCCACAACCCAGCAGTGCCAGTGGATTCCACCGAAGAACAGTGTTCCATCACGGCTGGCCGCTCCCCTGGCGACAGTGTCTGGGAACGTCATGCTCATACTAAGGACTCCACAGCGCTGTCCGGACCGCATACGACGTACGTAGTCCCCTGCTTTACATCTCCACAGCACCATCAGTCCGACAACTCTGGATACGACAGTCTCTCGGCCCGCCAGGAGCTACTATCAGCTGCCTGCCTCCTGTTCAGCTCACCATCACACCACCACCCAGGAGGGCAACAGCGGTACCGGTCATTTTGATAGTAGCAACTCTGTCCATCGGCGCAGAATTGCTGGCCATTTGCTGGCGTCAGCTAGCGCCACGAAGCTGTGCGGTGGGCACGGATACCCACGGCAGCACTCATGCAGACACGGGAAGCCAGTTGTCTGGCAGTTGACGACGACACAAGCACCGTTGATTGGAACCCATGGGTCCTGCTCCTGGCCCTTGAGGGGAGTAGCGGTAGCGAGCGCGAGTAGAGTGAGAATGACGAGTTTCATCATGGCGGTTGACAAGGAGATGGTGCCACACAAGTGCGGTGGGGTATATAGCTTCCAATCCGGAGGCGATGTGGCTACAATACGCTTCGCGGCACAGCCTGTCGTGGCACATCTGTAGCGGCACGTCTAGCGAGTTCACGTGCGCGATCTCATGAGCGGTCCCGAACAGTCGTCACCCAGAGTCGGCAGCGGCGTGCACAGAAGCATAGGAAGGCGGAAGACGGACAAGGTTTAGCTCCAAGGAATGTGTCGCCAGGCATAAAGAGCATGGTCATGGGAACGCCACCTGCCGCAAATTAAGGCCGCGCCATTCATATAAACGATTGCATAGTCTGGCGCCGACACTATGCTGACACTGAGCTTGTGAGCGGTGTTCCATCGTGCCTTGTTCGCCTAGCACTGATTCACGCGGCAGTTGATGGGGCCATTTGGCGCTGTCGTCAGTCCACGACCCTTCTGTTTCCGGCTCAGCTACACTCACCGTCGCACCACCAGCCGGGCGGGCAGCACTTGGGCGGCGAGCCGTAGCAGCTGAAGCCCCACGGGCAGTACTGCTTTTGGTTGGCTGCTGTTAGCATTATCATGTCGGGGGAGCGATTTTGTATGAACTCACGGCAGCAGCTCGAAAGACACGGCGCGCGGATGCAATAGATTGGGCTGCATTTGCCGGGGACGGGGCGGACGTGCCACTGCGACGATGGGATGGAGGTGTCGGCGTCAGCGTCCGGGGCTCGGACGTCGAGGTCCTCGGGGACAGGTGTGGCGACGGCAAGGGTGAAGGCGGTGAGGAGGAGGACGAGCTTCATGTTTCCAGTAGTCTTCGATGGAGAGATTGTGGTTTCTGGAATTCTCGCTTCAGGTCGCCTTTTGAGCCGATCGAAGGAGGGGGTGCGGACAAGAATCGAAGCGATGGTCAGTTGACATGGGAGCGGTACCGGATCCGGTTGAAGCTGCGCCCCATTTCGTCTGATGAAAGCCGGGGGGGGCGGGTCTGCGGTGCTCGCCACAATATGTGTGAATAACTGAGTATTTCAGATTGCTGCCCACCTCTCTACTCTTTCCGGATTCCCGTGCACAATACGCACGGAGGAGTCTTCGCAAGTACACAGTGACCGGAGGGCTAGGACCGGAGACTGTGTGGGCTCCTGAACCTCGCCCAGGTGTGTTCCGGCACAAGCGCACCGCCGATGTGCAGTGAACTGACTGATGCCGATTTACAAAATGACGATGAATGACGCTGAGAGCACCCGGGAGGTGGGCCTCCACTGAGATAATGACACGCATCCATGCATGATACAACAGGCGTCTAGCGTTTCTATATTATACCTAATGTGCAATGCACTTGCAGTGAAGTCTTGACTGGCTGACAATATGACAAAGGAGGCAATGCGGCGCGGACATGACCGTCGGTCAAGGCGCTCAGAGCTTGTCCTTGATCTCGGGGTTGTACCCTTCGACCTTCATGTCGCTGATGCCGAGATCGTCGTTCTGCTCCGTGGTGCGCTCGTACTCAACGATAGTCATGTCCGGGTCCGGGTCGGGCGCATTTGTGTTCTGGAGGTACGAGTTGGACAGGGGGTCGTCGAGGATGAGAGTAAAGTCGTGCGCGACGGCCATGACGTCCTTGAGCCCCTGGAGGAACTGCTCAAAGTTGCGGTCGCCGGCGACAATCGCCTCGCCAAGCGCGCCTTGACCGTGACCGGCCGTGGCGGAGTCGCCGGTGCGGAACACCTTGGTTGAAAGCTCGTCGTAAATTTCGTTCAGAATGCCCTCAACAGTGGTGAAGCGGCCGCCGAGTGTGCCGGGCTGGAGGACGAGATCAATCTCGGGGATTTCCAAGCCACAGCTGTCGCTCTTAAGGATGTCGCGTGAGAGCGCGTCCTCGTCACCCGCCTCGATTTTGAGAGTAATCTTCTTGCCCAACGGCTTGATCTTGCCGCCGCTCTTAACCTCGTTGTCCTTGTAACCACAGGTGGGGCATGTCGAAGACATGAGGATGACCTCCTCGAAGTAGGGGATGTTGATCTGCTTCATGCGCGTCTCAAGCTCGTGCCCGCACGAGCTGCATGTGGCGGGGAAGGAGAATACCTCTTCAGGAACCGGGACGTCGTGCTCAACAACATTGGGACGGTGACGCTGGTAGAACTCGTCGGCACTGGCAATCTTGGTCGTCTCCTCAGTCCCCTCCTCCTTGGGTGCGACCAAGCCGAGCTGCACGTTCTGCTCGAAAGTGCGGTTGTATGCGCGCAAGTTCCACTGCGGGTCGTTGGTCGAGTCCTTGAAGGCAAGGAACGAGTTACCGCTGGGGTCGTCGACGGTGATGGTGAACGGCTTAAACGGCTTGTCGGCGTGCTCGCTCTCGTGCATAACAGCGGGACCGTCGCGCCCAACCTCACCATCCTCGTCTCCCTCCTCCATGCCAAGTGCATCGCGCAGCGGTGCAAGGAGCGTGTCGATCTTGTCAGCCGTCTCCTTGTCCATGATGCGGCGCACGGGCTGCTCCATCGCGAGGTCGCGCACGGTGTCGCGCATGATGCCTTCGACGGTGGTGAGCTGGCCGCGCCCCGGAGGGATCGTAAGCTGGAAGTCCGGGATTGTCACGGTCGCCCAATTTGACTTGACGAGCTGGCGGTCGAGGTCGGCCCGCGAGCGCATGTGCACGGTGTATGCGCAACCCTTGGCTGCTTGTCAGCTTGGAGTCTCGAGCTGAGGCCCATGGGGCGATGGTGCACTTACGCTGAATCTCGCCTGCCGGCTGCACCTCAGTGTCTCGGTAGCCGCAGTTGTCGCACATGAAGGACGACACGACAATCTCCTTGAAGTACGGGATAGTAGTGAGAAGGAAGCGGGTGACGCCCGACTCGTGGCAACGCATGCAGAGCGATTCAACCTCGCGGATCGCCTTGGTGTCCTCGTCGGCATCCTCGACATTGTCGGTGTGGGCAGCGACGTCGCTGATTGTCGGGAAGAGATTCTCCTTCTGCTCAGTCACTACTGTCAGCGGCTTGCCCAAGACAGCTAGGGAAGGATGGGAATCAGTCGTTTAGGCATAGGGTTGGTTTCATGGCCGAGGCCTTCAAACGCAAATTACATTGAACATCATGAAGAAAGCGAAGCGGGTGATGGAGACAAGGACTCACTGATGATGGGAGGGGGTGGTGGGTGAATGAGAGGTGGTGAGCGGTGCCACCGAGATTTTTGTACTGCCAACGAGCTGATTCATGCGTCATGCCCACACAGGGTGAGCGGGGCCAATTTTTTGAGAGGCCAGGGAGGTTTGGGTGGAGGTGCTTCCAGTGCGTTCCCGCTGCACGTGGCAAGGCGCGGCACCAATTCGCGGCTGCCCAGTGTGGAATCCCTCAAAGTGGAGGATGTCCACTCACTCCGGATCGGAGTGCGCGGATTGCACAGCTTCCGATGTTTGCGCGCGGCAGTCAGAGATACTGTCAGCGCTGCACACGCGTATGGATGTTGACGATACTCAAAGTTATTGCCTGGAGCTGACCGCGAGACTTCGATGGGTCTCCCCGCCAGGCCCATCGGCAGCGAATTCGCCAATTCACGGCCGTCGGCCCACAGATCTGGGAATCTAAGGCTGGACTCCCAATCTTCCACACCCCGACTCTAAGTGAAGCCAGCCACCTAGATTGAGTGTTGGCCGCCCCGGCCCTTGACACGATAAACTGGGTTCGTCTGCAATTATTACGTGCAGCGATTAGAATATGCCGCGGTGTCACTTACAACATTGTGCGCATAATAGTTGATCACTGTGATCAGTGACTGCACAATCGCATCTCATAAGGTCCCCCCAAAGATAGCTAGACATGGTGATGTTGTTGACTGGTCTGATTGCTGATTGGAGCTTGGCCGACGCGAGCGGCGGGAGCATGACAAGGCGCCCATGACAGCACTACACAGTGGCGGTGTGATTGAGTGAGCGCGCACCACAGCGGGCCGCGGAGTGTGTACAGAGCGGCACGGGCCATTGACTACACTCGAGTCCGTGACTTGGCTCCACTCGATCACCAAGCCCTTGTTCAAGACGCTGCGGGTGATCCTCCCTGCGGCCCTCTTGAGTCTCCATTCTGCACTCCAACGTCAACAGCTTCGTGTTTTCGTTTTCATCAGTCAACCCGCGCCCAGCGGTACACATCCATGTTAGCGCCAGCGACGAGACCGAACTGAGTAACGTCCCCTCATTTTAGACTTCAGCAGCCCACCGCCCCGCCTCTCGTTCGCCCACACCACTTCCTCTACCTCTGCCCGGCGCCTGCTCTCCCTGCCCCGCTCGAAGTGCGAATGATGGTACATCGTGCCACTACTCCCGGCAAGCATGTCCCAGGCCCTCTACTCCTCCTGAACAATGTTGGTGCGCTCCGAGATGTAGATACCGTCAAGGAACCTTAGAATCAGCAAAGCTCCGGATCTGAATGTGTGCCCGCAGGCAAGCAATGGGTTCCGTTTGCCTGCGCCGGGCGCCACTCACTTGCGGATATCCTTGTTCTTCACGCGGCACTTGTCGGTGATCGAAGCGGCGGACTGGGACACCTTCTCGATGTCGTTGCCCTCAAGGATGATCTCGTCCTTGACGTCCGAGAGCTTGACGGTGGTGCCCTCAAGCATGGGGCACTCGCGCACGAACTTCTCGCCAAGGAAGTTACGGATCTGGATGGAGGAGCCGTCGCCAGCGGGGATGGCGTTGATGGGGAAATGGGCGTAGACGAGCTTCATCTTGTACTGGAAGCCCTTGGTGACGCCGGTGATCATGTTCTCGACCAGCGACTTGATGGTGCGCAGGCAGGCAACGTGCTTGCGGCCACCGTGGAAGATGGTGAAGACAACCTTGCCGGAGTTCTGAAGGTTAGCGCTGGTTTGGGCAAAAGTTTGTTTCGTCACAAGACAGGCGAGGGAGCGCTCAAAGGTCGTGCAGGCGACATGGATACAGGGGCCTCCAATAATGGGCAAACGCGCACACTGGAAAGGTAGAAGCCAGCGTCTCCGCTCGCCGCCAGTCTTGAAGCGCGGGACATCTCCACGCAACAGTTCGCCCCCCCTCTTCCTGCATCCTCCGCTGTGTCCAACCTTCGTGTCTCTTCTGCGCGGGCGTCACCGACACACGCGCGCTGGGTCCATCCAGCTTCCCTCGTCCTCTTTACCTCCTCTGTCATCCAGCCTCTGCCCTCAATGCCCTTGTTCCACTCACGACCTGGATGTCCATCGCAACGTGGCGAACGTTCTTGACAAGGGTGCCACGAGGGCCCTCGACGGTGATCTTGCGCGCCTTAACGGCAACGCTCACGCCGGTGGGGATGACCAGGGTCTCAACGGAGGTGAGGTCCTTCATTGCCTGTATATGGTGCGCGGAGTGGGAAGAGGTAGTCGAGGGAAGGGGGAAGGGAGTCCGCGGTGGATCGCGGAGCGGGTATCGCGGGACGGGGACGAGCGAGGAGCGGGAAAACGCGAAGAAGGTCGACGGGAGCGCTGTGTCAGCTGGTTGTCGACGGCGGGGACGGCGAACGCACGACTTTTGTTGATGGATGGAGAGGGCTTCAATGCACACGGCGAGGTCACCAGCAGCATGCGGCACAGATCGACGAACGGGACTAAATTTCGACGGAAGCAATATCGTTTGGCGATTCACGCCACAACTCGGCATTCCATAACTCCGGAGGAGTGCCATCACGTGAGCAGCATGAGTTGTCTCTCAATGAGGCACGGCCCGCGGCATGCACAACCCAACATTTATTGACCAGCGTTTGTTTGGTTGGCGTATCAGTCTCTCAGATCGAGTGCTGCGCATTTCCGTCCATTCATCTAGTGCGTCGCGCGGCTTACCTGTGCGCGCAGCTCTTATTACAAGACATCAATTGCCTCTCCGTTCCTACCCGAGAGCACTGGAGGTTCTGTTGTCTCGGCAACGCTTAATTCTTCGCCAATGCATCTCCCAGAAGCATTCAAACGCATCTCTTTCTGTGCTGCTGCTGCTCCGATGCTCTACGACTCTGCCCCGCTGCTCTGCTCATCTGCTTTAATCTGCCCAGACATGCCGCAGCCGCAGCGCCCGTCTCGGCTGATCTTGGCCTGCTGGCCTGCATCTTGAGCTTGACATCCGCGCAGCCGCCGTGCCGGGCGAAAAAATACAAATCTCTACACAGAAGCCAACCCATCAGCGCCACCGCCACAGAAGCACGCTCTTACGAGAGTGCCCGATAATGACGTCCATTCGACGCGTCCGCCACGTTGCGCGCTCGGCCCCAGCATGAAGGATGGTGGGACAGTGGACAGTGAAAAGCGGCAGTGGCAGCCGGGGCGTCGCGGGGACGCGGCAGCCTTGGGCGTGCGCTCGGCCACCTCACCTTTGGTGAGCCGTTGGGTCGCCGACGCCACCGCCACTGATCACAGATCTCTGGCTCGTGGACTAGTTTACCGCCGGCCAACGCCAAGGCGACCCGCCACCATTACCATTCACAGTGTCTCCCCCACTCGCTCCATTCATGTGTTCTCGCACTCGCTCTCGCACCGGACTGGGACGCCTGCGTCTGAATGATCATCACACACTCGCACCTCTAACGCCATTGATACACTAAACCCCGTCTCAGCATAGCACGGCCCACTCGAACGGTCACCCCTCGACCATTGCCGCATCACATGCCTCGCAAGATCCTTGCGGCGACCCTCGCAAGACCCCAGTGAGCGGCCCGTGCGTCGGACGAGGGAGAATTGTTCGGGAACGAAACTGGTCAAACTGGTTATACTGGACAGCCTGGCTCCCCGGTTCGGCCCAATGCCGCGTTACGCGGAGGCGGAGCGGTGTGTCGCGCCCGGGCTTGCGGGCCATTCGCCCGCTGCCTGCCCCCTGCTATGACTGCCTGCCACTAGTCTGCGACAGCCTCTGACCACCCACCCCCACACCCCGTTCGCCCCGTGATGAACAATGACAGCGGCGCAAAGGGGCCATGCACAGACCGGACAAAGTGTGTTGACCATGCTTCGTGGGGCTCGCAGCGGGGCCATTGTGGCTTGCTGGCCCGGACGTGCGTTGTGCGATGCCCAGCCGGATGGGTACAGGTATAAAGCGCCATCCTGCATCATCATCGGCCATCACCCCCGCCCTTCAGTCTCTTGTTGCTTCCCATCAACCTCGCCTGCGCATACTGTGCACACGTCTGTTCTCTGTGATCGAATTGGTGTGAACACTATCCGACGCCGACACCAACACTGTCGGACCTTGCTGAATTGATCCAACGCACACGCCTCCCACGCCACTCACCTCTCGCATCGTTACTGGCGCCAACTTGAACCCTTCCCACGACAAGTGGCGCTCACCTAATCGCACTCGTCGCGGACAGTAACTCTGTGAGTCCGATGATGCGCCCACCCGCCTGTCTCAGTACCACCAGTCGCTATATACATCATCAACGCACCTGGATACCATCACCACATCATGCTACCCCGTCTACGCAGGCGGCGCAAAAGCATTCCCGTTCGTCCGGTAGTTTTGCTGACAGACCCAGCGATTTACCACTACCGCTCAGACCTATACCCTCGGCGCCCCTGCCCTTACCCCACAAACAAGATGGTGAGTACACCGCACGGCGGTCACCACAACGATGGGCCATCGTCCTGAATGTGTGGCGGTGATTGAGTCGTGACTGACCCATCATCGGTCGCACCATCACCTTTCCCCCTCCGCCCTCTGGCTTACATTAGACCATGGACGTCGACGACTGTCCCTCGCCTTTAATCACTCTCCCCGCGATCTCGGTCGCCTCGCCCTCACCGTCCAAGCGGCCCGCTCCGCTCAAGCTTCAGCACAAGGACACCCCCCTCCCATCCATCGGTGACCTGTTCGAAGGCGTCAACATCAAGACTCCTTTTTCCCCCTTCGCCCGCCTCGCGCGTAACCACTTCAACGGCGACCTCCCCGCTCTCTCCCCCTTTCCCCCACTCCGCTCGCCCCTCAGCGTGCCCAGTCTATCCCTTCAGCCCGCCACCCCTTTGGCCGGCCAGAACACCACCGCCGACGCCACATACGTGCCCACAGAGCAGCTGGTCAACAACGACTTCGAGATCGACCCCTCTCTCGCAGAAACGGAGGCATCCACCCCGCTCAACACGCCACCCGACATGCCTCTGCCCGCAATGGCCATCATTCCCGGCCGCAGCCCGCTGCGGTGCGGCAATGTATCCTCGGCGTGAGTTTGCATTCCATAATGGAACACGGCTAATCCCAGTCGTAACGTGCTCGTCGATGCATCTCCCGGCCGCTCATACTCCTCCCAGGCCCCAAGCAGCTGGCCGTACCGCACAATGAACAACGGGTGGGACACTCAAAGTATCGCGCCGCGGCAGATCGGTGGCTCGCCGAGCCCCGCGCCCGAGAGCGTGTACGACGAGCCCGTAGGCCCCATGGAGTTGGAGCCGCAGGCGAACACCTGGGCGCCCGCAGACGTGCCGCGTACAGGCTACTTTGCCCCTCGCGCACCTGCGGACGACTACACGCGGCTCCTGGCTCCCAAAGACGGCTTCTTCCCGACGCCGGCGCCAACACCGCCGGTGCAAAATGCCTGGGCCGGCGGTGCGCCATGCACGCCGCCGAACCAGCGGCGCGCGCTCCCGGCCTACGTCCACTCGGCGCCCACATACATCCCGACGCCGTACGCGTCGCCCAGCCCCGAGCGTGCGCTGTACCACACCGTGCCGCCCGGCGCGACGTTCGAGCAGTGGAGCAGTGCGGGATACAACCTCGCTGCGCCATGGAGCGAGGGGCACGCGCGCACGGCGTCGCCCGCGTTCTCAGAGCGGAGCATGGACCCGAGCCCCTCCCTCTCCCGCGCCCACTTGTACGACAACGCGTACGCCTACGCCGGGCCGTCCAGCTACGCCGGGCCGTCTGGCACATCCACCTCTGCCGGCACCAGCGCCGGTCCCATGCGGCCGGGCACCGTGCACGGGCGTGCGCGGCACACGCCCGTCCCGCGCAAGCGGAGCACGACGGGAGTCGCGCTCAACCAATTCGCGCAGCTGACCAGCAACCTCATCTACCCGTCGTACCCGGGCGCGATCCGGCAGTGGGCACCCGTCGTCATCGACCCCGCGACCCCCGTCCCGCCCGAGTACCGCGACAAGCGCGGGTTCTGGGAGGACGACACGTTCTGGACATGGGACAGCACGATTAAGACGCACATGCGCTGCCTCCGCATCTGCGCGCAGTGCCACTGCGACCGGCCGGGCGCGAAGACATGGCGCCGCAGCCACATCCAACAGGACACGAGTGTATGTTTCCTCCCTCCGAAGCGACAGCGCTGATTCCAGCTGTGTAACAAGTGTGGAATATACGAGCACACGCACCAGCAGCCGCGGCCACACCGGCCTGGAGATGCGCGCAAGGGCTACGACCCCAAGTTGCGGATGGAGACTTACAATATCATGATGACGTCGCGCGGGCGCGGATCCAAGAAGGAGCGCTCGGTCTCGCCGGCCCTGCACTTCAACCCCCGCCCCTTGTTCGGCGGCGTCATCGTGAAGCGCAAAGAGGGGAAGAGTGATGGTGACAAGCCGTTTCCGGGGGCGTTCCGCAATCGCAAGGACAGAGATGACGACGAGTACCAGCCTGAGCGATGATTGTTGAGTAGTATCGTTATTGTTGTTGTGCGCTAAGTCACCGGTGTAGAGTCCGGCCAGGATACGGCGTGGAATTGTTTGATTAGATGTCAGGTCATATAAACTCAATAAGATGTACACAGCTTGTGCAACCACATAATTGCGAGATCGCGGGAAGTCAGGTGATGGCTTGGACTGGAGTTGGAGGGTGAGCGTTGATGCGATTCAGTGATGTTAGTGGATCGCGGATCGTGGAAGTCGATGTCAACACCTACCCACATGCCACACAGCGGCTAACGCAGTATCGTCTGCATGCCTACAAATCATACCCAGTTCTAAGCCGACGCAAGAGTCTTGTTCCACGGTCCCGCGTTGGACAGCGAGCACCCACCAGGGCACTGGCAGGTGCCTCCGAGGTCGACAGGGAGGTTCTCAGCGGGAATGTACTGCTGAAGCTCGGTCTTGTAGTTCTTGCCAAGAATGTGGATCTTGCGCTGCGTTGCCTCGTCAAGCCACGGCTTGATGATTGACCACGCGGTAGAGAAGAGGTAAGGGGCGTTGATGATGAACATGAAGCCCATGGTCTCGGGGTAGTAGTTCTGGCCGATCGTCGATGCGGCCGAGACATAGTCCTTGACTGCGAATCAGACCCCCCTTCACTGGTTCAACTCACCCTTGTAGAAAGTCGAGATACCGGCGTTCTTGAGATCGAGGATGGTGCACGACGTCTCGATGAGGTGGCCAGCCTGTTCCGAGCATGCGGGGAGGCGCTTGCCCAGGAACTGCTCGTACTCGTCGACAAGATGGTGCAGCTGGCGGTCCTGGGTAGTTATCTTGTAAAGGGCCGTAATGTCGAGCTTGCCCATCTGCTCAATGTAGACAGGCCGTCCATCCCGGTCCGTCTTGTGGTAGAACTGAGGGTAGTACTTGTCGACTTCGACGGCCTCGGGGTAGGGGAAGCCGTTCCTGCTGTCAGCGCGTCTCATGAGTACGAAAGGCTGTGTGCGCCTGAAGGAAGGCCAGGTAAACAAATTGACCTCCCGAGTGAGTGCATCACGATCAGGAAAGTGTTGGTAGCGCCATGGAGTGCCTCTACCGACTCGAGCAGACTGAAGTCGCCGATGCCTCGCACTGTGAAGCTCTCACACTGGCCTATGCTGGCAGCGTCGGTCGGAAGAAGGCACTGGCCGGCGCCTATCCTCGGCTTGTCCACCATCTCTTCGATCGCACCGTGACTTCGCGGCAACCCGTCAAACTCACTTGGAGATCTCGTCGGTGCCAAACTCCTTGCGCCACTTCTCGTTGGTCTCCCACATGAGCTTGGCCTTGGCGAGGTCAAACTTGCGCGCGCGAAGGAAGCGGAGAAGCGTCTTGTCATCGTAACGGTCGTAGCCGACAATCTCGTTGGCAGTCTTCTCGCGGTCGGCGGGGATCAAGCCCTCCTCGGTGAGCTCCTTGCGGAACTGCGCGAGGACCTCCGTCTGGTGCTCATCGCTGTTTGATCAAAACGCCTCGAGGGAAGGTGAGGTAACCGCCGAAAGTACGACGGGAGGCCAAAGATGAGTGACAAACCACAGTTTCAACGTTGTCCATGGCGTGGGCACAGGGGCGAAGGCAGGGGCAATCGGCATGTGGGTCGATGGTTGGTCAAATGATGGAGGTGCATCGGAAAGATGAGGGATGTCGCGGGGCGGAGAGAGTGAGAGAGAGAGCGAGAGCGCGAACAATGTCAGCAAGTGTGCACACATTGTTGACAAATTTGGGAACAACCAGCAAACGTACAGGTGACCGGGGTGACCAGCGAGAGGGTCCTTGGTAGCGGCGGCGGCGGCGGGGGCCTGTGAGACAAGTTAGTCCGAAACAGCGGAAAGAGGTGGAGGAATGTCCAAGTTGAAAGGGCTGGGTGCCGGGGGCGTGGCGTCGTGTCGCGTTGGAGGAAGCGATGGATTTGTGATATGGGGACGGCGACTTACAGACATGACGATGTGATGGGGTCAACGAGTGTGGTGGGTGCTGGAAGAAGAAGCTGGGGATTATATTATCGATGTAGACGGTCGAGACGAGATCGAGAGACGAGAGAAATGCAAGTCGGAGATCAGGAAGAAGGACAAGTCGAAGTGGACAGAGATGTTGCAACACAGGCCACGCCACGGGTCGGTGTGTGTGCTCGGTGCTCCAAGGCGTTATTGACCCAAAAGTGTAACGGGGTTGTATTAGAATGCATTTCATTAGCTCTAATCGGGCTGAACATCGGCGTGGCATGATTTATTAGCCCGCCCTTGCTCATGGCTCACCACGCCGCCGCTGCCCCACGCGCCCTGGGTGCAGATATGCGCGGGGCGGCGCCGTCAGGCGTCAGGGATCATTCGCGTCACTCCACTCCACCATTTGCGTCATTTGATCCCGCAGAGCCGCGCGATCGGAGCTGACATGCGCCTATACCCTCCCACGTGTCGTCGTGATTAAGTGATCAAAATAGGCATTCGGGTGTTAGGCTTGACAGATAGGCGCGCGGCCATTATCACGTGATGCGGGGGTGGGTGGAAAGGATGGAAGCCAGGGCGACGGCTACAGGGATACGGGAGGAGGATAGGATATGAAGGGCAGAGGGCAGTGCATCAGAGGACAGCTTTGGGTTGAAGCCGAGCAAAGTTCCGGTCCTGTCCCTCTTGCGCCCCCGTCGGCCCTCGGCCCCTCACGTCTGAGGCATCACCCGGGCCAGCTGCCAGCATCTCTGTCACCGTCGGCGGTGGCAGCCTCGTTCCGTCCGGCCTGCTCTTCCACAGTCTCCTCCACCTTGCTCTTCCCGTCCGTCGCGCTTCTTCCATCCCGTTCCCTACTGGGCCACCTCTTCTCTTTATCAAAGATTGTGCCGCTCTCGCTACATCCAGTGCAGTAGCTAGACCGATCGGCGATCGACAGACTACGCGTCTCCTTTCGCGCTTTCTCCATCTCTCTCATCTCCAATCGCCCATCTCCATCTCATCTCTCTGCTTGGGCTCCCATCACAGTCCCTCTCGACGCGTCCTCATACCCGCTTTGATCCCTCCCTCTCCCCTTCATTATCAGCTCTCCAGCTCTCCAGCTCTAAAGTCCTCTCTCCCCTAGGTTACTCCTCGCTCTCGGACCTCACTGCTCCACATTCCCCGTCGCACCGAACATCTCCACCTCTCAAGATTCCGCTGGTATCTATCGGAGCCCAAGTCGCAGCGATTTCGGGTCCGTCACGTCGTTCCATCAGCTAGAAATATCAGCCACACGCGAGCCCACGAGGCCTGTCAGCCGAGAGACAACCCATCACCGAGTGCGACGACTGTCCAGTACTACTAGTCCGCAGCCGTACCCTTATCCTGGGGCGTCGACTGAATTGGTCCTAGCTTGAGAAGCCATTGAATCGGAACGCACAGCCCTCGAGCCTCCAGCGCCTCCAGCGCCCCCCCCAGCACTCCACGCACCCAACGCACGCGCCACCCCCTCCTCGCCCCAGGCCACGCCTTCAAAACCACACCGCCGCTCCCATCATGGCCTACCTCGGTCGTCCCTCAGAGGGTGAATCTCCATTTGCCATCGCCGACCGAGCCATGCGCGACACTTCATCTCCACAGCCTCCTCAACAGAGAAACCCAACTCCTCGTCAGGCCTACCGTCCGCAAGCAGGCTCCATGGCCGCACCCAGTCCCTATGGCAGCGTCAGCGACGAGGCTCGCCGCCGCTACGAAGAGCGTTACGCAAGGAAGGCCGCTGAGGATCAGGCAAAGCGTGAAGCCGAGGCGCGCGCTGCTCAACAGCCGCCCCCGCCTCCGCAGCAACAGCATCAGCAGCAGCAGCACGGCGGCTACGTTCCCCCTGCCCCCCCTCTTGGTCAGCCCCAGCAGGCGTACGGCCAGCCTCCCCCTCACCATCAACCGCAGTTCGCCCGCCCTCCCCCCCGCGGCGACTCATACCAGCAGGCTCCTCCACAGGCTCCGTATGCGCAGCCCCCGCCTAGAACGTCCTCGGCACAAGGCAGCAACCGACCCGTCAGTCACTCCCCCGCCTCCCCAGCCCAGGCCTATGCCCAGCAGTACCAGGCGCAGCACCACCCCGCCTCGCCCCATCAGCAGCAGTACTCTCAGCAGCATGGCTACGGTCCGCCGCAGCAGCCCCCTCCCCCTCCTCAGCAGCAGCAGGGTTATGGGCAGCCGCAGCAGCAGTACCAGCAAGGACCCCCGCGCCACCAGGGTGTTCAGCTGACCGACGGGCCCCCTCGCCAGCAGCAGCAGCAGCCGCCGCCGCCGCCTCAGCAGCAGCAGCAGCAGCAGCAGCAACAGTACCAGGACCCACGGCAGCAGGACCTCCGGCAACAGAACCGCCAGTCCACGAGTTCACAGAACCGCGAGAGCTACCGCCGCGAGAGCTACCAGGCACCTCCTCCCCAGGCTGGTGTTGATGAGCTGCGCGACCTGTGAGTGTTGGCCCCCCCCCCCGTCTCTTTTGCACGGACCTTGTTGACGCTTCAGCTTCGCGCAGTTCGACTCGGGCCGCCAGGGCCAGCTCAGCTACCTTGACCTTCAGCGTCTCCTCGCCAAGGATGGCACGGTCGAGGCGCGTGAGGACTGCGTCAAGATGGTGAGTGCTGAGTGACGAGTACCCGTCTCTGACAAATCAGCTTATGAACATCTTCGACACCGACCGCAGTGGGTCAATCAACTTCATGGAGTTTGAGGGCCTATACCGTTACATCCAGGTGTGTTTGTCCTCCCGCATCCGCTGATTGCATCAGGATTGGCACGGCATCTTCAAGCGCTTCGATCAAGACAACTCAGGCCTGATTGATCGCCGCGAGCTGCAGGCCGCATTGCAAGGCTTCGGCTTCTCGCTTCCTGCCGACATGGTGGCCAAACTGGAGAAGCGCTTCTCTCCGCCGATGAAGCCAGGAGAGAGGCAGTCGGCTGGCATTACGTTTGACCGCTTCCTGATGGCGTGTGTGACGGTCAAGCACTACACCGAGGCGTTCCGCCGCCTCGACCCCAACAACGTCGGCCAAGCGACTATGGACTACATCTCGTTTGTGAGTTGCGCCGACGCGACGTGCGTAAGAGGCGGCCCGGCACTGACCGCAGATGGACATCGTCATGGACGCCCCATCTTGAGCATGCAATATCAATACGAAAACGCCGTCTCGATTCCAGTGGACGATACCCTGTCATTATTCCCCTCGCCTCAAGCACCCATACCTCGCGCACCGGCAGTTTTGGCTGTGGAGCCAAGCCATGCAACGATTCCCCATGTCAAGTGATCGTCGCGCTTTGAGCTCGCATCGCGATTGTTACGTTATTGTGCTACTTCTGGGCGAATACACCGCAGGAGCCCTCGTATCAATGGCGCCAGTCCGGTCATTTGATCCCCCTTGCCCACCTTTCCATGTTCATTATACGTTCACGCAGATACTGACAATACCCCTGCATAGTGTTGACGCTCGTTCAGGCCCCAGTCAAACACCGGCACGCCAAACGAGACCGGTGCGCCGCCTCGCGGCCTGCCTGCGACCTGTGATCATGCGAACCTAACTCACCGGCCCTCCCCCTAGTCAGTGCGTGGTGATCCGAAGACTACGTCGGCATGATGCCGCGCGGCCTGAACCAGAGGTTGAGAGCTGCTGGCCACATCCAACGAAGCAGGCGTCCCGCTGCTGCTGCTGCCGATCTTTTGACATTCGTCACACTACTGAAGGTGCTCATTGTCCAATTTATGAGTCGTGCGCATACGCATCCCACATTGACCATTGACCCCGCGCCACGAACGCGCGATGGTCGTTATGCAGCCTAGACACAGGAGCCATTAACACAGTTTTTACCGACGTCGCACTGAACGCCGCAAGAACCGCAGTTCTGGTTGTCGTTGGCCGTGTTGACGCAATCCTGGTCCCACCAGTTGCACTTGATCTGGCCGGGGGGGCATCCAGTATTGCCGCCCGAGCACTCGCCATTGACGCAGTTGGAGCCGGTAGTGCAGTAGTTCCAGCACTGGCCGCAGTTGTTGTTGTCGTTTTGCGTATTGACGCACCCCAACCACGAGCCGCACCATGTCTGTCCACCGTCGCACCCCACGCACTTGCCGTTGCGGCACGGGCCGCTCTCGCACTGCCATTAGCGCAGACATGTGCCACGCTCACATAATTGCTGCACGCGCCACAGTTGTTGGCGTCGTTCTGGACGTCGATGCAGTCCCACATGTTGGGGCACCATACCTTGCCGGCAGGGCAGTCACAGGCGCCGTTGACGCATGCCACCCCCTCGGGGCACTGGGTCCAGCACGTGCCGCAGCGCTTCGGGTCCGACATAATGTCGCGGCACTCGTATCTGTTGCTCTCGGGGACATAGCATCCATCCTGGCCGGAAGGGCACCCCACGCACTTGCCCCCCGAGCAGATCTCGTTGTCGGAGCAAGAAGTGCTGCAGCCGCCGCAGTACCATTTGTCGTTGTTAAAGTCGGGGCAGTAGCTCCCCCAGCATACCTCACCGAAGTTGCATTTGCACGCGCCGGCCTCGCACGTCACCGGGTTCTCGGTAACGCCGTAGCACGAGTTGCCGCACGAGCCGCAGTGGCGTTCGCTAGTCTGGAGGTCTGCGCAGACCTCGACCCGATTGTACTTGCCGCGATACTCCCAGCAGGAGGACTCGCCAGGTGGGCATGTGAGCTCCCGGGGTACGGCGTTGCCCAAGGCTGGCGCTGGTGTTAGGCATGTTGTGACACGACTCACTGAGGTGGGTGAAGAAAGCGGCGGCGAAGAACAGAGTTAGCATCGTAGGAGTGGCAAGGGTGAGAGAGCGTGCATCCCGTCTACGTCGGCTTATGTAGCGCGCTTGCCGACGTCGGCAGTTCAAGAGTGGAGCCACAAGCTTCGCCCCTCGGTGAGCTCACGGGATCACCTCCGCCCAGTGGAGCCGCTAAGTCGGCGCAACGATGCAGAATACAAGAGCGGGATATCCACTCGGATCTCGTTACGGCTGTGACTTTGGCGGAACGCTGCCAAAGTCATATATACCCTTGCACGTGATGAACCACATTCCGCGGCGAGCTCTGACAAGCGCGAGGGCGGTGCTGCACGGAGGCACTTCCTTCGGAACATACAAGCATCAGGACTGCATAGCGCGGCCATACATTTAAGCTTCACAATACTCATCGATATGCAGCCTTATGCTTGGAGTGTCCGATCGCCCTCCGGCGGGACGATCTACTTGCGTCGGCAGTTCGCGGGTGACGAGTTCTGCGGAGCCTCGGAGTTAGGCTCTGAGATAGGCTTCGAAGGCTCGGTGCTAGGCGCGGGCTCGGGAACAGGTTCGGGCGTAGGCTCGGGCGTCATGGACGTCGCGGGCGGCCAAGGCGCATCCTTGTCCATGCACTGGGCGTCGCGGCAAACTTCGCCCTTAGAGCACTTTCATCAGCACCATCACTCTCAGCCTTCACCTTGTTTCCGCACGCCCCGCAGTTCTCCTTCGACCTGTTGAGGTAGACACATTTCTGGAATCAGCCGCGCTTTCAACCCACTCACCCCCTTGCACCTGACAGCATCTTGTTTACACCCATTATCGCCCACACACATCCCGTTCTTGCACGACGTGCCGGACCCACACTCAAACTAACGTGAGCTCCTTCCAGCCACGACCCACGTCAGGCCCGCATCCGCCACAGTTGCTGTTGTCGGTCTTCGTGTCGACGCAGATCTCGCCACGGTCGTCTGTGTAACAACGCCACTGATTCCCGGGGCACTTGGTGCACTTCCCGTCAAGGCAGTACCCACCCTGGCCAGGACACTGGAGTCAACTAATTCACTCCATAACTCACCTGGTTGTCGCACGCGCCGCAGTGCGACCGGTCAGTAGTCGCATTCGTGCACCATCCCGTGCTGGGGCACCATAGCTGCGGGGCGGCGCACGCGCACGCCCCGTTGACGCACGGCACGCCCTCAGGACACTGGATGAGCTGTCGCGCAGCGGGCACTCACGGCGTTCTCGCATGCCGAGCAGTGCGCGGGGTCGTTGAGAATGTCGACGCACAGCGTCACATCCCCAGGGTAGATGTTGCACATAGCCTTTCCAGGACCGCAGTCCTCACATGTCCCGTTGACGCAGATGCCATTCTCGCCGCACTGAGTGAGCGCCTTCTCGTCTTCACTCACCCAGTTGTCGCAGGCGCCGCAGTGCTGCATGTTGGTCTGAAAGTTTGGGCAGAAATTATCGCATGCCGGGGCGCCGTCGCAGAGGCACTCGCCGCCGGCGCACGACACGGAGATGCTGCTGAACCTGTCGGCGTAACAGCTGCGCTCGCAGCGCCCACAGTTGTCGCTGTCCGTCGCTACGTCCGTGCATGCGTACCGGTCGCCGGTCCAGTTGCCGAAGATTCGGCAGGAGGTCTCACCCGTCGGGCAGGCCTCTTGCCGGGCTACCAAGGCCAGCGCAGGTGCTGCGGGTCAGCATGGCCGTTGGAGGGCGAACCCAGAAGCAGTGTTAGTGTCAGTCGAAGCATAGCGGGAGGCTGAGGAGAGTCCCGCTGACTGAAAACGGACCGCTTTAGACACATATTCGTTGTGCGCACACAAACGAGAGTCGACCCATGACATGGATAAATCGAGGTTGGACACTGTTGGCTTGGCATCGCCAAGTCGACCTGAAATACCTGGCGGCCTGCCCAGTGAGGCCGAACCTTCGCAAACAGATCAACTGAAGAGTGCGGGGGTAGTCCGCAGAGCGAGCGGCGCTCTAGGTTGCGTCCTTGGCAGTGTCTCGTGACCGCCAACTTCCCGCCGCTTCATTAAGCATCCGCTTCCGCGACGTGCCTTATGACGAGCCGAACAACCTTCTCCTTTCTCATGCCGTATCATGCTCCTCCTACTCAGCGAGAGCTGACAGCATTCACATCGACCTTAAGCGACTGCACTTCCAATTCTACATTTGAGTGTCCGTGGCTGGGCCTGGCCCACACCTCTCCAACTAACTACACACGCCGCCGCGGCAATTCTTGCCCGGCGCACACTGAAATTAGCTGCGCCAAGAAGTTGTGGGCTCACAGTCTTCCCGCACGCCCCACAGTGGGAATTGTCGTTGTCTGTGTTCGTGCATCCTACCCCACATCGGATCTGGCCGGGACCACAGCCGTTGTTGTCTTCGCATTTACCGTTGACGCAGTTCGAACCCTCAGAGCACTAGTGTTAGCTGCGTTGCGCCCAGAAATGCAGACATACCCATTCATAACATCTCCCGCAGTTGAAGTTGTCATTTTGCAGGTGAACACAGCCGCTGTTGCACCGCACCTGACCGGGCGGGCACTTCTCACATACACCGTTGACACAGTTGCCGTCGCACTGGGTCAGACTCGCCACATGGTCGAGAGCCACTTACGACCTTGCCACACCCGCCGCAGTTGAATCTGTCGCTCATGAGGTCTTGGCACGCGCCCCGCCACCACCCGGGCGGCGCAACGATGCGGCTATCGCACACGCTCGTGCCGGGTGGACACTTGCACGTGCTGTCGCTGCATGACGCACCCCAAGCACACTGGGGTCAGAGCTCCGCCAACCTGTGACGTACGAGGTAGTTGCAGCCCCCGCAATTGTCCTTGTCGCTGCGTATATCGAGGCACTTTGCGTTCGGGTTGTACGGGTCGGGGTCCTGGTCACATGCGAGTTGGAAGGGCGGGCAGTCTGTGCATTTTCCATCGACACAATTCTGGTTCGCAGCGCACTGGATGAGCTGGGACACGCTTGGGACTCACCTTGATGCCGCACCCGCCGCAATTGACGCGGTCGGTCTTGATATGCGGACAGGGCATTTCGAGGCTATCGCACGCTATCGCTCCGCTGTTAGGGCAGCGGCACTCGCCGTTGGTACACCGCGCCTCAGCCCACGACGGACAGGCCCGGTCGCAGCCGCCGCAATGGTTCATGCTTGTTAATATGTCTTGGCATCGGTACTCGTCAAACCAAGGGCATAGCGCTTCGCGGGGGGGGCAGGTAGTGTTTTGGCGCTGAACCAGGGCGCTCGGGAGCGCTTGGGCTCGCTCGCTCAGTGCTAAGAAGCTTGCAGCAGTCAGGAGGACCTTAAACATGTTGGCAGTAAGGTGTGTCGGTGTTTAGATGTACAGTGGAGATCGCTGAACACCAGTTCGACGCGCAATCCCTCCGTTTTATATCCAGTCGTAGAGGAATATGACCGAGTTGCCTTGGAAACGCAAACGGTCAGAAGCATAAAGTGCTTCCGTACTCACTCCCGCACACCTCACGTCGGTTACACTTTTGCCGCTCTCCCGCCCTATTTAGGCGTTGGACGAGAAGGCTTGAGGTTGAGAATGGGCGGAAGCAATGTTCTGTATTCATCCCTTGAGAGGGTGTCTCCTGGCATGCTGCCAGACTGCGTTCCACGGTTGGGAGGCCTCCCGAGTGGCATCTTCCGTGAGAAAGGTGAGCTTAACACATGTGATTTCCCTCAACTCAATGAATGGGTTTGGGAGGCATGAAACCTGCATAACGAGATGATGCGTGCTCTGTGGGAACCAAATGTTAGCGCGAACGTAACACAGGACAGTCACGCTGGTTTCGCCATGCTGACACTCTAGCGTCCATTGATTAGGTTGCAATTCCACGCGCTGAAAGTGCAGATGGTAACCCTCACTGTTTACGGTTGCAAGAAGCAAGAGCTTCATGAGGATCTCCATGGGCGTGCATACCGTGAAATCCCACCGGCACAACATCCCAAGGGGAATTCTGAGATAGGGCCGGCGCTATTACAGTGGCATCATTCCGCAGCCCTCCAATGATGATCAACCGTCTCAGAAGTCTGAGTGTCTGTCGCTTCCTACTGTTCCGTCTTTCAGTGTTGAGACAGAGGTGAGGGGTTGAGTGAAGATGACACAGTATCATGGGTCGGCCGTTCAGAATCTTTCAGAACACTACTTTATTGGATTTCTTATCACTATCATCTTGGCTTGGCGCCGTTAGGCGCATTTTCAGCTACACACCCCATTACGACAATTCGTCTCGAGGGGACACTTTTATCAGCATGACTTTTGTCACGTGTAATTCAGCTTACTGCGTTTGAGCAGGAGCCGCAGTGACGGTTATCATTTCCAAGATTAATGCAACGTCCACCATAGCAGCGAACTTGACCGGGCGGGCAGCCATCGTTTTCCTCGCACTTCCCATTAACGCAGTTGGAGCCTTCCACGCACTGCTGTGAGCATTTCGGCTGCGACACTTACTATGATCCCGCAGGACCCGCAGTTTTGGTTGTCGTTTTGAGTGTTGACGCATCCCGAGCCACATTGTTTTGTGCTATTGGGACACTGCTGGCAGACTCCATTGACGCACTCGCTATCGCCTTGGCACTGAGTAAGCCAAATCCAATTCGAACAAGACGCACTTGTTTCTTGCAGGCCCCGCAGTTGTATATGCTCTTCAAATCCGAGCAATAACCAGTCGTCCACCCGATTTCCGGATGGTGGACAAGCCCATTGCCGCAAGCAACCTTGCCGGGTGGGCACTTGCAGACGCCGTTGTCGCACACGGAGCTTTCAACACACAATTATCAGCTGCGCTCTCGCTCTGTCCTCACCCGGTAGCGGCAGCCGCCGCAGTTCGAGGGATCGGTGCTCTGGTCTACGCACCCCGCCACAGGGTGGTATAAGCTGCCGATATTACAAATTTGCATGTTCTCGGGGCAGGTGGAACATTTGTAGTCCTCACAGATCTCGTTGCTTGCGCACTGCCCCGCGTCAACGTCAGCATACAACCCTGTACCCACCTTGACGTCGCAGGCTCCGCAGTTGTTGACGTCGAAGTCGAAGTCCCGGCATGGGGGGTCGTCCCAACACATGCGCCTGCCCATGGTGTTCCGGCAAATGCACTCGCCGCCTGTACAATATGCCCAGTGGGTTCCACAGTCACGGCCGCATGCGCCACAGTGGGCCGCATCAATGTTCAGGTTGACGCAATAGTGTGTGTTGGGGCAGACGGTCTCGCCCGGCTCGCATGTTAAGTTCTGCCGCGCCACAAGTGAGTTCTCCGTAGCCCGAGGAATCAGGCCACCAAAAGCTGGCGTAGCTACGATCAGTCTACCCGACGAAGAGCCTCACCAAGGACGAGCAGGTCGATAGGGTAAAGTCGAAGCATGGCTGAGAGGTTGGTGATAGCAGGTCTGAGAGTTCCTTGCTGTAATATGATTTATATGCTGTCAAAGGAAGCTCCGGTCGACGCGTCAGCTGATGAAACTGGGCCAGGTCAGAACCTTACTGTGCGTCGATCAACCCAAGACTCGCGGCCATGGACCTAAAATGAGTCCAACGACGTCAGAACGACCAACAGGAGAACCAGTAATGTGATTATGAGCCTCGCTCCAAGCTTGGCAGGGTGACGCTGCAAATGCATGCCTCGGCGAGCGGCCTCATCATTCGTAACCGCGCCCGGAGTCTGAGCTAGCGAGCAGCTTTTCAATCGTCATAGGTCGAGTAGGCGCATGCCGCCGCAATTCCGAGCGTTAGTTCATGCGCAGAGATAGGTGTCTTAATATATGGCAGAACCGTTTCGAAGCTTGATTCCCTGGGCGGCACATATTCCGGCTTGGCTTGCTGGTGGTGGCGAGCTTATCGGCGCTCAAGTCCTGGATGAGTTTAGAACGGCAACGGGAAGAACGCTTTCGATCATGTCATGAACAGCCAGACACCCGATGCAGAGGTCATGGTGAGGACTAGTCTCATAAGTTACCCATTCGCCCTTCGCCTTTCATTATCACCTCCCCCAAGCTACCATACTTGCGAGCAGGTTTGGGCCTCTTCGGAACGTGTGCTCAACGAAGAGTGCAGGCATCATGTGCCAGCCGTACTTGACATCAAAGGGTCGGAGGGATTTGGAGCTGAGTTTAACGAGTGCTCCGGATGCAACTGCACTACCCTGACGAGCACCTATTGGGGAGTAAAGAGTCGCACACAGTTCTTCGTCAGCTGATGAGAGCGGTCAGTACATCGTGCGGGCCGGGTGGGGAGATGGAATTGGTGTGACATGACAGAGACTCTGTGTTGAATCATTGGGGCGGGAGCAAAGCGGAAGTATATACGCATGACATGGCCGCACCATCTTGTTCGAATTGACCTACATACCATTCATACCAAATGCTACAGACAGGAGAGTCGGGAAGATATCGTTGAGTCGTCATCATCCTCTCAAACCTACAAGGGCGTGCTGCGCTGGCGTGCGCGCTTCTACAGGGTTAGGCCCACATGGCGGTTGACGTCTTTGTAAAGGAGGTAGCGGAAGCGTGTGGGCCCGCCTGCATAGCAAGCCTGGGGACAGAAGGCACGAAGCCACATGAAGTCCCCGGCTTGAACCTCGACCCAGTCCTTATTCAGTAGATACATAGCCTTGCCCTCGAGGACGTAGAGGCCATGCTCCATGACGTGGGTTTCCGGGAAGGGAATCGAGCCGCCGGGCTGGAATGTGACGATGGTTACGTGCATGTCGTGCCGGATGTCGGTAGGGTCAACAAAGCGCTGGGTGCACCAGGTGTCGTTGGTGTCAGGCATGGCGGCCATCTTAACCTGGTCCTCGCTAGTCACGAACGACTCGGGAACGTCGACGCCCTCGGCCTTCTGGTAACGCTTGCGGATCCAGTGGAACGTCGCGTTCTCCGTACCCTTGTTGTGTAGCTTCCACTTCGCGCCCGGGGAGAGGAATGCGTATCCACCCGCGGCCAGCTTGTGCTCCTTGCCCTCGAGGGTGAGTTCCAGCTCGCCGCCGACGACGAAGAGAACGCCCTCGGCCCCGGCATCCACCTCCGGGGTGTCGCTTCCACCTCCGGGCTGCACCTCGACGATGTACTGTGAGAAAGTCTCGGCAAAGCCAGAAAGAGGGCGGGCGATGACCCACAACCGGGTCTTGGGCCAGTGCGGAAGGAGCGAGGTGACGATATCGCTCATCACACGACGGGGGATGACGGCATACGCTTCAGTGAAGACGGCGCGCTCGGTGGTGAGGTCGGTCTGGGGAGGGAGACCGCCCTTGGGAACGTAGTAAGAGTTGGGCATGATAATGGTGAAATGCAGTGAATGGAACGAGATGGGGATCGCGCTTCAGGTGGACGCGGTGATAACTAAATGTCTCGAGGTGGGTGGGCATTCGCGGGGAAGCGGGGGAGCCAATGTGGGTGCGATCCAGAGCGGAAGCCGAGGCACCGGCATGCCGCGTCCGATCAACACGGCTTTCAACAGTGCCCATTCCCCGATCACGACGGACAACCATTGACTTTCACCATGTACAGTTGACAGCGAACGTACATTTCATATCATCCTTTCATATCAGCTCTTTCATATCAGCTCTTTCATATCAGCTAACGGTTTCATATCAAGGCTGTCCCCTGCCTGCTCTCCCTCACCCAGCCCAAAGCGCTGACTGTGACGGCGCCCACTCCGGCGCTCAGCCGAGTCTTGCACGCCGGGTGTCGGGACACATAGGGCTGAAGGTCCAATTGATAACACGCTCAGCTTGAAACACGTGGCTGCGCTTCGATACATTCCATATCGCCCATCGAACTTTTGAGACTTATCAAGCCATGCCCTGTGGCGCAATGCGATATCACTGCAAAAGGCGCTTTCGTTATCATACCAGATCCAGGCTATCAGGCCGGGGGCCGTGCCCCATCCGATCGTTCGCTCATGCTTCTGCCAGTGATGCGAGCGCCACGGGAGCGGTCGGTAACTTGAAGGCTTGCGGATGTGATCTGCATGCAGGGTAATAAGGAGCTGTGTCATGAATTCAGCTGCATGCGGAGCTGTCACCTCTACATTAGAACGCATGCCAGATAATGGAGATCGGCAGTCAAGACTAACACAACTTTGTTGGCTCTGGTCAGCCTCGGTCACGGCGGCGAGTATATAACGCGCGGTCGATTCGCACTCCGCCCGTCTGGCCCCATGCTGATACGAACGGGGTTCACTCGCGAATCGGACTCCGCGAATCTCGACGCTGGAGGTGTCAGCGTTTCGCCCACCCTTCTGTTTTGAGCTTGGTTCAACTAGAAAGGTCGTTCCGACACTGCTGGTAATATACCTATCATTCTAGGTTACACGGAAAAACCTAACAACTCGGCAAGACGTTCCGGAAACCACAAGAGAAAACACCTAACTTTGGTGAGGAGAGGCCGAAGAGACCGGCAAGGCGTGAACGCGCTTTACCACGCCTCGTGTCTGTCCAACACACCAGCGCTGTCATTGGTAGGTAGAGTTGGAGCGCGATGATCTGTTCTTTGAGCTCGCGGAAGGAGATGTGACAGGAGGGACCACGTTCCGCACGGTGCATGACTCTGATGGCTGCGCTGTCACTGAAATATGCGGCAGGCAGTACCGCTGTGCCCTATTAGCCGAAAGCACTGTCCCAAAGCGACCTCATCTGACTATCTCCCACATGAGGCGAGAAGCACTGACGGCGTACCAGCCCCGACTGATTCAAGATTGAGTGGAAAACAATATATCGATAACTCCTTCATCACATTTGCACTTTAGATGTCTTCTCAGTCCTGTGCAGTCGTTCAAGCTCAGTGAACCGGTCACGAACACGCCCCGTTACGGCAATTCTTGCCTACCGGGCACTATGATTAGTCCAGCTCGCCTTGCATACTTACTGCGACACCGCAGTCGCCACAGTGACGGTTGTCGTTGGAAGGATTGGTGCAGAGGCCGTTGCACAGCTTCTGACCCGGTCCACACCCATCGTTTCCCTCGCACTTGCCGTTTCGGCATGTCATGCCCGCCGCGCACTACGTCAGTACACTACCGCGAGACTTGTCACCCACGCTGTTGGCACATTTGCCGCAGTTTTGATTATCGTTCAACGGGTTTACGCACCCACCCACGCCACATCCGATCTGACCCGGGGGACAATCCTCAATACACTCTCCATTTCGACACTTGGTCTTGCCCTGGAAGTTGCACTGCCGTGAGCTTTTGTCAGTCGAGTCTCGTACCACTCTCTCGCACGCGCCACAGTTCAGTGGATCAGTCATCAGATCCTTGCAGCCTGGGCTGTACCACCCGCAAATTGTGAGGGGAGCTGGACAGATGCACTTGCCGTTACGGCACGGAACCCCTGGGGGACACTGGGTAAGCACTTGCCTGCAGGACTCTTACTTGGAAGAAACATGAACCACAATGATCGACGTGGCTTTGCGGGTCCTTGCAGCCTCCACTGCACCCCAGCATGCCGGGCGGGCATCCCACGCACCTACCGCCCTGACAAGTTTCATACAGTTGGCACTAAGTCAGCGACGTCTGGAAGGAACCTACAGACTTCCCACAAGTTCCACAATTGACGCTATCCGTGTTGTAGTCGGGGCACCCCAACCAGCACCAAGGACGACCAGAGTTGTTGCAGATGCACTTCCCGCCCACGCATTTCGAGTCAGGCGGACAGACGCCGTTGCAATAGCCGCAGTTGACATTATCGGTCGTGATATCGACACACGTCCACGTTGAGACATTGTTCACGTCTGGGCAAGCAGTCTTCCCGGCTGGGCACGATAAACCGACCTGGCGCGAGAGCGCCACAGCGGCATTGGCGTGGATGGCTGCGAGACGTCAGCAGCCTGCATGTCTGAAATACCAAGCGGCTCTCCATCGCCAGCGGCCTGGCGTTTTACTCACCATGGAAGAGGACAGCGAGGGCGACGACGACGATAAGCATTTGAACGTTGTTGAGGCGACAGACCAAGAGTACCGGAAGTAATGGTCCAAGCCAGATTCAAAGCCCATATGATCCTGCAACGACAGGTGCGACTCTCTACCGTAAGGGTTGTAGAAGGCGCGTGACCTCCTGCAAAGTTGTGCTGATTTGAGAGTTCCTAAACGTCATCATGCTGAAATATGCGTCTGAGGAGCCGCGATCTCGGCACGCGGGAAGAGGGCTTCGTGGAATGACCGTAGTTTATCTGTAGTTAATTCACTATGCTTATGAGCTGAGCGCAATCTCGTCAAGCGTGCTGCAGGAACGAGTATAAAGGATCCCGTCTCTCGAAGCTGCACTTTGGAGGGAGGAGCGGGACTTGATGTACGACGTTAATACCAATAGGGTTCGCGATGCTTCCAGCAGGACGCTTCCCACGGAGGACAGTCGAAGTCTTCAAGCTCCCGGATCATCTTATGTAAGTTGAGTTATGCAACGTTAACCCTAGTCGTCGAGTCCAGAATCAGACCCGGTACACAGAACGCATGTGGTCTGAGGAAGCACGAGGCGTTTGGAGCCTGGCACTTGCTGCGACGCCTGCTGCGTGTCGTGTCACTATCAACATACTGTTCCGGGGCATCACCGGGTGCGTGTTAGTACAGTTGTGCATCCTACTTCTGGACGATGATCCGTTGATTCTCCCGGCGGGATTAATGACAACGAAGTGTTGATGGCTCTGGAAGGTCATGCTAATTCCGTCCGTGAAACTACCTCACTCACCATCACTATGTTAGGTAAGGCTGGCGCACCCCTCTTTGGTCCACCGACACTTCGGACAGCGTGCATAACGTATATCAGCTGTACAACTTCTGACATTTCTTCTCTCGCTCGCAATGTGCGATACTATAACATTGTCCGCTTCATCATGGTCCCAAGACCGGAAGGGCGGGCGGAGGGATGGTTGCCGATGGGCTTAGCACTGGGCAAGCGTCTGCGGGCAACAGTGGTTCCACCAAGACTTGGCACTTAGCTTCCCAGTCTTCGCGTCGTAGATGCACGAGCTGAGCTTGCCGAACGTGCGCTCATCGAGCTGGTCCTTCTTATGGTGCCATCCCTGGGGTCAGTTCTGACCGTCGTACATGATTTGGAACTTACCCATCCGTGTCCATAGGTGCACGTGAGCGTGTGGCCCCATACGGTGTTGGAGGACTTGTTCAAGCTCTTGCCGCATTTGTCCGTCTGCGGGCAGCAGAGCGAGCTCTTCTGCGTGCACTTGCCGCTGGAACAGGCGCAGTCCCAAGCGCACTGTGGAATCAGCAAGGGCTCCAGTGTCAGGGGAAGACATACCTTATTACCGCACGAGCCACAGTTGTGCGAGTCGGAGTTCAGGTCGACACACTTGCCATTGCACAGCGTCTTGCCGTCCTTGCATTGGGTGATACATTTGCCACCGACGCAATCGCAGTCAGAGGCGCACTGGTCCGGTTAGCGCAGGGCATAACTTCAGGGTATCTCACCTTGTTGCCACAGGAGCCACAATTGTGCGAGTCAGAGTTCAGGTCAACGCACTTGCCGTTGCAGAGCGTTTGGCCGGGGCGGCATGGGCTGGAGGTCTCGCACTTGCCGTTCTTGCAAGTCTTTCCGTTGCCGCACACCACACCGCACGAGCCACAGTTGTTGGCGTCGGTACTTGTGTCCACGCACTTGCCATTGCACTGAGTCTGGCCTGGTCCGCACGATGACGTGCACTTGCCGCCGTTGCACTTTTCACCGCCCTTGCATTTGACTCCACACGCTCCGCAGTTCGAGGCGTCGCTTGAGGTATCGACGCACTTGCCGCCGCACTGAGTCTGGCCTGGTCCGCATGATGGCGTGCACTTGCCGCCGTTGCACTGTTCACCATCCTTGCACTTGACTCCACACGCTCCGCAGTTCAAAGCGTCGCTCGAGGTGTCGACGCACTTGCCATTGCACTGAGTCTGGCCTGGTCCGCATGATGACGTGCACTTGCCGCCATCACACTTCTCGCCGCTCTTGCACTTGACTCCACAAGCTCCACAGTTCGAAGCGTCGCTAGATGTGTTGACACATTTGCCGTTACAAAGGGTCTCACCCGGCCCGCATGCCGTGGTGCACGTACCCGACTGGCAGGTCTGGCCGTTTCCGCACTTGTTGTTGCACGCCCCACAGTTATTGTTGTCGGTCAGCGGATTGATGCACTTCCCGTTGCACGCAATCTGTCCTGGTCCGCAGGGCGTAGTTACTTCGCACTTTCCGTTCTTGCAGCTTTGGCCGTTGGCGCACGGGTTACCGCACGATCCACAGTTTTGCGAGTCAGTCTGCGTGTTCACGCACTTGCCGTTGCACTGCGTCTCGCCAGGTCCGCACGGGTTTGAGACAGTGCACTTGCCCTTGTCACACTTTTCACCATCCTTGCACTTGACGTTACACGCGCCGCAGTTCGTGCTGTCGCTGGAAGTGTCGACACACTTGCCATTGCAGTTCACTTGGGGCGGGTTGCACTGCGGGCCGCTCGGGACGCACTTTCCACCGTCGCACTTCTCGCCGCCTTTGCACTTGACACCGCAAGCGCCGCAGTTTGACGAGTCGGACTGGACGTTGACGCACTTGCCGTCGCAGTACGTCTGCCCGGGGCCGCAGGGGTT